GATCAACTGAGTTCGGCACGGCAGTAGTACGACGTTTGAAACGGGCCTGAGTTTTTAGAACGTCTGTATCGAGCAACTTAAAACTCGTTTTTAAAAGCGTGAAGGGCAGAATTCGGAATCGAAAATAATTTATATAATATTCGAATTATTTGGCCCGCTCCCGTCTATCTGCGAAGCAGCAACCAAACATACTTTTCTACATAAAAAGGATATTCAATTATTACAAATCAGAAAAAAACCAAGCTGCTTCTTAAGAAGACTTTATAATTTTTTTAGCTATGTCTACACCAGATCAGCATTTTTTATATGTTGATGGAAGCTTTTCGTAAAACTGTGAAAATTGAACGAAGGCCAGAAAAATGACTCTGTTGAAGGTGCGGCGTATTGCTTGAAAATGAATTTCTGTAGAAAAACCCTCATTAAACAAGACCGATTCACACAAAACCGAGAGGAAATTGTGTAACAGAAGACCACGAGTGTAACAGTAGCTTAGCTTTTGATCTCAAAAACGGGCTTCTGCAGGTGTCTGCAGTTCACAATCACTCTCTGAACTGTCTGCTATGGCAGAGTCGACTAGAGTCAAGGCAGAGCGAAGGTTGATTTGTATTATGAGCCCTTTTGAAGATCATGCTCCTTTGTGAGGAAACATGGCGATTTAGTGGAGGCGAGCGAGGAATAGGCCAAGCAAAGCACGCCGATTTTTTCGCGTAGTTCACCCTATTTTTTGGTTTAGTTTGTTTTCTCTTAATTTCTTTTAAATTGAGGAAATTTAGTCCTTTTTTGTTGTTGTTGTCCGAACAACGTTATACACGTGTTTTGTTCAGAAATGTTTTAGTGACACAATTTATATATCCAAATTGGTGTTTTTTTTTGTTTTTGCATGTTATTGTTCACAATTTTTTCTATCCTCATTTTCCCATCCGCCATCCACGGGTATCCAGTCCTCGTTTTGCAGACACCTTCTTTGCTAGCCGATTTTTTGAGTTGTTTAACTTGCCTGCAAGCCTTAAACTAAACACTCAAAGGAGAAGTGCACCAAGTATGTATGTAAGTGAGGGGTCCAACCATGTGACAGCGACTTGAAAGAAAGATTTCTTTCCTTTGTTTGTTTGTTTGTTTGTTTGTTTATTTTTTCTGCCATCCGCACTTCTCGTTTTTTTCCTCTTACTTTTTTTGTTATCCGCATTTTTCTGTCCGCATTTTACCATCCGCCTCCGCCATCCGCAGATATCCGGTCCGCGTTTTACAGACACCCCTATGAGAAATATTCTTGTTTTCATAAAAATATGACAATGAGTCACCAGAAACGTTCTTATAAGACATCTCAATACTGCGACAAAAGCACGCACTATAGGCTCAGAGACTGGTAATCAACGCTTTAATATTAAAACTGGACACATTCAATAATTGCCGACTCGGTCAACTTGGCTCTTGGGAAAAAAGGGTGAATACGCATGGGACTTCGCGGAGTGTTTTTGAAAGTAATCCAAACTGCACGAAGTATGAGCGTTGCTGAGTATTGGCGCAGTGGGAAAAGGTCGCACTCTCAGTTCATCAAATAAACAATAAATGCTTGATTGGAAGCATCCACAAAAGCAAATTTGCCGACTCGATAAAACCTTGACATGAAAACTGGTGAACGAGTTTGCAACTTGAAAGAATTAAAAATAGCCGCGTTTCCACCACCTTCTAAATAGAGCAACAAGTACAATTAAAACTTCCTGGTGGACATTCATTACAGGACCCTTTTGGTAACAGTTCCTTTTAATAGAACTGATAGGTTATCCTGTATAAATATTTGCGTTATTATTATCAAACAAATGTAGATTAGCGCCTGATAATTTATCCGCTCAAATATAAAGGCATCTTTAAAAGCTCATATGATAGGAATCTTATTGGGGTGAGAGGTTCAGAAAATAAACTCTGGAACAATGATAAGTATTTTACGAGAACCACATCGATAGCATTTCTACACAGTCCCACTAAATACATTTACACAAACAGTTTACAGCTATTTCAAAAAACAGTTAGCAGAAGATAAGCAAAAAGCCTTTTAGCCAAGACCTGAAGGTAATATGAGATTTTTATAGCTACAGGTTCTCATAGGAGGTGTTGGGGTTTAGCAGTCACCTAAGTATTTCGCTGAGAACAAGATGGTATACGGCGTCTTTCTGGACAACTTCTAAAACAGTTGGTCAGAGGGCCTTCAAACAGTAGAGAGCTTAAGCAAATACGATGGAGACAAAAGAGACCGGAAGAAAAAACAATGTGTTTAAACCAGGTATACCAATCGACAGAGTGCCAAGGAGCAAAACATGCGTATTTTGCATAGGAATGGAATTCCTTTTTCTCCAACATTTGACAGTTCTTTTGTTCCTTCCTGTTGCAAGGATTATTTTCTTGAAAAGGTGTTATGCATATATCAAGGTTCCGGAGAAGAGTCAGTTCTCAGACGCCTGTCACGGGCTTTACGAACCTGCTATATAATAGTTTCAAGTGTTAACATCATCTTTGCAGAGGAAGCGATCCGCGGTAATATTACTTGGTCTGACCCTGTGTGACACCCTAAAGTGGAACGATAACACCAACGAAATCGTTTCCTAGGCGTCTAAGCGACTGCACATTCTCAGGGTCTTGACGCGCGCTGGGCTCCCTCCAGTGGACCTTGTCACCATCTATAGCGCTCTGGTTCGCTCTGTCCTAGAATACTCTTCTGTTGTCTGGGCTACTTGCCTTCCTCGCTTCCTCATTGACCAGCTTGAAGCTATCCAGAAGAGGGCCCTGTGAATCGTATACCCTGACCTCCACTATCAACAGGCTCTTGTACAAGCCAACATTACCAGTTTAGAGGATAGACGCGCCTACCTGTGTCTTAAAGAGTGGCACAATATCAAAAATAACCCGCATGGCCAGCTGCACCGCCTTCTCCCTCCCGTGCGATCCGAATGCCACTCTTACCATCTTAGGAACAGTAGCAGTTCTAGCCTCTTCCAGTATAGAACAAAACGCTTCGGTTCTAGTTTTTTCCCAGCAATGGCGAAAATTAACTAATCTTACGAGTCTAGTTATCTCTAGTATTGTCCTTTATCTATATCTGAATTGTAAATAACTTATAAATAGCCTGTAATCCCAGTGCCTCTGAAACAAGTGTAATTTTATTTTTAGTTGTAACTTATGTAAGCACATTGTAATTCATAGTTTTTATGCCACCATGTGTATTTTAATAAACCATTATTATTATTATTATTATTATTATTATTATTTTGGGGGAAAATAAGAATGATCGTTTCTCTTACCAGTGCAGCTACAAATTACTGTCGGTTCGGTTTCACTTTGTTGATAATAATTTGTGCAGTTTAATCATTTAAATCTCCTTTGAAATTTCCCGCTGCCCTGTTTAAAATGTTTTCAAGGACATGTGATGTACGGCACGTCAGTATTATTTTTATTTTGTAATAAACTCGGGCTGGTTTCGAAAAAAATAGCGTTGCTTTCTTTTCCTTTATCGTTCGCTTTATGCTCGTAATTATTTTTTATCATTTTTTTCGTTTGCTGGTTAGATTTTACCCTAACATCAGAAATTCTAACAGAAGCGTATATTCTTCGTATCTTCTTTGCTAAATGCGAGCTTCTCTTCGTTAAAACTTTACATTAATGGCCCTCAAGGTTATTCATTATTGGGAAAAGCCTTTTCACCTGTTAGCCCACAAACGGAGAGCCTGTTCAAAGGCTGGGCTGGAGAGCGGCATCAGAAACGATGAGCCTGTCAGTTGCCATGGCACTGAAAATCGCAGAATGATGAAAAAAATGCTATTATTGAAGTGTACTTCATCAATTCATTAAATTATTGATTCATGTTTATTTTGAGCTTTCCTTTTCACAGATACTTTCAGAGAAAGCCAGAACGTCCCCGCCATTAAAGCAAAATACTCAGGAATTATGTCAAGAATGGTATTCGTAAAAATAGAACGAGATGTTCCACAATTTTACATTTTGCTCGTCAATGATCAAAACGACACAATAACCACTGGGTATGGTTTGTAAGTACGTCAGGCAAACAAGGGGACAATCCTAAGTAAATACCATACGACCTACGCTACTCTACCGTGATTATTTTGAAATGACATTGAAGATCTGAACACTCTCAAATCTAAAAGCACCGCGTTGCTTTAAACATGGAAGCTTCTTCTGCAGTGAAGGATCTTCAGCTGTGCTACTTTGGACTACAAATTCAAACCCTCTATTCTTTTACGCACTAGCACTTGTCATTCAAACAACTCCAGCGTTCGTACCCTTTTTTGAACAAAAAATTCAAGGACGTTTCAAGAACTTTCATGGACACATTTCCCATTTTTCAAGGACTCCATTCAGTGCAAAAAAGAGCCTTGAGTCTATTTTTTTGGGTTCTTCCACAACATGAGTAATTTTATCCCAAAGGTCTTTCTGTGTTTGCTCTTTTTCTTTGGAGTTCTACTTAATCTTTTAGGTTAGCATTGAAATTCAAGGACTTTCCATCACCAACTGCAATTTTCAAGGACTTCAAGGCCTTGAGTTATTATTCTAAAATTCAGGACTTTCAAGGTGCGAGCAGACCCTGAACTCGCACGGAAAAACACTGGCAAAAAAATTACAAAAGAAAGACTTGTTTCGGTTGATTCAGATTCTATCTGCATGAGAACTTAGTACTTATCATCCTCATTATGTCGGGCTTAATCAGCCTATCCCCATAATTTTCTGTACAACACACGTTCTCATCCGCCGGTCTCCCTCAACGCCTACAATTGCCATTTGATGGTTGAATGTGGTGGATGGATACTTCCTCGGGTAGCCGTATAGTAATGACACTCTTCTCCAAGTTACCGGGAACTTACTTGCAAATGTACATGGCTTACGATAGTTCATGCTTAAGCGGTTAGCTGGATGCTGTACAGTTGATAACACATTGCGTCTTTCAAAGACAACTGGAGTCAAATCCACGATGGAAAAATGCCATGGGAAATTTACTCATTATCATCCGAAAAATTCCGTCTTTCTTCATCTTTGACTGAATTACAGTCATTACCTTTAACTTGGCTCGTAATAAGATGGTTCCTTTCACAAGAACTTGAAGCATCTGATGTAACAGACGCACAGATTTCATCTTTGTGGTTAAATGTCATTTGCGTGTTTCCATTTACTCTTTCGGCTATTGTCTGTTTGTTTGATTCATTTGTTCTACATACACTTTCACATGTATCAGCGGAACTCTGTCCATTTATCTCTCTGGTCATTGTCTCTTTTTCACCCTCCGTAGTTGCATCACTGTCGCCGCTATTCTCGTTTTGTTTAGAACCCTCTGTATCACTACCGCTGCTTTCTTCCTCTTTCTTTGCTTTTATCCTTCGCAAAGTGACCCTGTCTTCGCTGTCACTTGACGAGGAATCATGTATCTCTTGTCTGCAGCTGCTAGTGTTATTTTCACTCCTTACTCTATTATGAATGCGATAGCGTCTATTTGTACGGCGACCACGTTTATTAAACACAACCGGTTCGGTGTGTGAACTACCTTGGCTATTATCGCCCAAGTCTCTGGATACGGATTCATTCATAGCTGCAGTGTTAGTCAGGTTCCTGTCTGCGGTCTCCTCATCACTGCTGCTGGAATCTGCATTCAGCAGATCTCTAATCACAGCAGTATCTCTCAGATGCCTAAGTCTTCGAAGTACTGAGCTGTTTGCAGCTGCTTCTCTGTCTGGAGACCCTAGTCCCGAACGATGAAGAATTTGCCTGGCGATAAGGCGGCTTACATTGGTTTCCACGGTATCACTGTCGCTAGAATCACTGCTACCAGCTTGAAGAATAAAACTAAGATGAAAGTCATCCCAGATACTATCATCGGAATCTGAATCAAGATTGTCTTTCTCGCGCTGGATAAGCGAGTCAAAGAAAGCTAACATTCGAGGATCCTCTTCAGTTGATCTGTTATTGTACTCATCATGTGATAGTGGTAGTCCACCATATCGGATAAAGCCCAGGTAATCACTGTGAGAATACAGGTCACGAGCGGTTCCTTGGCAACCATCCACGCTACTATGGCCGCCTGGGATCGGGAATGGGCTCCATACCTACATTAAAACAAAACGTAACAGAATATCGGCGTTATGTTCAGTGCCAATCGATTTAGCATGAAAGTACGAACTGTGGACACTATTTTGACGGGCCCGCCGCCATTTTACGTAGTCATCTGAACCACGTGAACGTCTACCAGTTTGCAGGGCAAAGATAGTACCTTCATTTCTTAGTTATTTTATAAAGACCCTGAGTTTTGGTCCGGTCCCGGGAATCGAATCCACGATTTCTCGCCATGCAGTCAAACGCTCAACCGATTGAGCAAATCCTGGCGCGAAATTAGAGGAGGAGAAACGTAATTGCCTAGTTTCTTATATAAAAATCCCAATTATTGACGACCAACCTTCAACACTTTCTCCACGCCTGCTGATATAAGCATGTGAGAAGCAGAATTAAAGCGCACTTGATTGACAATGGAACGATGGCCACGGAGCACCAAGAATGCTCTGCCTACAGTAATAAGTTTATCTTGATCAGCCCATTCGTCTGGCACTTCCCATATATACACATTGAAGTCATCTGAGCCAGACACAATATACTGCGGAAAAAAAATCACAAAACTATAGACAAAGATTGGAGAGAAAATCCTGTTTAGTTTTAAAACGGGAATAGAGTTTGGATGTACGTGTACGGTGTACGGTTTAATTTGCTGATGGAACAAAAGTCAGTCGACCTTTATTAGTTGGTGTAATCTTTACTTCTCGAAATTGTGTCAAATTTCCTTATAGTATTCAGTCACAATACGAACGCTAATATCAAAATCAGTTCAGAAAAACAGACTCGGATCAACTTTCCATGGAAGAAACTACTGCAAAAAGATTGAGACGTTTAATCTAACGTAACTTCATTATGAAGTCTATAGGCTGAATTTGAATGCATTGTACGTTGAAAGAACCAGTTAGGCTGTCACAAAGCCGGTCTAACTTACTTGATCTTTGCTTCCTGCAAAACAGTTGCTTTTCATAGTGCATACATTACTGTAACCAGGATGATGAAACTCAGCTATTGCTGCAGAGTGTTTGATATGATATAGGACAGGTGGAAGGCGACGACGAAGAGCTGTGATCATGTCACCAGTAGTATTCCACTTCAGCCCCATAGCACACATCTGAGTTACTCCTGAACTAAATTGCCTCAAACAACTGTGGAAACAACAACACCATGAAACTGTAGAGTTAAAACTTAAAGAGCACGTCGCACTTTTTTTTGGTTCCTTTTTTCTTATTACTACTAAACTTCAACATTTACGCAAGTGCCATACAAGCATAAAGGGAGACACGCTTTTGTATGGTTAACTAAAATTACTTTGGCCAGAAGACCTGTGGACGAGGTTGAGTTGTTTGGTAGTGGGTACAAAATGGCAGAACATTTCCCTCGTTTCATGAGGAAGATAGGCCAACTACTGACTAATGACATAGAAAGAACTGCGAGAAGACAACTCAATGGACGAGATCTGCTATATGGAGAATATTAGCGGTGCTGAACAATCCTTTTTCTCCTAAACTCGAGGAACAACATGCACTATCGAAGGTGAACTTAACATTGATGGAGGTAAGCATGTTTTAGCTTGTTATTAAACTAGGAATTATTTTGAATGAATGATAAATCAATCATTGAATTCGGCTTTTGTATCATACGAAGAATTATGGAGATCTCCGAGGGTGTTATCCACCTTGGCCGATAACACCCTCCTCGATCTCCAAAATTTTCAGATGATACTCAGCCTCATCCAATAATTGTTATTATTATCCATTCCAAATATTTCTCCGTTTCCGTCTGGCTAAAATCACATGCATAATTTATCATAAGCAGCTACTGTTGACCAAATTTGGAAAAATTTTGCCATATTGAACCAATGACATCAAAAGTGCAGCAAAGTTGAAGGTTAATGAACCATTAACCAAGAAGACCTCAGAGGACGAGCTTGAGTTGTTTTAGAAGTGAGTAATGGCGGCGGAACATTTTACTTGTTTCACGGCGAACTGTTGTCTAAAAACATAGCAAGAACAGCAGAAAGACAACTCGATGGAGGATATCTGATATTTCGAGTATATTTGCAGACCTGAACAGCCCTTTATGTCCTAAACTTCCTGATAAAGATGCACTATTGATATGAACTTAACATCGACAGAGGTAAGCATGTTTTAGCTTGTTTTTAAACTTGGAATTATTTTGAATGAATAATAACGTAATTATTGAATTCAGCTTTTGTAGGATATGAAGAATTACACAGGTCTCGGAGGGTGTTATCCACCTCAGCACTCCCTGATCTGCATAATTCTTCATATCCTACTCAGCCTCATTCAATAATTGCTAAATACAATAACATTATTCTTCAAAATATTTTGCCATCCCCAAAAAAGGATCAACCTGTGGTGCACAGTGTTGTAGACGTGTACCTTATTGGGGCCCTGATATCCCATAACTGGACCCCCTTTCTTGAGTTGGCAGTGGCAATTAAGTTGCAGTCAACTGGATTAAAAACAGCAGCATGGAAGGCTGATTCATACTGAGCAATACAGCTTGATGAACCTAAAATGCACAAAACAAAGCATCTGATTAACTTGATGGAGGTATTTGCTCATGTTTGAAACTTATGAGCAACAACTACCTTACCACTGACAATATAGTAAGAACTAAAATATTGACGAGGGTGACCTGGGCAAGTAGTTGATGTGTTGTCACAGGTTTGTTATTTGGCATTGTTATTGCTTGGGCTTGATCTGCGTAATTCTTTATAATCATACATAAGCTGAATGATAAATTGATAAATTATTAATCATTCAAAATATTTCTAACTTTAAAACATGTTTACTTCAAACAACGCAGTTTCCATCTTCACTAACCCAGCAAGTTCCAGATATAAATGAATGTTCAGTTACGTCTAGATAGCAGATGTTCTGCAAATAGTAGTGTCATCTGTTGAATGGTATTTTTGCTGTTCTTCCTATGATTTTTCTACTTCTTCTTTGCAAAGCCTGAAATTTTCCACCATTTTCTCCACCTCTACAAAACAACTGATCTACTGCACCTTCTACTGTTCCCTTTACAAACCACAAACAATAATTTTTGACTCATCTTTAAGGTTATGAAAAAATAGGTGGGGGATCTAAGCCGATTAAAGAGGCAGAGAAATGAAATCTTTTTTACTGAATAAGTAAATAATAAAAGATAATATAAGCATACCATTAAGACAAGAGGTCCTAATATCCCAGAGCAATACTTTTCCATCATCAGAAGCTGTTAAAAACACATTACTGTTCTCTGGATGAACATGAAGTCCATACACTGGATCATCATGATAGTACATGCTAACAACTTGACCACTACACAACAAAAGATACAAAAAAAATTCAAGCTAAACAAAGAACATATCTTTAATCCTTTTGCTGATAGACCAAATTGTGGCAGGATTATTTATCAGTTAAACTTCTAAATCTGTGGATGGAATGATCCTGTAGTGTCACCATTGAGATAAAACCTCTTTGGAAATATTTTACACTTACTATCTGAATTGTGAATTTTTTACTTGGCTGCTATTTGAAGTGAAAGGGTTAAAATGAACATTCACTGAACAATTTGAAATTTAAAAGTAAAAACTGGATTTGTGGTGTTACAGAAAACTGCAGGTAGATTGTTCCATAGTTTGGGTGCCCCAGGGCTGGGGTATTATTGTAATTGAACAGTCAATCAATATAGTGTATGTGAGCAAGAAGAGTACCAATTGGGCAGCTTGAAAGTCTGTCAGTGACTATGCAGTCCATCTATATCAGGCTCAGGGGACAGCTGCATGAAACTAATATCAGATGTGACTTGAGTTTGACTGGGGTGAACAAAAGATTTCAGTTACTACTCTATGTCTGATGGTAAGATTTATGCCACTCAGATCCTTTAGTGTACAACACAGGTGTTATGAAAACTAAGACCTTTGAAAACAAAGACCTAAGACCTAAGACCTGTCTTAGTTTTCGAGATTACAAAAACTAAGACCCCCTAAAATTGAATCTGTCGAAATGTGAAGCCAAATAAATTATTGTAACTGAAATAGGTCTAATCTGTCAAATTATCTTTTGTCTGATTCTTTCCACCGAATTTTAGGTCAAATTTAACGGTAAATTTAGGGGTCTTAGTTTTTGTAATTTCGAAAACAAAGACCCCTCTTAGTTTTCATTATTACGAAAACTAAGACCCCCACAAAACCAATCCATAAAATATATATGGCTATGAATTACGACCATTCAAAGACTATAATCCGTAACAAAACCAACAACTATCATCCGTGCGCTGACGATCTGCTTCTTCCTAAAATTTGCAGAAAAAAGAGAATGAAAGCCATTACCTGTGTATAATAATATTGTAATATAATATAATATAATAATATAATATTGTACACTGAAAATATGCCTTACCCCGCCGACTGGTATATAATTTTAGTTGTTTATCCTTAAAAATCGTAAAATCAGCATTCCACTGGCGATGGATTTTGCCTTTGTTGCCAACTGACATGTTGCTACAACCTGATGGCGTTACCTGAATATATCTTAATCACTTCCGATCGTCAAATGGTCAATGGCGTTATCGGTTAAACATCACACAAAAATATGTTTTTTTTCTTTCCTGGCTAGTCAAAACAATAAAAAAAAAGCATCCCTTGAATGATTTTTAGGTAATGCAATCACAGTTGCAGAGACACGAAGGCAAAAATCCATCTCCATCACGTGGAAAGCCAATTTTACGATTTTTAAGGATAAACAACCAAAATTATAGTCTGAACAATTGGTGGGGTAAGGCATATTTTCAGTGTACAATTATACACCAGTGTAGGTAGTCTGTGGCTTTTCATCCTCTTTTTAAAGCCTCAGTACTGATATGTGTCCAAATTAATCTTTAGAAGAAGTGGATCGTCAGCACGCAGATGATAGTTTTTGGTTGTTTTACGGATTACAGTCTTTGAACGGTCGTAATTCGACTTCATACATATTTTACTGATTTGTTTTGTAGGGGGTCTTAGTTTTCGTAATGACGAAACTAAGAGCGGTCTTTGTTTTCGAAATTACGAAAACTAAGAGCCCTAAATTTACCATTAAATTTAACCTAAACTCGGTGGAAAGAATCGGACAGAAGATAATTTGACAGATTAGACCTATTTCAGTTACAATTTGACTTCATATTTTGACAGATTTGGGTCTTGGTTTTCGTAACCTCGAAAACTAAGACGGGTCATAGGTCTTAGTTTCTGTGCAACACTGTGCATTTAGAGTTGAAATAAATGTACATCCAGAAAACACATAATAAAATTATACATAATTTCTGCCAATTCTACAACAATAACAACAACAACATTTCCAACTTACGTTAAAAAATCATGCCTGAGAGCTTGATTGTCATTACCTTGTAGCAGAGGGGAAAAAAGCAGAGCGTTATACAGTTCTAGCCTTACTTTCTTTTTGAAGCCATTGCTAGGGGAACACTTTCAAAAGAAAAACTGATTTATTTCAGTATTTATCTTTTTTCAAATTAATAGAGCATACCTAAACTGCCAACTTTGTTAATGGTTTTAATTGACTATTGTGTAACACACTATTGTCTAAGAGGCTAGTTTATGAAAAACCTAGGCTGTGCAGTGAAATTGAAGCCAGTGGAGAATATAATGACTACGAAATTCGACGTACTTTCAAGTCTTCTTCTTTTACATAATAGAACCCATAGAAACAGCGTTGCATCCATAGTAACCACATTTTAAATTTCAGTTATAATCAGCATACTGTTATAATCTGCCATTTGGCTATTTTCTCTGAAGAGTGCTACACCATCATATAATATATTGTAATAAAATGCCTAGTCAAATCTTCAGTTGATAAAACATTGTACTTCTAGTACCTGCAGAATAGATGTGTGTGTTGTCATTATCAAATACTGTGCAGAATATATTGGACCTGTGCTCTCCCTTCATAACCACTGGAGAACCGCTACCATAGACACATTTTTCCACATTCCAGACAACAACACGACGATCATCACCACCTTGAATTATCAAAGAGAACAGAATGAAAAACACTTTCACTTTATTACAAACAAGGAGTTTCAACTCATCTTAGCTTGGTCTCGGATGATTTCATTGACAGCCATGTTAAACAAGAGAACTGTCATGATATAGTGTTTATAGTGGCATTTATAGGACTTTGTCTGTTCAGGATAAAGGTATTTGAAACCAATAGCTTTATCACCATCAGCGCCTAGCAAATATAACTTCAAATAAATGTTTGTCTATTTGAAAATCATTCCATGTTTGGACACAAGTTTATGCACTTACAGACTGTGAATTAGTGGCTTTCCTATGCACCTGACATGAATTTTGGCTCAATTGTACACTGACCTCAAAAATTTACTATTTTTTCCTCTGTCATAAGAGAAGATACAGTAACTACGCCATGTAATTACATTTATTAGTCTTAACAATAAAAAAGTTACAATTAGAAGTTAATAACAAAATCCAGAGTAACTCTCTGTATGGTACCTACCGGAGACAATGAATTCACCGCCATTGTTGGAGAATTCTATTGCATTAACACAGCCATAGTGGCCTATCAAATCATGGTGGAAGAGCCCTGAGGAACGACTGAAATAATCTGACATGTAGCTCTTGTGCACAAAGGGACATCCATAAACTTCTGACAAGCTCTGGTATTGAGGAAAGCTCCAAATATGGTTCCCTTTTTTGCGATAAGAGGAACCATTGTTCACCGACATTTTAAAAAAACTGAATTCTTGCCAAAATAAATCTGACTATTGTCTTTATGCACGTTCAGCCATCTCTTCAAGCCATTTCACGGTAATGCGAGATGGGACTACTAGGTTCAGTCTCCTCTCGTCTCATCACTGAATAGAGGTTACCAAGCTGTTGTTGCCAAGAAGATTCAAACAAAAAGCTCAGAGGAAAACTTCAGAACTTGTAAGGTGTAAATTGCATGTTCCCTTCCAAATTATTAGTATGGAAGCTCTGCAAAAAGAATTAGCCAAAATTCAAGTAACTGCGCCCGATATTAACTCGCTACCGTAAGTATTCCACATTCTATTGGCTTCGATTTTGCTTAGTAGTTCAGACAGTTTATAGAAATATTTTTCATCGAATGTCTTCACTTCAATCAAGATTATATACAAGCTGATGTTTATCCTGTGGAGTTCCTACTAGTTAATTAGGACTTAACGTGTCTGTGAATGGACAAGCCAACACGCCCTGGAAAGTACAAATCACTGAGCAATGTATAGTTCTGTAGCTGGTGATGTTGATGTACGGTCAAATAGTGGGAACTGGGGTGGGGAAGGGGGTGTATGCTTTTGGCCTCGCTAGCTGGCACCCCTGGAGAAATCTTTTGGATCTTATCTTTTGAGTACTGGTATTTCCACCCGGGGAGGGTACTCCCATACATTACCTATACGGGTATGTGGCGCCCAACGGGGTAGTGATTTTGAAGCTCCTGATTTAGAACGGGGTATCCATTTTAGAGGCGTTTTCTAGAATGGGGTATAATATTTCGAACGCAAGCTCCAGTTTTGTAAGCAGCTATTTGAAATTATTCAAGGACAGATTGCTTTTAAAAATACGGTTCAATGCGCGCGTTAACAAGCAAACTGTTGTACTCTTGTTGCACCCTGAACGGAGTATAAAAAGTTGGCCCATTTCTAGAAAGGGGTATCAGTTTTAGGGCTAATGCTAGAGTGGGATATAAAAAAATTGGTCTATTTCTAGAACGGGCTATCAGTTTTAGGGAAATTTTTTTTTAGAATGGGGTGCCAATTTGGAGGACGGGTCAGTACATACCCACCCAAAAAATACCCAAGTGCCCCCCCCCCCCCGGGTATTTCCATCTGCATTAAGACTGGTATTTTAAATGGGACTTAAATTTGTACACTAATTAAGAAAAATATCTTCATCCTGTTGGGCAAATTCCAACAAGAACAGGGCCTCAAACAGTGAAGCAAAGCAGGGCTTGTGATCCTGTTCCTCGCGGATCCGGTAAATTCAACAAGCAAATCAGGGCCTTGAAAAAAACGCGACATAAGAAATCCGCCAGAAATATTTCCAAATACATATCGGTAAAACAATTTAATACTTATCTTGGCTAAGGTGGTCCATTTAAAACTTCGTCACTGCAACATAAACAACGTCCCAAAACTACCAGATGAACGTTGCGAAAAAGGGTACTAACCATAATTAATTGCTTTAACATTTCGCGCATTTAGCCGAACTGTTGTTGAAAGAGCAAAATGATTATCCCTCCAAAACGTTCACCGACGCTGGTCAATGTAAAAATCATTTTAGCAATAAAGAAATCCAGTTAGAGTTGAGCCTGTGATCAGTTGAAACTAGAAAAATCCTTCTTGAGTTTTTCCACTAAAATCCCGCGAAATGGGCCGATTTTTCTCGAATTTTGACTTCTCTCCCATCACCTTTGTGATTTTGACTTTTTTCCCGGGTGACACCTGATTTTTCCGCGAATTTGCCCCTGAAAATCCCGCAAATATGGTCATGTAATACTGGTCAGCTGATACCCTGTTTTGACAGCTGTCAATTGACCACAACATGGATGTGCAATATCAGTTTGCAGGCTCCCACACTAGCTGGATAGTGTAACATTTCACATTGGTTTCCTGGTGGTGCAAACGGATGGATGGGTGGGCAGTTAATACTCATTTTCATACTCCAAAATGATATTGACACATTATGATTCATACACAAAGTAATTCTCTACAAAGGAAGGAGCCACATTGACTATCAATACTGACTAGGGTTAAGCACTGACTCGCAAAACTGTTACCAGTAGCTTCAATTTAGGGTTAAGGTTGTTGCTAAACCATCACTAGCCAGCAAATCCTCAGTGGCCTAGTGGTATACTAGGTAGGTGGTGGACCACAGACTCCATGCTCTGAGTTCGATGCCCACTCACGTTCTTTTGAATTTTTTTTCCCTTAAAAATTGAAAAGACTTAGACTTTCATAAACATTTTATCAAGCAGAAATTTCAACAGACAGAAATTTCATGTAGGAAAAGGGAATTGTCTTGTGACAGCCACTAAGGGGGAAATGAAATATCAGTTTGAAATATGGAGATGAGTGCTAACCTGGGCAGGTGAGCCGGTGGACGTATGGATCTCCACTATAAAATAGTGCATGAAATGCCAGCCGGCAGGAATATGGCTTGCTCATCAAGGACATACATACTCATCCCAGCTTTCCCTAGGGGGTTTTTAATTGCAAAGCTTAGAAAATATCATGAAATTGATCTTATTTGTTTGTAACTGAAATTAAACTTTATACATGTAGTGTACATGTGAAAAGTGACATTTTGTAATCCAGTATTACTTTTCTGTGTCCTAGTTCTATAATTACCGGTACATGTAAAATTGCCCTTCCGATCAAGTTTTAGTCAAAATAACTTCTAGATCGTGTAACTCAATTCAGTGTACACGTTTATCATTATTATTTCCTTCAAAATGTCATTGAGCTATTATATATAAATAATTTTTAAAAAGCTAATTAATGCCTCATTTCAGGAACAAGAATGTGGATTATGCTTCACTTCCTGAATCATACAAGTCTAACACACCCAAGGAAAAGCTGGTGTTATCTTTTTGTGAAAATTTTAGAAGGCAATTTGTTCATCTGTACCGCGATCGCAAGCCGTTGTTTTTAAATCCTGTTAATGAGGCAGGAACAGAGGTAAGTTTATATTTATTTAACAAAAAAACAACAGCATACAGTGTACATTAAATTTATTAATTTTTCTTATTTATTGATCTACTGGACTGACAGTGCTGTCCAAAGATGGAGGGGTGTTAATGAAATTGAAGGTCCCAAGCAATGTGCTACCCTCCCCTCCCTAGCCAATCCTTCAGCCCGTAAGAGGGTGCAGAGCTTCTGTAGATGTTTTGGGTAAAATAAGTTATTAGCTTATACCAGTGTGCAATCCGGTTTGATTCCTTTGTTTTGTAGCCCTAATTATTCATAGGAGACAAAGAGAATTCTTCTTTAACCAGAAAATCATAAACAGATTTTGGCATACAGCATGGACACTAGGAACGGCTGTTGCCAGGGCTTGTTGCCTGCCTAATGGTTTCTTTATTGCTTACAAGAGAGAAAGAGAAAATAATAGATCAGTGATAGTTTAAGAATTGGTCCAGGGGAGTGGGGTACATTTGGCTTGAAAAATTTCCAGGCACAAAAATTAATTTCTGAAATTAAACCCTGCCTTTAGGTTGAGGTATTACCATCTCATCTTTTAAGGTACAGACTATGTGCATACTGGCATACAGGTTTCTCAGCTCATATAGTCAACTGGTTTTTTTGTCATTCTCCAAGAAGACCAGAAAGACTAACCATCTGTAAATCTCTAAAGAATATGCAGCAAATTCTTCTAAATTATCTTCAACCTCGGAGCGATAGTCCAGTTAAGAATTGAATGTGGGCGTACTACACTGAAACTGAATTCAACTTTAGGTTGAGACTTCCTTATGTTTTGGCATTTAGGACTTCCTGACCCTCTTTTAATTTTCAGAAAGTATTCATGGGGTGGGTGGGGATGGATATTATCTGGAGCTGCACAGTGCTCAAAAATGGAGATTCTTTAATTTAGTCTCATTCTTCTTCACTTTCAGTACATAACATTTCATTTTTGCTTTTGCAGAAATTTGTTTGTACAACTATACGCCCTACACTTTTGCCTTACAAAGAAGTTTATGATTATGATTGTTGTGCACAGTTTGTATCAGATTATCTAACATTTGTCTCTTTGGATCCACCTATTGACTTGGTAAGTACACTGTAAATGAGGAAATGTAAAATCTATTTAAACCCACATGTATGCAGTGTAGTACTGCAGTCAGCTTGTCTGCTGTGTAACACTGAATGACAAGACCCACAAAATACATCTATCACCGCCTACAGCAGCTGTGGCACATACCCTTCTGTCAGTGAGAGTATTTTAATCAGGTGTCTTAATTGGAACTCAATATTGTTTCCTTCTTTAGAAGTTCTATGTCTATTTAAAAAAAATAATTAAAAAAAAAACATTCAGAGGGTGGGAATTCATAAGAGGGAGTGTTCAATTTTTTTAAGACAGTATTAAGTAGTAAAAATGATGTATAAAGCTTTAACTTCACAGATTTAACTCTAATTTTTCCTCCTCAAGAACCATTGCACGTATGTCTCTGACTCTTGTACTGTATATCCAACTTTTTCACTTGTTCCAGACAAATAAATGTTTCTACTATTTTATTAATTTTTTTTTATACCAGCCTAGTACCTTGGTGTCCCCTACCACTGTGCTGAGGAGCCAAAAAGGAAACTGTTTTGACTTTAGTGTTCTGCTTTGCTCTTTATTGATTGGAGCGGGTTATGATGCTTACTGTGTTTGTGGATATGCAACAAGAGAAACAACACTCACAGATGAAACACGAGAGATTTGCCCTCTTCTCAAGAAGAAAGATGAGGTTAGTTGCTTGAGAAATAATGCATATGTTGCAGTTAATTTTCTTTCTCAGGTAATTTTTGTTTTTCTTTCATTTTTGGGTATGGTAATGTATGCAAGTGAAGTTGAAACAAAGGAAAAATAGAAATTAACTGAGATAAAAAAAATTAACTACAACATATACACACATATATGTGGTGTACCTGTATTTGTCTTTCCTGATTTGAAATATCCTGAGTAATATTTCATAAATTAAGTCTACTGACATTATTGACCAAGCTTTGTATATAAAGTTAATCTTAACTTGGCAGGACTTTACAAATCCGGTCCAGGATATTTAAGCCCGAATCTTGAAGAAATAGTCTATTACTTACAGTTATCATAAGGAAGGATGAAAGTTTGGAAAGAATATTTTGCATTAATTATACATTTATTTTAAAAGGTGACAAAGGAGGAGGTGAAAAAGGAAGTAAAAAAGTACGCAGTAAAACCTCCAAAAGATTTAAGAAGCAAATTTGAGGCCAAAGTTGAAGCAAAGAAAAAGGCTGAAGAAGAGGAGAAAGAAAGAAAACGTCGTGATGAAGAGAATGCAAGAATTGCAGTGAGTTAAAGCATTGTGTTTGTTATCACTCTTATTTACTATGTGATGAAATCATATGCCCAAAAAAACCAGTGGATTTATTTTTTTTAAACTTATACTGCTACATGAGAAATTTCTACAATTTGATTGGCTAAGAGCAGTGGTAGTTCAGCTTAATTTGAAATAACTACATGAGAAAATTACAAACCTTTTGCGAGTAGTAGCATAAACAAATAATAGCATGATTTGTATGTGATATTTGGCATAAATACCACTCGTGATATTTCAAAATGGTGTCAAATTTCACTTGCCTCACGGCTTGTGAAGTTACAGATAACAATTTTGAAACATTGCTCTTGGTACTTATGCCAAATATCACTACAAATCATGCTATTACCTAATAAGGAGATACAAAATAAAAAGGCTTTAAAGTCATAGTGAAGGTGATTTTTAGATTGTTCATGATTGGATGTAGCTTAACATATTGGACAATGTACTTTATAATATTTTTCACAGGTCCAATAGACCTCTTAAAAACATAGAGTACATTGTCCACGGTGTGACATGACTTACAGTATGGTAAGTTAGCGGTGGCTCACCTATAAACCATGCTCTCTGTTCTTATGTGTTTTCCACAGAGACACAACCTAGCTTCACATTATTTGGATTTTAATTAGTGAAACGCAATTCAGCTTATCCTGAAATGCAATCATTTACTTTACCAAGGGTCACCTACATGTAGCAAGGGCAGCTCCAGAATATTCAGAAAGAGGGGGCTGGTAGACTTGATAGCTATATGGGTCTTTTTAGTTGGCGTCAGTGGAACTCTGAGATCATCTTTGTCCAAAAATTAAGGCTCTAGAAGACAGATCTTACCAAGAATTTTTTAAAATTTTAACACAATGTCAGACAAAAAGGGTGTGGCCCCATCCAGCCACCTACTGCTTTTGCACGGTAGCATCCAATTTATTTTTTTTTATTGAGTTGCACAGAGTTGCTACATTTTGAAATTAATTGTTATTGAAATGTTTTCTTTTTTAAGGAATTTGAAAAACCGAAGCCTGACAAGCTGCATGGTTTAAGGGTGCACTGTTGGGTCTTAGTTCTGTCTGGGAAACGTGAAGTTCCCGAGAGTTTCTTTATAGAAACCCTGACAGGAAACTGTCATCCCTTAACCCACAGTGCATATCTTGGTATTGAGAGTGTATGGAACCACAAGAACTACTGGGTCAACATGCAGGACTGTTCACACGGAGTTCAGGTACCTCTTTAAGTTTAGTGTGCCTACTACATGGATCTTTTCCCTAGTTAGACTGCAAAACAACGGTCATTGTGGATTGGTTATGAACGAGCACATGGTGCGTCCCAAGAAAAAATTCGACGTTCCATCTTGGCCTCAAATTTCTTTTGATCATGTATTAAGCATTTTATACTGCGTGTAAGCCTCTATGAGAAGCAGCAGTGAGGGACATCTTTATTAAAATTACCGCAAGCTCCGTTAGAAAATTTGCATAAAATTTGTACCCCAAAATTAGCTCTGAACTATCACCCCAGTTCTGTTAACTACTGCTTTAGCTACTGTACTCATTTTAAAGTAACTAGGAGTAATTAGACTCAGTTACTTCAATTTATGTAGTATAGTTATTTTACTGTGTCTTTAGAAATGTCGTAACAAAAGGTGAATACTTTGACACTTGATAGGACCTAGTGTATGATCTAGGTGATGCATCCAAGTGGGAGTTCATGTTCTCCACAACAGACAAACCACTACTGCTGATACCAACTTTAGATGAAGCTGATCCGTTAGAAATCGATGACGATGAGGTACTGTCTGCCGGCCGGTCTCTATCCTGGTCCTTCTCTCTCCATACAAGAGATTTTAAGCACCCAATACTGCGACTGCTGCAAGAACAGCTCACAAGCATTACAATTGCCTCTGCCGCCCGTGTGTTTTATATGTTTTGTGCATTTCTGAGCTGTTCTCTTCATAACATGAGATCGTGAACACACCACGTTAACGTTTTGTTCTCTTTGTTAACCTGAAAACTTTCATCACGAATTTACCTCCGGACATTTCATTCACGTCGGAACAAATAAAAATAAATATTATATTTGCAACCGAGCTTTAAACAACTCTTTTATCCTTCTTGTCTACTACAGCTTAAGCTTGTCATACCTTAGCCAGTATTATTTTTAAGGTTGTTGGCCTGTTTGGTTTTCAGAATGATGACGATGGTTCTGATTTTGACTTGCCTCCTTCTTGGGTTTCTCCTCTAGAAATCTCCCTCAAAGGTTAGCCAACCACCATTTTGCTTACTTTCCTGCAAAAACAGCACTTTTCTCACTTCATGCATAATTAGTCCTAACGCGGGAAAAAAGAAACTCTTCTGATTCAATCATGTCGGGCTTGCGCGCATGGCGTCCCTCGCCTAGAACTTCACGGTTTTACCTAGCTCAATGGAGTTCAGTGGATCATGTGACCTCGAAGTTTCACCCCCTCCACCTCTCCACCCACGATAATCGGCATGATGCCTCTTGCCCTGCCGTCGCGGTTTTCCCTCACAGCTTAGTTCCTCGTGCCGGGGTAATAGGTATGAAGTGCAAATATAGACCACTGCGAAAAATACCATAATATTCTCAAATTGCCGTTTGGGTAGAGCTTCATGATCCTAATCTTCTTTATCTATTTTACCTTAACTGTAGAGTTTCAAACAAGATGCCCGTACGGGAAAAAGACAAAGCTGTACAAGAAAGCAAAGCTGGAGAAATTTGCTGAATATCTGATCAAAGATGGTCTGGTGTCCAGTTTGGGAAGTTACAACGACTACGAACGTAAGCATACTCCAGTTCAAAATATCACGGTATAAATAAATTGTAACAATGAAACAAAGGAAAGAGCTTTGATTCAGTCACAAATAGTGGGGTTGAAAAAACTGCCGACCCTTAACCAGCCTCGAGGTGTTTGAATTCCTGGAGAAACACTTTTCGAGTGTTTGATGTCCCAACCAGTGAAAAATACAGTATTGGGAAAACTCTCTCTAAAAAGGAGATCAAGCACCTTTTATGGCAGTTAGGTAGTTTTCCATTTATCCCGTTCGTGTTTTATAAACGATTTTCAGGGGAAACGGACCTTAGACGCCTCTTCGGTTTACCCGCTCAGATTTGGTGTACCCCAGGGGTCCGTATTGGGTGGGTGACCTAATACGATGGCATGATATGAAGTTTCATCTCTGTGCTGATAACACTCAACTGTGCGCCACCTTTAGTTGTGATGATGGCGTGGGATTCACCACTGCAATTTCCCAGATTGGAAACTGTCTTGCTGATATCACTAACTGGATAACTACAAACAAACTAAAACCAGTAAAATATAGTAAATACTGATAAAACGGAACTTCTCACCCTTCATTCTAAGTTCAGACTGCCCCCACGGCTTCCATCGATACATTTTTTGTGCGAAGGTTTTTGCAAGATTTTGAGAACGTTTTTGGTAATTATTAAGAAAAATTAATAACAATAATAATAATATTAATAGTAATAATAAAAAACACGTTCACACATTGATACTTACCTGAATATTTGATTTCAGTGAAAGACATGATCGAAAAACGAGAAGTGTTCAAACACAGGATTGACAAACTGGAGACTAAAGTACATAACATGACAACCGGACTCATTACAGAATACTTTGCACCTGGCAGACCGGACTGTCTTAAAGGTATTCTGCATTTCTGCTTTTACATGTATGTTTCCGATTTTAATTCATGCATCTATCAGACTTATTCTGGCTATACACCATGTGTATTACAAGTGTCTGTCTTCAAGAGTTGACTGCCTTATAGACAGTCAAGGAAATGAAGCAGCAACCACTGCGCCAATAGCCTGCGAACGCAGACATATTTCCGGTCGTCACTTTTCTCCACCTGAAAAGTACCTTTTCGGGAGGAACGAGTTACATCTGCGTTTGCAGGTTACTGCACCAACCCGAACGTATACATTTCAAAGGAGTCCGTTTTATGCAGGTTTATAAAGGTTTCTACTAAAAGACAACTGTCCCGGTGCTCCTTTTTTTAGATCGTTGGAAATTAGTGACATCGTTTTGAAATCACTTCATTTTAAAATCTTGATGCCTAACTCCTGGCGCAATTAGTTGATCTTGGCGTGAAATAGCATCAGTATATCTCGAAGCCAAATTTAATTTTTTTTTAGTACAAGGATATTTAAGTTTTAATTGTCTCTATTTGTAGAACACACTTTCAAGGCGAATTCACCGGGTCCAGAATCTGACAGAACTATGACATTCTACTCCAGGTGTGGTTGATTTTATCTCGCCCTTTTTCTATATTGTACGGGTCCATGTGTCCCTGATTGTATACTAAACTTGACTTTGTGTGGCTGATGAAATAAATGGTGAATAAATGAATAAATAAATAAGGTTGAGGTTGTTTTATTTGGGACATAAACGTGCCAAAAGGATTGTTGGGCTAATAATTATTACTGGATGTTCCTAAAACAACTGGTTGGCTGAGGATAGCTGGTCAGTGGCGGGAGAAAGGGTGTCAGTCTCAAACTAAAGTCAAAATCAGAGTAAAAATCGCGTGATTGTGAGATACACTTGAACTCTCACACTTTCACCTCCCTGGTGTCGCCCATGTCCGTTATTAAGATTCTTCCTTTAGCGCCCGGACGGATTAGTGAAGCTAAGAATCTGACGGCTTGTTGACAGAGACGATTTCATGACCTGGTGACTTTCAAGCCTCAAGAAGCCCCAATTGTAAAAATATTCGAATGATCGGATTTAGATGTCAACATCAAAACGCTTTGAAAAATGTTTTGAATTCAAACTGTACGAAAAACTTTTTCTGGTGGAATTTTTGCACTTGAGAGAAAGATACTGGATAACACGAAGAAATGACAGAAGCATATGTTGACAGAGACGATTTCATGTACTTTCGACTGGTGACTTTCGGCAAGCGAGTGAAAAAATTTGGACCTCAAGAAGCCAATAACAGGCCAATTGTGGTAGGTCCTTAAAAATATTCGAATGATCAGGTTTAGATTTATTTTGTCACTTCAAAATGATGTCAAGGCGACATCAAAACGCTGTGAAAAATGTTTTGATATTCAAACTGTACGTTTTGAAAAACTTTTTCGCAAGGGTGGTGGCATTTTTGCACTTGAGAGAAAGATACTGGATACTTATATACAGCTATTTCGAGAAAGGTTGTCGGATAAAGTGCACGCGACATCCCCGAAAGGTATTGTGGGTGGTTTTGAGTTCATTGTTTTTCAAAGAAATTTGAAAGAACGGCAGGAGGGACCATGGACATTTTATGTCTGTGAGTGCTAAAGGAAAGCAACCAAAGTAGGTTCGACAGCTACAGTGTGAGGAGCAGTGTATTGAACATATCCCACATTACCTTTCGGGATTATCGCGTGCAGATTTTTTCCGACAACCTTTCTCGAAATAGCTGTATACTTAATGTAAAAGTGTCATGGCCAGGAGATTTTTTAACTACGTTATATCTTCTAACAGAAAATAGTGGAACGATTTCACCGCAATAAGACTAAAGAAGCAAATGAAGATGTGGCTGAAAGAGTCTTCCTCGTCTCTGATGAAAGAATTAACTTAACGTTTCACTTAGAGGATAACAGGGTTACAGCTTCGACTCGGGAATTCATTCGCCCTCCTCATACAACAGAAACAGGAGGAACACTCACAATGACCCCTGATATGACTACCACTTTTCAAGTGAGTTGATTTATTAATTATTATCGTATGCCTTTGTTTCTGTGTTAGTTATGTAGGCAGTTATCAGTGTCTACGTTGTAACATCGCAGTTCATTCATTTTTGTCCCAAGCTGACATACCATTTACTTTATAAAGCTCATGTTCGTTCATTCCTGTCACGGAAACATTAAAGCTCACTAAACTGACTAACCTCCAACATTAGGTTAAGGAAGCCTATTTTAGGCTTCCTAGTCACACTAACTTATAATTAACACCTTTTGTAACGTCTTATTGTTTTTATGTGAGTTACTAAAAAACAAATAAATCAATAAATTGGTCGCTTTACAACTCAGTTAGATAGAGCAGCGCACGTTAACTCCTGGGGTCATGTGATTTATAAGCCTTGATTTTTTTTAGCCTTCGTTCTCTGATTGCTCAAATTACTTAATATTTGTACTGTGATCACTCGGACAGGTAGACCCTCTGATTAAGCCCCATAAAAACTTGCATGTTTATGAGATGCTGGTGGAGCTTGTGGATGCTGAGGAACAAAGCGCGAATCAAATACGAGCATCAGAGGAAGAGGTATGGTTACTTGGTTATTCAGAATACAAAACCTTCAAGCTGAATAAATTTCTCCAGTTTGATATGATTTTTGATTGTCATTAGTATTTCTTTTTGTTTTTGCAAACAGCTCAAATTATGAAATTTAAGTGAACTTCTTTTTCATTTTAATTTCGCTGTTTTCAAGAAGGAAGTTATACAAAATATATGTTCCAGGGTACGATTAATTGAAACTACGGTTCATTAGCGTCAAGAAAGAAAGCTTCTCCTGTTTATTGATAAGTTAATGGAGGCAAAAATCGTAGCAAGAACAGCTCTTTTTCTGATCTCTCTTATCTCGGTTCTACAGGCGCTTGCTTGGTATTTTTCTACCCTGGATTTAGCAACTGGCTATTGGCAAGTCGGGCCAAATAAAATATATAATCACATTTTTCTCACTGACTTTTAGTCTTCCTCATATTCCAACACGCAGAACTACAGAAGTTATGCGGAACCCTGTTTCATTACAAGTAACTTCGTATATCAATTTCGGCTCAGAATTAATTTGCTTTTTTAGGTAAAGGAAATTCTGCAACAGCGAATCAAGGAAGAAGCAGCATCGCAATTAAGCGTATCGGTGTACGATACTGAAAGAAACGAGAAAGCCAAGCTACATCGACAGGAACTGGTAAAACAAATAACCTCACATAAGTCTTTTTTATTTGTCTTTAAACAGTGATGTTTTTGTCAAAACATCGAACAATCTTTGCACAACAACATCGAAGTGTGTTAATGTACGGAAAAACGGGTCACAAAAAACATGCAACTTGTTTTGCAAAATTTTTCCAAAGGAGTTAAATAGCTATGTTGCCCGTTTTACCACCCATATCAAACCTGTCTCGCAACAAATCTGGTTGTTAACAGGTTTGAACATGGGTGGTAAAACCCACAACATCGCTATTTAACTCGTTTTGCAGCAATGTTGCAAAACAAGTTGCACGTTTTTTGTTGCCCTGTTTTCCATACCTTTAGAATAGATGTGATTTAACACCAATGCAAGAATCGTTGCGTTCCAGTTTCACTGTCAATGTCTGGCTAAATTTATTCTGCCTTAAGTAGAAATTCGCATGTAACAATAGTAAATGAACAGGGCAGAGCGCGAACGAATGGCCCGGATTTTGGGTTTAATCTCCGTTGTAGTTTTACGTAGATAAACAGAAAGAAATATATATTTGGCGACTCCGTTATGGGGAAATGTTGTGCGTGCCATGACACCTGCATTGATTTGTGATAAACGTTATGGTCACGGGCTTGCCTTAATGAATTAAAGTTTATTTATTCCAGGAACGTAAAGCAGCGGAGGAAGCAATGAAGAAACATGAATTAGAGTTGGATTATTTGGCACCGTTTCTGGCTCAGATTGGTGATCCGCCTCACATTAGCAAACAGCAGGCTTACAAACTAAAAGAGGAATGTCTTCAAGATCTTAAACATCGCCTTATTGACAAGGCAAACCTCATACAAGCAAGGTTTGAGAAGGTTGGTATTATGAAGATGGAAGTTATTCTAACAGTATGTAGCTTTTTGTAAGAACGTAAACGCTTGCCACAGGAACAAAACAAAATTGTAACAAAATCATTTAACAAGATTTCCACGTCAAAATGGATTAATTGTGTCCAGTACGGGTATATCTGTTGTGGTTCAATTTGATCCTTGGTTTAAATTGTATTTCTCTTTATGTTAACCTCATTATCGTACATTACCATACCCTTAAACAAAGGAAGATAAAATTGAGCATACTGTTTACGCATCGTTTTTGTTATTATTCCTCAGGAAACACAAGAGCTACAACGAAAACAAAGTTGGTATCAACAGAATCAGGTATCCATGACAAAAGAAGACGAAGAAGAATACCTTAACTTCTGCAGCGAAGCCATGTTTAGGATCCATATCCTAGAACAGCGCCTTAACAGGTATTGTCAACAGGAGATCTATTAATTTGTGGTCTCCAGAAATACTGGTATCCCAACTGCCGGCGCACTGGCAGGTTGTGGCATTTTCCTCGAATCAGTAAAAGTGACGGAAAGGAAGATTCGCCTTATAGGGGCCAAGCTAGAAATTTTCAAGTGGTATGAAGAGTTTCTCAAATCACCCCTACCCCGTCTCCCAAATCGTTTTTACACGGGCGCATTATTAAATCTCGTGGTCATAGAAACGTGTTTTTCAAGCGGCAGTTAAAGTTTTCGCCGGTGACAAAATTGTAGAACATATTGTATTTGTTTTGAAAAATATCTGAGAGAAGTTTTAAAAGTGGAGTTGAATGGGCAATTGGGTATCCCTTACCGTTTGTTCATTTTGTTTGCTTTGTTTTTCTATTCTTCTTTTTTTTTTATCCCCGATATTTTTCAGGTACACATGTGCGCACTGCGTACTAGCACACACGTAGTTACCTACCACCCCTGTCATATACTTTCAGTAGTTAAGAAGGAAACCGTTGTAGGGCGAGTTATATGTATTGCACTTTTTTCCCCTAGGCACAAAGAGCTGGCACCACAGAAGTATGTTCAACTGGAACAAAAACTGAGGAACGACCCAAGACTATCCGAATATTTATAATATTATGAAGTTGTATAAACATGTACATTTTACTTGGTTTGCCTTTGTATAGAATGAAAATAAAGTCTGTTGAAAAAAAAATGCCTGCTTCACCATTTGGTTGAAGATGTCTTGACAGTTCGTTCCCTAATTGCCACTGAGTGTCATACAGCAGAGAGCTAATTAAGACAGAGCTTAAGTCCCCAGTTTTTAAAAATTCCCATAACAAGCAAAACGCAATCATAAAGAAAGCCAGAGAATGGTCAGGCTGTGATAAGATTCTTTGCTTTTTTGGTTGCTTATTGGATCAAATCGTTTAGCAGTTGGAAATTACGAGTACGTCGATAAAGTTATGGGCTTTGGTCTTCTGGCCTTGCCTTCTCTAATCTGTACCATTATATTCACTCAGCCTGACATCCGTATAAACCAAAAAATCTCACATATCACACCCTCATCATGGTTTCAACAAGCACCTTTGCTGCAGAGTGAGTCACTTGAAATCAAGAGAAACTAGAAAACTTCATTAATTTTGTCTCTAAATTTGAAAATATTTGTTGACAGTTACAACAGTGTTATTTGACTATAAAATTTCACCTACTTTGCCATTTATGTACAACTGGAAAGATAAACTAATATTTCACACTACTGTCACTGCATGGTGTTTTTTTTTTTGCTTTAGCAAATGCCAGATTGCCATGATCTGAAGAATCCTTGAGCTGAATTTTACTAAAAGCAGTCTCTCTCTCGGACTTGATCATGAGATGATGGGTTGATGGCGTTTTTAAGCCTGTGGCATCTGTAGATTGTATTTATCACTTTTTGTCATGATTTCTCTGGGATGGGAGGAGCTTCTGATTTCTCTTCATAGGGAGGTGGTGGGCTGTGTTGCAAGTTACCTATCACAGAAAAAGGAAAACAAAAAGCAGTAAGTCTGCATGAGAAGCAAACAAACATGTAAATGCTTTTCCTGGTTAGAATCTCACATTATGGTGTGAAACTTACTATGCACCCCAGAATGATAGAAAGGAACTCCAGGGCCATACAGATTGGCACTAATATGAGGAAGTTGTCCACTATAGGCTCCCTGGTTAGGATACAACTTAGTCAAGACCTTACCATGCACACTAGGATCTTTAAAGGTGCTCCAAGGCCATACAGACTGGGGTGAATATGGGATAGTACTCCAGTATATATGGTCCCTGGTTATAAGCATCTAACATAGCCAGGAACTTACCATGTACTCTGGGATCATGTAAAGGCGCTCGAAAGCCATACACACTGGGGTGAATATGGGGTAGCACTCCAGTATATATGGTCCGTGGTTATAAGGATCTAACATGGCCAGGAACTTACCATGTACTCTGGGATCATGTAAAGGCAGTCCAAAGCCATACAGACTGGGATGAATACGGGGTAGTACTCCAGTATATATGGTCCCTGGTTATAAGCATCTAACATAGCCAGGAATTTACCATGTACTCTGGGATCATGTAAAGGTGCTCCAAAGCCATACAGACTGGGGTGAATATGGGGTAGTCCTCCAGTATATATGGTCCCTGGTTATAAGGATCTAACATGTCCAGGAACTTACCATGTACTCTGGGATCATGTAAAGGAGCTCCAGGGCCATATAGATTGGGGTAAATATGAGGTAGTGGTCCAGTATAAGGTCCTTGGTTAGGATCTAACACAGGAGCAGAAGGTGGAGGTGCTGTTGGCTCAAGTGGCTGCGGAATCTAAAATAGGACAAGTCAAGACTGGTTAAATGAATGAATAGATTTTATATTATTCCCTGTTGTTCCCTGAAGACTTGTGTAGGAGGTTTTCTTGAAGTATGGGTGGTTTCATACAATATATAACATAGAAATATTGTATAAACCTTATATTGTTATGCTTCATTGAGAAACTTGTTTCCACTCACAAATCAGTGTTGCCTAATTCTGTCGGCCTAAGATGAGTTAAAAAGATAATTATATGTTTTAAATTGGTATAGATAGATAAGCTGGGTCAACTGAAGTTACTAAAAAATTCAAACATATTGCAGTAAGTAAGGTCCCTGGGATCTGCCGAAGATTCACATGGGACTCACGGATGGAGTGTACTGTACTGTTGTGTACTGTACAAACGTAGTTGTCAACTGAAAAAAGAATCTTAATCATGTAGTGTACGTAATGTCTTGGATTAAAGGGCAACAAGACATGACCTCTTTACATTACGTATGAAACATGTCAACAGTAAGCACGGACCTCAGCAAACAAGGGTGCCACTGGCAGCCACTATCAGTCCATTTATGAGCTTTCTGTAACCCACCCATAACCCAAGATATGAATGACTTGTGATGCATGAAAGGTAGAACACACCACCATAGAAACTTCCCCTACTCTTTTTGAACAGTAGTGTGGGTTCTTTTACGTCCATTTGGATTTGACTTATGAAAGGATAAAGCAGACAATACCAATGGCTTAATGTCACCACTGAATGACGTGATCATCTTAACTGAGTCAAGCTCCTAAATCACAGGCAGCATGATCTCACCAGTTTTTTTATTAAAGACCCTGATTGTCGGTCTGGTCGGGGTTTGAACCCATGACCTCCCACTCAGCAGACCAGCACTCTACCGACTGATCTAACCGGGCAGGAGACACGTTTTAATTAGATAGCTCATTTCATCAAAAATTTTTCTGATCATCCTATCAAATAAATCTTTACGTTTTCTGGATTAGCGCTGGTATACATATTCACTGCTAATAAAATTGGTGCAAGTACAGTAACATACCTGCGGAGAAACATTTTCAAATGTGGACTCCACATAACTTGGCATTAAAGCCTTCATCCAAGATAACATTTCCTCCTGCAGAAAAAGTGGAAGCTTGGATGAGCAATTTAGGCATAATTTTATTAAAGTCACTCTCTACCCCAATCCTAACAGATGACATTGCTTGTACACAAACAAGAGCCTTCAAGAGAAGAAAATGAAGTTTCAAAAATGGTAAACACACAATGGGCAACCACTGAGTGCACATGAGAGGTTACTAAGCAACGATGAAGTGTAAGAATTACCTTAAGTGGAGTGTTGAGAGTGTTGTAATGTAGGCGAAGCTTTTTATCTATTGTAACTAGGTGGAATGTATCATTATGAAAAACCTTTCTATGATTGTTCTCTCTTGGGAACAAGGGAGAGAGGGTTCCCTTCTCTTCCCCCTCTTTTTCATTATTTCATTCATTTAGCTCTCATCCTTACGCCAGTGACTTCCCACTAACTAAACTCTTGGAACAGGTTGAATAAAATATACTGCATCACAACTGAACTTTCCCATAAAATTTTCCCTAAGAATAAAGGCATCAACTTATGACACTGCCCACCCGGACCTTGACCTTTTTCCTTACATACACCTACACCTACTGGAGTGCAATGTGGAAAAGGTCTATTCACTATTGAGACATATTTTCCATGAATTTCCCAAGCATTACATATTAGCTAACTTACAGGTGAAGTTGATTGAAGATACCAAACTAATCCTGACTTTGTATGAACTTCAAAGACATTTCTCTTGTCTTGGAATGTACTCGATGGTTTAACAGAGGCAATGTCTCCCCTTGTAACTGTGGCGACAGGAGTAGGAGCCTGGTTAAAAATCACAAAATAACTCACTGTAAAACATCACTCCACTTAAATATTATTGTGTGTGCAACATGTACAGTGTACAGTGTACAAGTAGTAGATCCAATCAGAGCTGAGTTCTTAGTAAGCACTCTTGCCACTCACTCCTCTACTCCTACACCACTGTCATCTTCTCCTCCAAAAAATATGAATCATTACATTATTTGCTCTTAGTTTAATTACAAACCTTGAATGCTAAGACATTTACCCTGATCTGTAAAGCTGTTGCAGGCCATAAAAAAAGGGTGGCAAAGAGACTGTTCTGAAAATATTTTTCTTTTCTCACAAGTCTCTGTCTTGAGTTTTGTTTACATGTTTCCCTTTCTACAGAGTTTTCTAGGAAGATTGCTAGGCCTGTTACTGTTGTGGGTAACAAATCTAGCCAGTTACCATGCAGCCAGACTAAACTCTCTGATGGGGAATTTTGTCAACCAAGGTCATTCAGTCAAGGTCAGTGACTATTGACAGGGCTTCTGATAGGTCGCGGAAAAAAAAGTCAAATTTTGCGGGATTTTTGGGACAAAATCGTGGAAAAATCACCTGCTTTCACAGGAATTTCGCGCGAATTTTCGGGGTAAACTTGCATTGGCTCGAAAGCAATCGGTAAAAAAACGACGGATTTTAGGGTTATTTTCAGGGCAAATTTTGCTAGAAATCGATCAGTTTTGCTCTGATCAGACCAGCGTTTTTAATGATTTTCTAACAGAGGTCATCATTTGCTCTTCCAACAACAATACGCTCCAGAAATGAACCAATGGCGAAGCCTTTCACATCATGGCTAGTGCCCAGTTTTTTGCAATATAATCTACGCCTGGTAGTTACGGAACATTGTTTGCACATTTCAGTGACAAAGTTTTGACATAAATTTGCGAGTTCATGGCAAGTAAATACCCCCAGTAGCTTTCAAAATTGCTGTACAGACATGTATTTAATAAGATTTCTACCGAATTTCACGGTATTTTGCATGTTTTTGCGAATTTCGCGGGATTTCGCGGATTTACCTGAATTTTGCAGCTCCGCGGCCACCCAAAATATCAGAAGCCCTGATATTGACTGTGTTCTAAATTGCATTTTTATCATCTAAGACAACTAATATTACTTAGTATACACCCAAGAAAGATGTCCTTGTAGAAACCAAGTCGGAGTAAAAGGACATGGCGGTCAGCTAGCAGGAACAAGAAGGATTCAAGGTTTTTTCCAAAAATCCTGAGCAGGCAAGATAGGTCTGTAATGCACACTTGACCAGCCAATCAGAGTATAGCATTCATTTCATCTTGCCTGCTTGTTATTAGTAGCCATGCAGCCACATAACAAATAGCAATAATATTACTTACAATTATTTTTTATGTAGAGTGGTAAACAATTTCATTAGACTATTGTGTATATGATCACAAAGTGAGATCTGGTTTTTACCTGGGATGACAAGGGAACAAGTATGAAAGTGGACGTGATCTTTGCAATAGAATGAAAAAGAACCTGAAAAGCAGTAGGTCAAGCCTGAATTTTTTCAGGATTTTTAGCCACTTTAAGGTTGTTCATTCTACAGCGAAGATCGTGTTCACCTTTAAATCTTTATCCACAGTTCAAAATATGATTCATTTCATGTATTTCAATTCAATAGAACAATAAAGGATTGAAATGACAACAAGTACTCAATTTGTATAATGGATACTTGTCATTTGCAAACATACTCACATCTTTGGACTCAAAGTAATGCAGATACATTCTTTCTAATTTAAAATATCTTTTCCCCCACCCAGACCATACGTTCTTGTACTTTTTAAGCTCTCCCTCTTTCTGAAAAATTAAATTAAACCGGAGTTAATAACATAAAAAATAAACAAATCAGCCACAAACAGGAACACTTCAACTAGGAAGTCTGATATTGAGAGTGCAGTTACTAATTTTGAAGACGGAAAAGAGATGAAGCTCAGTAAGAGCAAGGATCAGAGCAAGGAGCTAGAAAACTACATTGACCGTTTAAATGTACTTTTCACAAAATATAAGACAATAGAGGATGGAAGTGTTAAATCTATGCTCATCATATCATGTAAAGACGAGTATTTCGACCACTGTTATCATGGTCAACTCTTTGCGCCACAGGTTCAAGTTCAATTTAATCTGCCGTAAACTTAAAGAGAAACACAACCAAAAAAGCTGTCGAAGGGAAAATCGATATCGTATTATTATGCTTGCAACATTTTCGAATTTAACAGTGAGTGACTACGTTCGAAGCATTAAGATTTACACAAACTTACCGTTGGCTTTGTAGGATTCATGTCAATTCTACGATAAAATCTACGATATAACTGGTGTTACAATGTCCTTGGAAAGTCATAACCAACACGATACATATTTGATAGTGTCACGAGCATACCTTCACGAAATGTAAAATATAGGAATGACTACATCACTATGAAAACCTGGTTAGCCTGTGCCGTGGCAGTGGAGTACTGGATCTAATAGGGGTGAGATTACGGACTACTCCGCGTACTACTCCACTGAGTACCCCTACGGATGAACTACCCCTAAAAGTCTACCAAATTCACCTCTTACGGGGGAAAGAGATACTAGAAAACCTACCTGGGTTTCTGCGCGATAAACATCCGCCATCTTTCTTTTTCCTGGACCCAGTCTTTCTTAGGGGTCGACCATTTGACTTTTGACGGGGGCGGTGGCGGGGGAGGGGGAGGTGTGGGTGATTGGGTTTGGTTAAGACTTTTTTTCCCTTCAAACATCTGGAGGTATCACTTTTTCCCCCGACATTTAACGGTGTAAGCTTTTCTTATCCAGCATTACACGCCATGAAAATTTTTTTTTTCAGTGCAGATATTTTCCCCTCGATATCATTCTGCAGGATATTTTTTTCCTGAAATCACCCATACCCCCACCCCTCTCAAAAGGCATATGATCCTCCGATCCCCACACACTACCTAAGGGAAATGCTTGGTCAAATCCTAACAGAAAGCTGATTTGAGTTCAATGGAAACAATTATCTCCCAGCCCATGGGTTGCAATGGGCACAAAAGCAGACGGAGATTAAAAACTTTAATCCAACAAAGCGGCCATACCGAGCCAAGAGAATGCTGAGAATGATTAAATTGATGGCGTTTCTTCTTTTAGGACTCAAGAGAAAAGACGTGGATCTTTTTATTGAAAAACACAGCAAATTAAATCTAGTAAAACTAAACACACTCTTGGCGACACCCTGTAAATTATCGCAGGGTACTGACAAACTATCAAATGTTGAAATTTATAACCTTATAAATTCTCTAATTTCTCTTGTTTGTTCGTCTGAAGGGCATCAAGGAGAGAGGCTTCAAAATGCCTGGCGCGTGGATCGCAAGTTGTGATTTTACTTTGGCTTTTTACATATATATGTCGGCGTGGGTGTATAACTAACTTGCTGGAAAGGCCTGAGGTTATATACTTGGACGCAGATTACTCACTTATCGCGCTTGTTACGTTGTTCATCAAGGGTTAAAGAGTAAGAGATATTACACATAGGCTTGATATGCCGCCTGTTTCGTCTCATCATCGTTTGAAGAACGAGGTATGTTACACATTCATTCCGCTTGTTTCGTCTCACGATGGTTTAAAGAACGAGATATATTACACACACTCATTAAATTTGTTTCTCTGTGCACTTCGCCTGATTGTAAAATTGGCGCTACATGGACTCAGTATTTCGGGTGACTTAACTCTGGTTTCGAGGGACATATCTTTCGGGCGACTTAAGCGGTTGCTAGTTGAAGTATCTACCGCTTATTCTTAATTTAGCAGCCTGAGAAAACTGTCAATATTTCGCCAAATGTCGGCTGCTCTGTCAGACTATTAGGTTAGACGCTTTTTAAAATAAAGCCAATCCAAAAATGACAATTTCGCGCACATGATACTACAGAAATCACGTTTTATTAACTCAGATTCGATTCCACATCATATAAAGAAGTTGTGTTACGGCAAGCCCCACTCGCCACAGCAAACTCTGTTTCATTTAGTATAGTTTTCAGCTTCCTCGCATACTCTGTCAAACTTGGGTGCACGTTCACCTGTAAATCCAAACCAAGTAATTCATCAACTGTTAAAACCTTTCCTTGCAAAATCGAACGGAATTTGACGCTGTTGAATAATCTAAGAGAACTTCAGCAACGTCGACGGCGACAAAAAAAAAAAGTAATAGGTTTTTAAATTAAAAAGGTAACAACTTTGCGAGCACAGTACACTTTTTTGCCACATTTCTTTTAAGTCGGCCCAAGACTAGCAAGTGAGATTTCCGTATGCGACGTTTTTTGAAGGATGTAAACGCAAGACGACAACTTTTTCTTAACTTGGGTGCAGTCCTTAAGAAGTCAACTCCAGGGAAATTTACCTACATTTGACTTTTAAAGCCAGTGGGGATAAACGCGACAAAGTTTGAGGAAAGGCCTTTGCGCGATTTGCACCAGGGCGTCATTTCACTAATAGTGCTACCAAAATCCTTGAGGGTTTTGCTTTCTTTTGCAACTTATGGCTTTCGTTATTCAAACTCCACAGGGTCTACCAAATTTAACTGATACGAGGAAAAAAAAAAACGAAATGTAAAAAGACGTCATCGTGCATTTTTCCGCTGCCCTCGCCATTGTCGTTGCTTAAGTTCCCTTTCAATGGTAGTCAGCGAATCCAAGACAAACATCAAGTCACAGATCAGATTGGACGCTAACTTTAAATAACGTACGGTTGTATCTTCAGATTTTTATTCAAAACTTGAGAAGACGGTTTAACTGGACTTCACAATAAATGTTTCAGTCGTGAGAGAGAGAAAGCTGATTTGCACATGCTAAAGAAAACACAAACATCAAACCATCCGAAATTTGCTGACTCCGCTCTGCAGAACTTGCAAGTAACGATAAAGGTTCACTAGGACTGACTTGCGTTTTTCAAAGAGCATGAGTTACCTTATGAAGGTCTTCTAGCATCAACATAAGCGGCTCTTTCATAGTATTGGTGGCCTTTAAACAGACACTGGTCTGCAAACCGCTCTTGACAGCAAAGAGGAGCACTTCAGCCATGCACATTATACGAAATCGTACAATGTAGAGTTTGGGATTCTGAAGAGAGCCATATTCCTTGATACCTACAAAAGGAACAATTTTGGTTCGGAATTAGTTACAACCACTTTTCTGCAAGATCTTTTCAAAGCCCCCTAAATCCAAATTTCCCTAGATCCAAATTTCATCATGTGATTTATGTGCGCTTTAAACGTCAACCTTAATTTTCCCTCCTCTACCCCCCCAAGCAATGCTGCGTCGGTGTTCAAGGTACCTGTAAGAAACCGAAAACTTGCCAAATTTGAATGGAGGGGAGGGGAGGGGAGGGGATAGGGGCGAGGATTATTTGTTCTCTAGAGGACTCCGTTTGAGAAAAGTGTCTCAACAAGTTTGTCACCGATTGTTGCTCTTTGAATATAAATTAACGATTTGTAGTTCAGGTTAGTTATCTAGGTTATATAACTATTCTGATTTTCAAAACAATTGTAAACTCTTAGGTAATGAGAAGACAGAGAGTGAGTTCAATGTATAACCGTTAATATTAGTATATTGACATAACTGTGTATAATACCTGAATTAATCAGCGCCTGAACATTGTTGGTCAGTGTTTCGCATGCGGTTACAAACCAATTAGTAAATGGAGAGTTATCCAAGTCTTCACTTTCAGAAAAGCGAAGGATTTTGTTCACAATTTGCTGTGGTAAGAGGTGGAAAAACAAATTACTTTAATATGTACGATTTGCTACTTGATGCTTGTGATCATCCATGTTGTATTACAGTGCTGCTTTACAAACAAGAGCTAAATACTAAAGAACAGGTTCGTTCTGCTACAACATACAGTAGCTGTTACGGGAATAAACCAACTTAATGTGTTTGTGAAACACCAGGTGCAGTGAAATTCAGGGGTACTCGTTACATCCTGGCCCCACCCAATTCATCCCCTCGCATTTCTGACTCTTCCTTAGTCGTTCTTATCACTTTTAGGAGGTGGTGGATCGGTCGCGGATCGGTGGCGAGAGATTAGCAGAGCGTTTATAGTCACAAAAACAGACAAGGGGGACGAGTCAGTTTCCACATGGCATTTAACAGCATGCTCTTAAAAATAACTGTTTCCCAACTGTGTTATCAATCGATTAAACATTTGTTTTTGAACGATTTTGTAACGCAGGTAAAATATATAAGACAATGTGCTAGGACAAGATTTTAATTTGATTATGAGCGTTAACAGTTCACTGATTAAAAACACAAGCCGTAGAAATTTTGAGGCGCCAAGTCTACAAACCTTGAGGTAGTCGACCGCCATTTTCGCTAAAATTACTGGTTCAGCGTACAGATTTGAGTCCTCTTGTTCAAACAGCATTTGTCTAAAAGAATCAATGCCGAACATGAAGACGCTATAATCATTTGGCAAGGAAACAGTCAGTTTATTTCAAATAATAACATCAAACAATACGAAGAAACCTTTAACTAGCATCGCGCGTCCTCTTTAACAAATATAAACGCTAGTGTACATTTAACAAAACAATCAATTCTAAAGTTCTTACTTCGACCGAACGTAAACTTTCAAAACGTCCTCTGTAGACTTTTGCCCCTTTGTTATGGTTTCCAAGGCAACCCAGCACTCTGGAATAAGGGAGAAATGTTCCACCATGTATTGCAGCACTAGTGGTATAGCCGCTGAACAGGTCACACTACTGGCAGGCTCAGAAATAAAAGCTGCAAATGTTGCGGCAGTGTTTCGTATGTCTTCCTCCTCATCTTGAAGCAAAAACAACGTTGAATGCAAAATGCTAGAAGATAAAAGACAGAGGTGTGATTAGCATTAACAGAGGTGTGAGTAGCATTTTGGCATTCGGCACAAAAAATCTCTCTTCCCTTTTAAGGACAGGAGAGATGCGTCTATTACGAAAAAAAACAATTAAATAAGTTGAAATTTTCCTGTTTTGGCTTTCTCACCTCGTCTAAGACACTTTTGTCTATAGTGCGTATAAGCTGTTCAAAAAACTCGCAGTCGTGTATTATCAGGTGTAACAACTCTCGGCTTCGCTTCGAGTTTTGAAACCTTATAATACACTCGTTTTTTAAACAGTACTTCACTACTAATTGCAGCCTATTGATCCGATATTTAGGAAGTCCAAACAAAGGAGCATTATAATAGTCACTCTTAGACGTAACAAAGGAGTAAACTAAGGTTTCAGCAGAACCTTGATCTAAGAATTTTCTAATTTTCCCTATGTTTCGAAGATGAAGATGGTGTTGGGAGGTTTTATAATCATACTAATATATTTATCCATTACCATATCCTGGTCAAGTATCACTCCCGAATTTGTCACAAAGGGCTGGTGTTTAATAGTTTCAACTCCTTCTTGAATGGAAGTAACCATTGCTCTGTTTTATCCTCGTCAGGCGTTAACTTGTTGTTAATCATCCATCTGTCAATATCCACGACCCTTAACCCTCCCCCCTCGCCCCCCCGGACAGGCCTGCTGCCTCTACATCAGAGCTGGTCTTAAAGGTGACGTATAGTTGTGTGTCGTCAGCACAGAGGTGCTACTGTAGATTATGAGACTACATAATGTCTGCAACGGGCGCGGTGTCTAATACATAAAGTGGGGGGCGCAAGACCGACCCCTGAGCAGCGCCACCTGTTAAGGTACGCGTAGACGACTAACTACCCTCGACACCAAGCAAGGGCCGTACCACTGACACAAAATCGGTCTGATAATCTAGATAACACAATAGAATCATAAATATAAAATAACTTATCAAACCGGTTAAGCCCCCTAGAATAGCGCTTGATCTTATCTTAATGAGATTCTCCTGCAGTTTCTTCACGAGATAAAGACAAAACGCTGTGACGTCATCGGCGCCGATGTATTCCTACGCAAAAATGGTCTAACCGGTCCCTATTATACTGTTGGTAACTTTTAAGAAACTTCGCTTGGTTGAAAAATTGCCTTTTTAACGAAACAAATTCCAGGACACTTCGTTTCAGCGCAAAACAACAAACAGTTAAGTCAACTTCTTACCTGACTGCAGCCTTGTAGAAATACAGCTCTTGACCTGGTGTCGATGCACACTGTAGTAGAGTGATGCCGGCATGCTTTAATCCCTGAACAGCACCAAGCCTTAACAGTTCATCTTGATCCCACTGACAATAACATGATACCAATTCTTTCCAATCAAACAACTTGGCTGCCACATCTAACCTGCCACGTATTTCCATTACATGATTCAGAATTACACCGCAGGCAGGGATGGCTCTACCAGCTACAGATATGCCACATGACTTTCTGGCACACATTGTTATCTTGGTCCAGAGTTTTTCTAAATCGACAGAAGACAACTTCAACATGTCTGGCCGACCAAACACTTCAACAAAGATGTCTAACGCCAGCATTAGACAAGAATAGTCCACATCTTTAATTAAAAGGTTGGCTAGATCCAACTGCAATGAGTTTGGTAGTACAAGAGGCGTTTCGTTTATAAGATACTCTTTGGATAAATATTGCAAGCAAACCAGTTTAATTTCGAGGAAAGGTGATGATAGAAGGTGTGATAACAGGCCGCCCTCCTCACAAAAGTTGGTACCTGAAAGAAAAAAATCACAAAGATTGAAATCAAGATCACATATCAAGTTAATCCAAACAAAAACACTAAAAAATACAACGAATGTTGGCGCGTCTTCGTTAACTCAACCAACTTGACTTTAATCTCTCCTTAAGCATATATCTTAACTTACAGAAAAAAACAACCTTTTATCTGAATTTCCCACCTGTCTCGAAACAGAACCTCATATACTTACCTTCACAGCGAGAACGTTGAAAATAAAGCTCTAGGTAGGCTGTCACTAATTCACGAACCCATTGAGAATGACCAAGCAGGGAGTGAATTGATTCACAGTCTAAGGCCTGAAGACTGTTTACAACTATGGACTGAAGTGATGCAAAATCTGCCAGGAAACACATAACAATATTTGTTTTGAAATTAAACCGAAGATGAGCTGGAACTGGTTGAGCATTACTAAACAGTGTGATTCTTCCCACAAAGAAACCTTTATGTTACGACAACAAGGTCAAAATATCTCACTTCTTTTGCTAAAGGCCCTGTTACAACGTATGTTGCAACAAAATTACGCGCCATCAAATAATTTTTTATGACTTTAATGTTGCGCACAAAAGAACACCGATTCTTCACAATAGCGGCAGCTAAATGCGTCATTATCATAATCAATTCAAAAAAATCAATTGTCGACATGCCGAGAAATATTTAAGAAAGGCGGAAATAGCCTACACACTCCAATCCAATATTTTAACTGTATCTTTCGACTAGCTAGAAAAAGAACTGGAATTCCGAATCAAAAAAACAGGTAGTGTCAATTTAATATGACAATACTGTGGAGTTCCCTTCAAAATGAACCAGCCATTTAAAATGACGAAAATATACAGGTACGAGACAAAGCTATTAAAAACAATCGCGACAATAGAAAAAAAAACTTACCAAATTCAAAATCTCTTCTAAGCGGAAGGCCAAACGAAGTGATTATGCTGAGGAAGGTAGCTCTAGTTAAATAGCAAGGGTTACGTGCGGTACAAATCCAGATTTTATTTAGCATTTCCGTTAGGAAGTCACCATCACTCTTTCCTGAAGAATACAATTTGGCAGCTTCCAGAAGAATGCGAATTTGGAGCAGTGTTCCGTGTAGAAAGTTCTGCGAAAAAGCTGCCAACCCTGAAGGCAGCCGTGCGACCAGTTCCTTTGCTGTGTCCAACAAACGATCAGTGGGAATGAATGGTACCAAAGCTTTTGCAGCAACCACACGCACCGCATAGGACGGGCAGGAAGACAGAGAAATAATGTGGGGCACAAAGCAGGACAGTAGACTGGATGAACTAAAGAAGGAAAACACAATGAGTCAGTAGAATGAGAAAAGTGCATAAGGTACAAACCAAGTTCAAAGGTTCGCGCATCGATTGGTCTGTACTTCTTGACATCTCTGTTCAGACTGAGTTTCAGACTATGACAACTATTATTCACAAGGAAATCTGGGATACTGCCATACCAGACTACGATAATTTTATTCATTACTTTAGGCTCATTTCCTCTCACATAACTGAAATATGAGTACGAGAAAAGGATAATACCTACCTTTCGTCAGCTTTTGGGCACGGGTGCAGTTTTGATAAAAGAGTCAAAATTGGAAACAATTCAGGCTTTGGCTGCAGTTGGCATAATGAGAGCGGACTGGAGATAGGATCTGCTGTGGACTGAATATGACTGAGAAAGAAGTTATGAAGATCAGGATGGCTGATGAAAAAGTCCCTGGCGCTGATCGTGTTCCTTTCACTATCATCGTCTGCTCCTCTCTGATGACCAAGTAAACGTTTTACCAAAGAACCTTAAATAAGCATATACATAATAAATACCACATGGAAGTGTTTTCTCATCAAAATTTTAATTCAAAATTGTAGAAACCTTACTAATGTCTAGAAACCACGCAAGCAATGCTTAATATATCACTTTCGCAAGTAAAACTGCTTTAGTATATCGCGAAGATGATGATACGTTTGGTACAGAGCGAGATTTTCCATATACACCCATTTGCTACTGTTAATCAAGTGCCTTATCGATCACACACTTGTACAACACCTAGCCCTAGATCAGTTCTGGTTGTTCTGGGATATATCTCAGTTAATAGGCAATTAAATGTTCTTTGCAGATAGAATTGTGGGGAATGGAGTCGTCTTTTTTTAGTTTATGAGTCACTTGTTTCATCTCGATAAGGAAAAGCCGGGAAATTGATGTAAAAGAAACTGAAAATACTTTTGCAACTTCGCTGGTGACCAAATTAAGATCATTGCCCGAAGTCCCATCTTTCCCTAAATATTCATAAAACACAAGGTCGATTTCTCCGTGATGCCTGACATTGTACTGCCAAGTCCCGTCAATACGGACACTCAATGCCATAAAGACTGTCCGTAATAATGAGGTGTACGCATTAAGCGGGTGTCAGTAAAGCAGTGATTGACTTTAATTGGCTCCTGTCTTAGGACTTCACTGTATGTATTGTATTAACCCTTTCACTGCCAAATGTGACCAAAAGCAAATTCAACAAAAATCCCAAATTTCCTTTCGTAAAACTTTTAAAAACAAATAGCACCCCATGAAAGTACTTCCAAAGAGATTTCATTTGAATGGTCACACCATGGGTTTGTCTACAGACATAAAAGTTAGAGCTACCTTACAAAACTCCATCATTCACTCTAGCAGTGAAAGGGTAAACCTCTTACCAAATAACTGCATGGAAGCATTTCTGACGGCCCATGACGAAGATGCAAAACCACTGACGGCCATAATGGTCCCCTTTGAGGCATACTGCAGCACTGAAGGACCCAGGGATGCTTCTTGGTAAAGAGCCTTTAATATGTTAATGGCATGTACCTGCGTTTCCAAAAAAAAAATTCAAATGAATAACACTGATGCATTGTACTGTAAAATAATATATATACAAAAGACTTTTAATACCTGAGGAAGATCGTTGTGTTGGTCAATAACCGATGGAAGAGGTAAGGCTGCAGTATTAAGAAGTGACTCCATACACTGCTGTAACAAAGGTCTTTGATTTGATGGTTGTTCACAGGACAAAACAACACAGATAACCACAGGCAAACCAGCACTGAAAAACAAAGAGATGTTAGTGATGGTCGTAAGGAGCTAGTAAAGAAAATGAAAAATAAGCCCCTTTATACGAAGTAATCAAAATTATTGATACGAACTATTACTACATTTAGGTTTGAAATGATATTAAATGTAAAGTAAAAAAAACTGTCTCTCTTACTCTACGCCACCTCCCTTTCAGGCTTGATTAAGACAGCACCTTACAAAGGATGAAATGGTTACCTGCGTCTAGTGACAGACGATACCGAACATGTTGAGGACACTGTGCTCAACACATCATTTCATCAGCTGTGAGGAAACTTTCTGCTGACGTACAACACTATACAAAGTCAGTAAAGTACGGTTCCACTACCTGCGTCTAGTAACAGACGTTACAGAGCTTGCTGAAGACACTGTACTCAACACATCATCTAACCAGCTCTTTGGTAATGTTTGAAGACAAGGATGCGATGATCGGAATAAACACTGACAAATTCTTACAAAACTTCCTCTGCAATGTTGGACAACTCCCTGAGGAGAAAATGGAATATTTTCGTACACTTTAGCTAAGATTGACAAATGGAAAACATAAAAATTATTTAAACCGTACAAACTGAAAACTGAAAAGTGTAAAGTGAAAAGTATTACAACATTTTATCTTTCCAGTTAAACGCTATATTTAACAAATACCTTTCACTGGCCAATTTGGTGCACCAGACCAATATGGTGGGAGTCAAACTTTTATGATTTAGGCAATTTCTTTTGTTTCAATATATTAACAATAGTGCTGGCCATGCGAATGAAAACACTCTACAGAAAAACCTGTATTAAGTACCGGGGTACCACCAAATAATTTTCAGTATCTTTAGGTCAGTCTGCAGTGAGCGGTGAGTTAGCCATTTTCAAAGGCTGACCGCTTAACAAAGGTTTGGCTGTGTATGAGTAGATAATGACAAAAGTTATCAAACGATTATACGCGAGAAATGTTGGTACCTGGTGTCTGCACTGTATAATAACTTTCCATGTTGTTTCTGCCATCAGCTTTAAAGTTTCTTCACTTACTACTCTCGCTTTTGACACGCAATCCAGATGCATGGAGGCCTTTTCAAAAATAGCTGCCAGAAGGTGACATGCACACTGCAGAAAAATGTACTTAAATTATGAGTTTCGTGTAGATTAACTGTAACGAAATGTAAAATTGTAAGTTAAGTGTCCCTGATCATTTTATCAATGTTACCATGGATACTTTAGCCACAGACAACTTAAGCAGTAGACGTACTCAATAAGCAACAAAATTAGAATGTCTGACCTTGATATGAAGCCAGCAACATGAAATAACAGCGTCTTTGGAGGACTGAACATCCTCGGTTTCCACATCCATTTCTGATAGCGATAATATTTCCTCAAGAGCTTGTCCGATATCAGCAAACGATGCCCCACCAACTAAGTGACAATAATAAAGGTAACAAAAAGTTAAAAAATTCAATCACTAAAAGGATAAAAACCGGTAAAACTATAATCATTTTTCCTTTCTCTTCTTAAAGGTACTTTTATAACACTGCTTGAAGATTCCCTAGCAGTAACTTTGGCAGTGACTGGGAGTTGTGGGGGGCGGGGGTGGAGGTTATGGGACCCATTCCCTGAAACACCAAGTAAAGCAATGATATATTATCGCATGACATGTAAGGGATACAACGCTATTTGCAGAAATTGTAAATGCATTACTTCGCTGATTCAAACGGCAAGTTGTATTAACAAGTTCGGGGCATAAATATTATTGACCTTCTAAGGCTTTCGCCAGCCTTAGATGTGAGGAAATTCATTGTCCTCTTCATTAAACCCAGACCCTTGTAACGAAAGCCCCATCATTGAAGAATGCCATACTTGCTTCTGTTGAATGGTTCCCTGACAGCATGTCCAGCATGTAATAAATAATATGAACAGCTGTATCAACAGTGTCTTTAATTAGAATCTGAAGATGATCCCTGCATTCTACATCTTTACAGAATCCAGCCTCAATGCAATGCGCCAAAGCCAAGGAAATGCCTGCATAATATAAAAGAACAAAAATTCAAAAAAGTAAAAATATTTTACCTACTTGGAAGAAAAATTTACGCTCTCTTCCTCTAAACCAAACACTTCAAAAACAAGGCAAAAAACTAAAACAAGGAATCCTTACACTTTATTAACCAGTGATTGGATAAATAACTGGGAAAATACATCGCTGCTTAACCGACAGATCTAGGTGATTCATATTTTGACGCATAACTAAGCAACAGGAGAGCTGGGTGTGTTGAAGGCAATCAAAATGGTTCGACGAATGTCACAAGTAAACCAGGCTCCCCCTCAAAACATGTTCCCTTCTCCTAGCTTACTTACCATGGCCTGGTGCATTTTGTGCAGCAACCTTAATGTCCTTCTCTGTAGCTTCCACGTGTAGTTTTAACACTACCAACAACTGCTGTAATAGTTTAACTGAACTGCAGGGCCTTTCATCGCCAAGCAATGTTCCATCGATGATTACGGGATCCGTGTCCACATCTGATAATTTCATTTCCCACCCCACCTCCAGGGCATACCTTCAAACGAAAACATATAATTCAATTAAACTAGTAATAACCAAAGGTTACGAAATGCGGGCGACAACATGGAACTTAAGCTTCGAGGAAGAAATGAGACGACGAAGCCGACCGGAAGTGAAATTTTCCCTAGCGAACCTTGTGCCCATGGGTAAGGTTGTCGAAACGTCGTCAGGCTTTTGTCGACGACGAAAGTCAGTGAGGTTTGCTGTAACGTAAGTATAAAATTCTGCTTTATGCGTGCAAATCATACTTTTTTCCCTCGAAATTCAGTAAAAATAGAAATATATTCTTTGTAGATTAGCGAAATTTAAAGGTTTAGCGCTTTCTCCATTTCTTCGCTTAATAACTAGAATGTTTCTTTGGGGTTATCAGTTTGACTGAAACTCTAGCTGTCGTGGCGGAGCAACCAGTCGAAAGGATATGTGAGTTTTCCTCTGTGATTTCAGTAAGTTCATCATCATGGATTAAACCATAGTCATGGAGGTCTCTGAATGCCATAATAATAAGACTAAAGAAGACGTCGTCGAAAAACCATCGTCTGTCAGGGAAGCTGCACCGCTTCAACTTCGTTTTCCCCGCCGAAAACGAAACCCTTGAATCAGTCTAGCTCGGTTGCAGCGTCGTCGTCGTCGTCGTCCGTTCGTTGTCGTTCCTTAAGGTTCCTAACGATCGAAGGTCAAAACGCTTTTACTCCAGGGTTGTGCTTTGCTTAAGTTTCACGTGACAGATGGTCAAAACACTAGTGATCAGATAACGAGTGATAGAAGGTCCAAACGTGCGTGATCAAAGTGCGTTCTGTGCATTCCATACATTCTTAGTGGAAGTCTAAACGAATGCTGGCTACATACATGCGACGCATGCGTAATAACAACCTGGAGATTAGGATTGCAGACTGCTCTTGTCACCCGCAATAATATAAAGTCGTGTGGTATACCAGGGAAATGTTTATCAGTTGTGCTCTTTAACGCAACATCCATCGATAATCCCACTTTAAATAAGAACTGTTTATTCAAGATGTTTTAAGATGAACTTTTGGTCCAGGATTTAGTTTGTCATCCATCGTGGGGAGATGAAATTGGCTGATTATGACCAAAAACATTTTGCGCTCCATTTATTGAAGACAAACACCACTGACAAGGCTTCCTCTGAAGCAAACCATTGTCAATAAATGAATATGTGTCAACTATCGCTAACAACAACTACCTTCAGATAGTGGATACAAACCTGAGATACATTAGCTGAAACAGAACGGCTGCACACTCACAGTCTTGCACTCTAGGGCTTCTTGCTAATGAAAAGGCCTTTCGTATAAGCATACGCGCAGCCAATATGCCGGTGGAATCATCCTCGGACAGTATCAGTGGCCATGGAAAGTATTCCTTCAGAAGATATACTCCCGTGCCTCGAATCTGTAATGACAAACATCTTAGCTCATCTAAAAAAAGTCCACCAAGCTAAGACGCTTTTCTGTTGCACGTAGTATTAGGCCTGCCTCTAAAGATTCACAATCATATTCAACTTAAATCGCTTAAGTCGACCATAGAATAATCAGCAAATGTCTCTCAGTCTATCTGTTTGTCTATGTTTCTGTGTTTAAGCGCTCACTATAATGCAACTCCGTCGGCTTCCTTGTATGGCAACAAATATTGAAACAAGATGAGGAGCTCGATAATGAAACGAGGTAAATGTTTTGTTTCTTTTTTTTATCATTACAACTTATTTCACATATGAACACGCGATGATTAAAATTAATCTGTTCGTATTTCAAATGATCTGTGCAGTCTGAGGGGTCCTGCAGGGTGGAATCACCTCGGACCTCAGCACGTGAAGAAACGATAGAATAACACGGCCCTTTTAACAAACATTACTTACATCTGGATATGGACTCTCAATACAGCCACACAAGACTACACTACACCTAACGACAAACAAAAACCAAACATTTTAGGAATAAATATCAAACTTCGCCCTTGAAAGCATTTCATGATAGTTGCTTTAACAATTGCTTCCTCCCTGACCATTTTAGTGAGTAGTCTTCGTTACAGAAGAAGTTGTAATTTTAGTTACAGATGCTGTATTGAATACCTAAAAGGTGTTAGTACACCAGTCACCTGGAATTAACTTTTTCAGAGGCTATTAAAAAGCTAATTCTCACCTGGGAGAAAAGAACTTTAAGTAGCCATGTTGATTGGCCAAAGAGAGTAGTATGTGGCAAGAAGCTGTGAAGAATAGAAGGCAATACCAGAATTACGAAACAAACTACAGAAATACATGACAACATTTTAAATATCACTACCTAATAAATCGTATTAATAAACCAGAACGGGACAGTTCTAAATAATCATGGGACACTGCGGGATGATGGATTGATCACAAACAGCTCACACACAGAAAGGAAGTCTCTTTTGACTCACCTGGTGGTTGGCCTTTTTTCTTGTCTGGTTGCCATTTTGCCCAAAACACCTCCAAAATTGCTTCTAAAACCTGAATGGCTAGGAAATGACGATAAACAGATATCTTTTATGCAAGATGTGCCCTATCTTAATCAGCATGAAAATGGCATGAATGTTTCTGTTAGTACATTAACCTGACTGATCATGCGGGACTGGAGCTTGGCAACTAAATCTCAAGGTTTAATGTTTGACTGGTGACGAAGTGAGGTAAAACCTTAACAAACTCTGGGCACATTTGTCCCCGAAAACTTTGACTGGGAATGTAACTAGTCAGGAAAAGAGGTATTGGAGGTGGAAATGCAAGTACCAGGTGGTGGGGACACAAGCATGTTCGTTAAGGACACGAGACGTGAGGACTATACTACTGTAAGGAGGGGAAACAAGTACTTGTTGGAATAAGAACACTAGACTAGCCTAGAAAATGGTGAGACATGGGCTGGTTACAATTTTACTATAAGAATGTACGATTTTGGAGGCGCAATTCATTTTGAAAACTCACTTTCCCCGCAAGGTACAGTGTTAAAGTACATAAATATGACAAAAGGTCGAAGACCATAAGTAAATAAACAAATGCAGCACGTTTTTCTAAAATGTACAAAAACAGATTAAACATACCATACCAACCACGTTGGGCAGTAACGGAATTCTAGTTTTACACCTTCAAGAAAATTTCTAGTCCTTAGTGCTGTATAGATTTTTATGACTTCCTAACTGTAATAGATAACCCGTTGAAAAACATAAACAGTTTCTTACCACTCTTTTGTCTTTGATAGGTAGCTCCAGGAAAAAAGCATCCGACAGCGACATCATACAGCCATGTCACAAACTCTGCCACATAATCATGTCACGTGCACAAAACAGTATCTTCAAATACGTGAACATAGAGCAAGTTTTCTTCATAACGCTTAAACTGGTGTGAGGAACCCAGCCAAACTATGAATAACTGTCAGCCAGTCAGACTCTTTGTTTTAATGTAGTTTTATTGAACTAATCCCTAATAATGTGAAAGAAAATTAGCCCCCTTTGATTTATTAAAGGTTTTAAGTTAACAAACCCAGACAATGGTGGGACTTGAGTTCATAACTTCCAAAACATATCAAGAAAGGATAGAAAATTGTTGAGTAAGGGCAATAGCCAAACAGTAATAACCTCCCCTGGCCCAAGAAAAATATTGGGAAAGGGGGCTATAAAGATATAAAGATGCTGGACACTCACCAAACATTGATTTTAGAGACAGATGAAGAGAATGCTGATTGATGGAAGAAGAGTGGCATGTTTTTTCCTGGCTGATGATTGGTTTGTGTTCTTTCAACAGGATAAGGCTTTTGTTCATTGGAAAGAAAAAAAAATCATAACTCATTACATTATAATTCACCATCATTTTTTAAATCTAAATTTACACAATTTGCAGCATACAAACCTACTGTCTCGCACTCTGCCAAGAATCTTTTTCAGAGATACGAACAACGTCTGTCGAAATGGAGCCGAAGCAGTGTTCAAGTTAAAAGGAAGAAATTCACGCAGGAGCTTCTGTTCAATTTCCGACAAGGGTTCTGAAAATTAGCAAGTGAGAAAGTATTAATAGGAACGGAAAGACAAGGCCAGAATGCCCCTACTGTATAAACTTAAACAATTGCTGTGAACATGAACTGCAGTGTTTGGCTGTGAAAGCCACGAAATCGGGCTCTGAAGAGGAATAACTATCTGCTGCCAACTGTCAAGGATAGTTTTTTCAGTCACAAGATGCTTTACTACAATAGATGTTAAAAACGGGTATTGGCGATTGTCCTCTTAGGTGTTTTGGGTTAAAAGGACACTAGCACCAGTATGGAGAACTCAGACCTGTTAAGCCAAATAATACCGAACCTAAAACACGAGGAGAGTTTTATATTCCACAAAGAATTCAAAAGAAACCTTGTTTCCTACAGTGGTGCATCAAGTAGGGAATCCGATAATAATCTATCAGCTTGTGACTCTACTAATGAATCGTATATTAACAGAGACTTTACTTACCAGCAGTCTTGGGTGTAAAGCTAATGACTGAAAGGGCAGTTGATCTGATGTCATCTTCTAAATGAGTCAATCCTTGATGCAAAGCAGCTTCATCCTAATGTATAGAGTGGGCTGTGTCAAAATCGAAGCTGTTCATGTACACTAGTAATTATCACTTGTTGTCAAGTCACTCCATTTCATTCAATTAACGTGACAACTGGTCCAATTTAAGCGTTGAAGTTGACTGGCGAGACAATAACAAACTTCAGTTCTTCTAATTAGCCCCGTAATTAGAATTATTCTACAGAGAATCTGTAAACGATTTACAGTAAATCTATAATGTAAATGTGCCTACCAGGTCTTCAGCCTGCAGAAGGGACAGGGAACGGCTGACTTTTAAGACAGAGAGGTAAGCCAAAAAACACCTTGATGTTTCTGCTGCTCTAACGCACTTTTCATAAGCACTTCTTAGATGTTGAAGTAAAGAGTGAAGTAATTCAGGGTAACACTTCAGTGCACAAGGCAGCCAATACAAACATGTATTCTGTTGCAGTAAACTGTCAATCAAAAAGCACAAAGCAACAGCATCATCTAAAGAGCTACACTATCAAAATGAACCTTTTTGTCCACAATAAAAAAACAGAGAAGGAAATCATCTCGTACTAGCTCACCGTTCTCTGCTGGTTAAGGCTCTATACAATGCACCTTTCCAAGTTTTTTGCCAGTCTTTGTTAATCTTGGATTGCTCCTGTAGAGAAGTTGGTGTTTAATAAGAAGCAAAGTACACATCATTAATCACTTACAACGCAGGTAACCAAGCAAATTGTTCCTAACAGGTTCTATGTATTTTAGGGAAATATTTCAAGCATGTAAGATGGGCTGCTAGATAAGAAACTTGTTTCACAAGACTACATCAACTACCATACAAACCAGCAAAAAGTCTGATAGAGACCTTTTTGTCAGTTTCTTCCTCTGAGGAGTCTAAGGGGACCTGTTATTAAGACAACGAATTCCCCGATCGAGCAAGGAGAACCAACCAATAAACGTAAAAACAATCATGTAAACTAGGAGAAGCAAGTTAACTACAAAAAAACACGAAACGGGAACCAGAGCAGCTACGAGAATCATAAAACTGGGAGGACCACAAGGAACACATATCATTACATTAAGACAAAGAATACTGTAGATTCATTTCATTAGATTCATCAGGACGTTAAATGAACACACGTGAAGTTTTCCCCAACATAAAAGGAGCATGAAACAAATGTGGTGTCTACCTGCTTGCCTGTCGCTGGTCCTTCCTGATGACTTCTACAGAAATAACAAACGGGTGTTTACTTACTTCGAGAAACTTAATTGATTAACACGATAAAGAGTGTGGACACAACCCATAAAATAATACTGGCGAATGTGCCTTCAGGGTCACTGCATTTACAGAACACAAAAATGTTGAAAAGATATGGAACGATGAGAAGGTGGCGGAGGAGATGTAGAAGGGGCTGTTGATCAAGCTACCAAAGAATAGCCACCAGAGCCACTGAAAAAACTGGCGTATCATCATGCTGCTGAATGCTAAACATGACAAGTAAAGTGTTCTGCAGAGTGATTTTAAGGGGATTAAAACGGCATTAGTCAATGATCTAGTAGGGTTTTCAAGCTGGTCGGAGCTGTATGGACTACAGAGCGACGCTGAGAATTACGGCGGAACAGTGTACAATCCGTGTACATCAGCTTTATAGAGTTTTCGTAAAGGCCTTTGACAGTGTTAGCAGAGGGTTGTTATAGCAGCTGTTGCGCCATTATGGAAAGCCTGTCCTCACAGCGACCATCATCATTGCTCTGCACAGTACGTTGGGTTTTTCCGAGTAGGTTGTACATAATGGACAGAAGGGCATGAAAACATCTCCAGGTCATTAGCGAAACCCAGAGTGACTAAAAACAGCAAGGGTAACTGCAGGTAACAGGACACAGTATACGCGGGACAAGACCCGTCTTTGGAGGAACAGAGTGAGAAGGTTAGTTTAAACGTCAATGCCACAAAGACAAGTTTCCGTGTCGGTTCCAAGCAGGGTCAAGATGTAATGATTGCGAGGAAGCAAATTGAGGAGGTAGCGAGTTCAGGTACCTTGGAGTGTAGTGGCTAAGAAGGGGAAACTTAGGAGGACACCCAGGCTCGCACTGAGAACCTGAGGAGGGTGTTCATGATGCTGAGACTGATATGGCAGTCCATACCACTGAGAACGAGGAATATGCAGAAACTTGTAGATTGACCCAGGAGCTGAAGCAAACGTTGCAGGTGATTATTAAGAAGTGCCTAAGGAGCATCCTGCAGATTTGGTGGCCATGAAGAATCCGAAATGAAGAGTTGTGGAGACAGGCAAGGCAGCCACCGATAGAGAAGGAGATAACATGGCCGCACATACTGAAGGTGATGTTACACGTTACGATTCGCAACGAAGATTTTTAGCGCAACACAGCGTTGCAATATTGTTGCGACATTGTTTTGAATGGTTACATTGTTCCAGCATTGCAACGCTGTGTTGCGCTAAAAATCCTCGTTGCGAATCGTAACGTGTAACATCACCTTGAGGAGACCAGACAGACATGAAGCCAAGACAGCCATTGAATGGAACTGACAGGGGAAACATGAGAGAGGGAGACACCGCCTAGTACACTTGGAATCACACAAAGATTATACACCTTTAATCAGAGCACGGATTTATGTGGCATTAGACGAACGTGACGTCACTGCTCTAAATTCCACTGTTTATAAGAATGTGACTTTAAGTAAGCTTAGACCACTGCAAACGAAGCATTAATTAACGGCAGCCTTGGCAGATGTTACACATGATTTAAGTGGCTTAAAAATTACCCCCCGCATGCAACAAGTTCCACAAAACGTTTCCTGCAAAGTTACCATAACAATTTGAGAAAAACGGAGAGAATATTCTAAAACTTAACTAATATCAAGGTATACCTTTCCCATTCGAGAAAAGCCTTGAATGCACTTGTTGAGGGTGAGGTTAGTTGATTCACTCCAAGGCAGTGAATCATGTCATCTAAGATAGTAGGGCTTTTACCTATGATCTGAAAATAGAAAGTCACCTTACAAAAAACTTTTTTTTAAAAAAAAAATTGAAAACTAACCACACTTGCAGTGACAATAAGCGATGAACACACTGACTGGAACCAGTCATGAAGAAGACAACCTATGCGGGATATTCTTTAGGCAAAAAAATAAATCTGTCACTACTCTAACTTTGCCGCTTGATTTAGAAATTATATATTACGTTTCTACTGCATGACTACGAAGGCTGCTTTTACAAACACAAGGGATTTTTTTAGGTCCACTCCATCTTTCTCAACTTTATTTGATGAAAAAAAGTGCTGCAAATAATGGTTGAAACTTAATTAAATAAAAAGTGGACGTCGGGTACAACAAAGGTTTGAATATAAAAATGTTACTTGAAAACAGATGAGAAAAATAGGTTTTAAAGAACATAAATAGTTGTTGACAATATATTTTGGTCGTCTACTAGGTTCACTTGTGAAATGTTTTTCAATACTCAAAGAGAAATTTCCTACATCCAGGAGGGCCACATAATATCATCCACGTAACATATTTAAACCCAAACTGTACATTCAAATAGGTAACCTGTTGAAGTCCAACATATGGCAGAAGTGCGCAGATCAAGCCATATCTCCCTTTCACGTGCCAAGCAACACCAAGAGCCTTTTCTGTGAGTGCCTCATAAAACTGAAACAATAAATTCAAGTGTGGCAAAATGACTAGGTATAATTCAATTCAATTCAATTCAATTCTTTATTCACACTATATAAGATATTTACATAAGTGTACGTAGTAGGAAAATAAAGTAGCTGACAAATAATAATTAACTAAAAGACATTAAGTTCATTTGTGTACGGTGTCCGAAGTAGCAAGAGCTTTCTTGTTGGAAACCGTCATGTTGAAATAATTGGCAGCAGTAAAGAGAACAACCACGCTAACATAAGAAACCTGGTTATTATAATATACAGGAGGAGACATGCTACAGAATTGCAAGACGCTTTTAACTTCGGTTTGTCTGAAAATGTGCAAAGTTTGTTGCAAATGGATAAATATTTCATGTTAACTTCTAAGTGCATTGCTCTTTTTCTAAACTAAGCATTCATCAATTAATATTAAATCCATGTGAAAATAATCAGAAGTAGTTACATTTGCTTTTGCTTTATTATTGCTGTATTTATTTTCGCCATTTAAAAATGGGTTATTGACAAAGGCAAACGCTGCCAAATTAGATGGAAATCAAAGCAGTTTGTTTCCCAACTGCAAATGATTTGCATAACTCACACGTGAGTAAAGGGCCCTCATAATAAGCGGGTCTAAAATCATTAATACACAGGACTGTACAGTTTGAACAAAAACGTGTATGGCCCCAACAAGAGAAGATTAGTGTGCATGAAAGTGGGTCACAGCAATTCACGTCTGACCCTTTTTTATTTGTTCTTCTAAAACCCACGTAAAATTTTTAGTATTTGTTATTTTTTCGTTTGCTCCTACCTCAATATCTTTAAATAAATCCTAAAAATTTTCGAGTATTATAAAGATGGAAAAACATGCAGTCTTGCATTTTCTAAGTTTGCGAATTGTGCTATTCATAGCTCAGAATACTGTTATAATTTTTTTGGTAGCTTATGTTTCCAGTCCCAATAACCCTCTGTAGTTTCTAACCTGTTCATCACTTGAACTTTTGAGAGCCTCTTCCTTTTTGTGTAATTCGAGTAACATTCCAAACAATGTAACAACCAGAGACGGCACACCATCTATCTAGGAATTAACATATAGTACAACTTTAAAGAAATGCTACAGGGTTCAGTTGTTGAAACACTGAGTTTGACCATATGAAAGTTAGAGCAAACTTAAACTAGAACTTTACAGTGACAGACTCTCCAACGCTTGTGTGACTGTGTTTATGTTTGTCTACACCTGCACTTGGCAGTGAGCAAACCAAAAGCTTAACCTACTTCCGTCACTTTGCACATTTAACTTTTCATCATTTGTTTAATTTGTTTTTCCGTTTTTGTTCTTCCAACGTTCTTTAATAGCCAGACTGTTTATGATATTTGTTAATAGTGCCAAACAGTTGTAAAAAATCTGAAATGTTAAAAAGAAACTGTTTCAGTTCTTGAATAGACTTTACAGCAACTTATTAGGACATTGAAAAAACCTTAACGGTGCCAACTGGTGACAGGTTAGCTCAAAACCAACCTGAGCAGGAAAAAAGGGAAAAACACTGCAAGTCACTGCTCACAAACAGTCATTGAGCACAGCAGAAAATGGAAAATGGGAAAAGTGATTGCCAACCACTTCACTCACTGGGTCTTCAAGATTTTTCCAAATAACATCAATAAGATGACTTGCATGAAAAGAATCAAGTCTTGTCAGCCATGTACTATCCTTAGGAAAGACACTGCATTGCAACAGATTCTTGATACAAAGCAACCATTGTCTCATGGCTTTGGGAATAAACAAACGAAACAAATGTCAAGCCTCTACTAGCTAAGGCAAAGCACTGGCAAGTCAGTAGTTAGTAGCATTCATTTTACTTTCTTTTTACATCCCTCTTCAATAAACAATTATAGGGTGAGGTTTTTGTAATTTCCAGATTAATCACGGTTGAGGTGAGTGTTACCAGCCAAGCCAAAGGCCAAGGCTGATAACACTTACCCAGACCTTCAGTTGATTCAGTTCTGGACATCACACAAACCGAATCTAATATTAATTTTATTATACATTGGTTTGAAGAAAATAACCACAAACACACCATCATCACACAGAGTTTGACATTGTTCTTGAAAATCATGCACTGTGCATGCAACCTACAGATTAGTCACTAATCTGCACGCAGATAACAAACTAATCTGTAGGTTGTGCTGGTTTCCAGAATTAACTGTAGGCTCCCAGCCAATGAGAAGACAGATATGAGTAAAATGTATAATAATCAGGTTCAACAGGCTGACAATGGAAAGTACCCAATAGGTTCTACAATGTTTAAGTTCAACAGACAAAGAAGGGGGTGAGGGTGGAGCAGCCACTGGAGGACATATCCTAGCCCGGGCTATGTTACATGTGGGTTCAGTTTGTTCTTGGTTATCACCCTTGGTCCACGAGGATCTTCTCCAAGTTAGGATTGCATGGGTATTTTCTCCTTTCTTCTAAAACAAAACATCAAAATTCCAGTTTGCTCAGGAATGCACGAGCACTTGTTGAAAAAGGAGCATTGTGGATACACAAATAACATTTTAAGCTATTGCATGCCTCAGTAGACTTTGGATAGCTATAAAGAGATATTCAACTATATGTAAATGTTTGTTTATGGTCACGCTCACCAATGTTTTCAAGATTAGCAAGTTACCTTCAATAGCCAAGTAGTGAACTGGTGAATTCTTGCTCTCGAAGCAAAGGTCATAAATGGTTTTGAAGAGCAGTCCCTCTACAAGGGTAGTTTGTTTTTTACTTTCTTCCTGGGTACACAAATTTTCAGAAACCTGTTAAATTGAATTACACCTGTGTGTCTTTGAGCACCTCTGGCGTTAAATCTATTATAAGCCACAGAGGCTGTTTTTACCTTTCTAACTAACTCCATTATAAGATCGTAAAAATGTATTATCTGTACCGTATCTTATCAAAAGCCCGTCATTGGATATTAAAGCCTATTCCTGTCAAAAAATTCATCAGTTTCCTTTAATGTTTTTTTGATAAGTTACAATTGTGAAACACTGAGGCAGTATGCCTTTTTAAAAAGTTACAAATAAATTTATTTTATTCATAAATGACTGTGTTATGTGCCTTCCTGACAGTTAAGGACTATTAAGCCAAAATAGTTCCTTACTTTTTAATAAAGACATACCTTGTGGAGTGTTTCACTGTATGTAGCCAGAAGCATTTTGTTCTTTTGTGACTTCAATATACCCATAACAATGGATAATTGTGTGGTGGGTTTGTACTTTGCTGCTGGCAGTCTAAATTTGAAACAACCAATTTTCAAGATGCCAGGATTCGTAACTTCTCGGTTTTCCACAGAAGAGGCACCTACAATCAACAATATGTACTACCAGTCTTTACCCTTTAGTTAAACAACCATGCTCCTAACATTAAAACAATAACAAATACCAATTTATGCTGTTAACTCCAAGAATCATCTGCAGACAAAATCAAGGATTAAGAGAAAGATTGATATTGGAGAACTCAGGCAAAAAAGAAGTTGCACAGTGTAAGCAAAAGACACTGAAGAGATCAAACAAGACCTTGATCAAGCTGAGAGTCTACAAAAAGGGAGAAAAAGAAAGTCAAAGCCATAAATCGCGACAAGAAGTAAAGTCTTAAAGGCTGCATGGCTTCAAGAGACTACCCCTTAGGGGATGAGGAATAACAGAGTATAAAGACATAATTATGGGAAACAAAGAGCTTGGTTAAATAAAAATAGCAAAATGGAAATAAGAAAATAAAAATACTCATCTTACCTGCTACTAACAGCAGCTGTATAATGGATTCCCTAGTGGAGACAAATATCTTCAGCTCTGTGCAGATGATTCCCAATAACAAGCCAACAGCTGTTCCACAAAGCAATGTACATTCCTTAGGAAGGTCCTTTTTGGCAGAATACAATAGAGAGAATAAGAATCACATTTAAGGTAAATGGCAAATGTCAGATTGAAGTTGAAAATTTCTGAAAATTTCAAATGAGCAGAAAATAGCTGTACCAAATAATTCTCACGGATGAAACTGGCAAAGAAGAAACTATCATATTCTTGTGCAGACAATAATAATATTAATGAATAGCACAGAACAAATTATAGTAAAACATGGGCATCTGGAAAAACTAGGATTCTGGAACAGGAACCGGAACTGGAATGTTATCTTGTGGAAAAAGGCCGACCATAATCAGTGGTAAAAACTTTTTATGATAAGGAACCAACCATTTCACTGTTGACAGGGTATGGGGTGGCTTAAACAATAATTTATTTTCCACCCCGCTACTGTAGTCAATTTTTAATTCTATAGTAGATATAGCCTCCCCGCAGATGTCCTTTGGGGTTCATTTGTGACGTATTCATTTCTCCCATGGACCAGATGTCCGTGGGGGAGAAATGAATATGTGACAAACGAACCCCAAAGGATGTCTGCAGGGAGGCTATAGTAGATACAGCTGTATTTGATATTCTTCCATTACAAGACCAGTTTTTTTAACGGGCAGAAAGCTGTTGTTGTTTACTTTCAAGAACAGGGTTTCAATAGTTTTGCAGATAACGTGATAAACTGGTGATCATTTAACAAAACAAAATGGACTGATTTGTAAGCTAGGATCCACACTTTTACATCACTAGTGGTAAGATACAGCAATTTGAAAAAATACTTAACCAAAAATTCTAACCTCACAAAATAATACTTTCCACAAATTACTGATGAATGTTTGTAGCATCTCTGCCAAATTACCTGTAAGATATGAGATTATTCATATTAGTGCATCTACAATAACAGTGCGACAAGACTCACTATAGGCACACAGAAAACCTTTCTTTTAACTTACTTCTACCAATACATCTCACTAATAATCACTTTCACAGCAGGATCCCAGTGAGCTTATAACTTCAAAAAGACTATATTCAAGTTGTCTGAGTTCATCAATTCATGTGTACATGTAAGGTGCCAATGAAACTACTGACTGCAATTCGGCCACGTTTGATCTGAGTGAGTAAACTATCGGCAGGACTTTTCTGCGGGTAACGGGTGACGGGTGGCGGGTAGCGGGTGACGGGTAGTGGGTCAGGCTGCAAAAAATAAAAAAATAAACATAAAAAGGGGAAATCAAAAAAAAGAAAACAAATACTAAACATTACAAAAAGCGATATTTTAGCAATATTCTTCTACACGATATCGCATGCACGAGATAGCTTGAGGAACTCATAAATATTTATCCTGCGACCAGACAAGTAAGATCGCATTCTCCTCTCGACATGTTTGAACAGTGTCTTTTGTTATAAGTTGGGATAAACATTGCATTGCCCGTGGGATAAATCTTTGCCAATTTGGTTCCCAACTTGTAGTTTAAAATGAACAAAATGTCTGTTTCGAGAAAACAAAGAAACTTTCGTAAGACCAAAGCAACAAAGCTGTCAATGTTAATGTGTACCAGAGAAGAAGCAAGAATGTTTTTGCCACAGCATGGACCGTTTTCGCCGCATGTGGCGTCTCGGACGCGAATTGATCTCGTTGTATATATATACAAAAAGGATCTGCATTTTTTAAATACTACTTAAAAATACTGATTAGGATGGCAATCATGCCGCATACTAGGGCAAAAACTGAGCTACGACACGGGAGGCCGAATCTCTTGCAGTCTGTTATAAACACGGCTAAACAGTTCGGGAAGTACTATCATCTTTCATCTTGATGTGGAAGAAAAAGCTAACTAGACAAACAAGATCGACACTTGCCATGTGTCTTGCTTGACATAGCCCATTTTCATTTGACACACCGTGTGTAGCCTGACGACACGTCACTTGCGGTGCGGAGCAAGGAGAGGTGACTGTTTTCACAGGCATGATTTCTCGTTTTTTTTTTCCCATTTTTAGTCCGTGTAAGTAGATAAAACAAAACAAGACAATACTTTTATTTGGAGTCTGGTAGCTAGTACATAAATGTTGAAATTATTTTAAAATTACAACATACAGTTATATCATTATCAATAATAATATTTTATTATAATATTTTATTTTCATATATATTTTTAACCCACCACCTGCCACCTGCCACCCGCCACCCGTCACCCGCTACAACTCACCCGCCACCCGCTGCCCGTCACCCGCTACCCGCGGAAAAGTCCTGCTGGTAAACCATTGGTTTATCCATGTTGTTCAGCAATGTGATTGTTGATATCACCATTTTTTGTTGTTTGTCTATATTTATATATTATATATTTGTCTGTATTTATAGTAATTACAATGTCTCATTATAAATATTGTGTTATAATTTGCACGGAGTTTTACCAATGAAACAAATTCACACACTCTGATGGCTAACTTTGTAAAAAAAAGTTTGCCAGGCAACTATAGTAAAGTAATTTTAAACATCCTGCTTATATTTGCTATTGTCATGGACTACATGGCATCACTGATGGGGTAGCCTTTCTCAAGAACACTTTAGCTTGTACTTAATATCCTCTCTGATTTCATAGCTTGTGTGGAAAATAAACTAAATTTACTTTACCACGATCCACTGAATTAGGAGGTTCACCAGAGAGTAAGTGCTTAATTTCACTTGGGAAGTACTGGAATGTCTTCAGTGCTGCCTACAGTTACAACAGGTATGCTGCATTAGGCAAGGTATAGCTGCAGTATTTATGATTTTTTATATAGAGGAGGTAGACACTGAGTATGTGTAGCAAAACTATGGAAGCAGAGAACAGAAATCTATAGGCTGCAAAGGCTTCAGCCAAGAACATCAGCATCCTTTTATCATCAACAACTACTCCCGCAAGGCAAAGTTAGCAGACAAAACATTTAATCTGGCCAAAGAGACAGATGTCATCGACATGGTTTGTTTTACTTTATTTTGCCTTCTTTACTATTGTAACTGCATTTTAATATCAAGAGGGAAATCCAGGGAAAATCGGTGATAAACTCTATACACTGGTCAACAGATACCTTCAAAAAACACTGGCAATTTTCTGTGTTATGAACTGTCAATAATTCTCCTCCTTCAGTGCATTGCAGCTTTGGAAAAAAGCAATGAATAATTGGTATTGAAATTTAAACTTACGAGCCGCCCTCATTTTATTCCTCTAGGTGGATTGGTGCTAGCCAGATGGAATTCTTGCTTGTTTATAATTATTATTATTATTATTATTATTATTATTATTTATTATTTATTTATTTATTTATTCACTTCTGTCCAAAATTTTTAGGCCACAGTGAAAACTATTTGGTCACCAGTAATAATTGTAATACCCCTTGTAAAGTCTAGGCTTCTATAAAGTAGTAGACCACACAGCAACATTAAGGAGCTGATTGAAGGAAATGAGATAAATTTCCAGAAAACCAAGCTCTTAGCTCTAATATAAAGAAAAAAAATTTATCCTATGAGTATTTTTCATTAAAAATGTCAAAACAATATTGTAGTTGAATGTATTAGAGAATCGTCTGCTCTTAATTAGACATATTAGAATTTCATGGACTAAAAAGGTACTCAATAAACCACTTTGATAAATTCCATACCTCTTGACAATAACTGTCCAGACAATGAGAAATAGTAGCAAGAAAATGATCAAATAGATCCTGCACACACTTCCGTCCAAGGTCACAAATATCAATTAGTTGACAAACTATTAAAATATAAAAACATAGAATTAAAAAATTAATACTGCATTTGATGTTCACACAAAAACTTTACACTGACATGACACACTTAAGATAAGCATTAACTTTACAATGGTTATAGGCAATATTTATTCTCTACCCTTACTTGCTTCGATAATGCTGACATGTTCACTCATCTGTAAAGACAGAAGCTGTGTGATATTCCTTTTCATCTCATATTCTGTATGAGAGGGCTTCAAATTACTAATGGCAATAAATATCTACAAATGAAAAGAATAAAAATTGTTACCCATTTGTAACAATTTGTGATATCATAAGTAAATCAGCATAAATTAGGACAATTTTGCTGTGGTTTTTTTGTGTCATATAGATTTGTGAATTATTTTGATTATCTCCATTAGCCTGTGTCAGCTAGAACAGTTAAGTTAGTGTGAATACTTCAAGATTACAGAGTTAAAAATATAAGGCTCAACTGTGTTAGAAGATGATAGTAGACTATGAAGATCTTAATGGCTCATCAACACTCAAGCAGAAAAATTGTTTTAAGTTATGTATTAGGTCATTTTTCCAATGCTTTAACCACTAATGACAAAACTATAAATCGTTTACTATTGCTGAGTAGCTAAAAACTTTGTTTTCGCCAACCAAAGTACATAGTAATTCTGGTTCTGTGGAATGGTAGACTTGTCATAACAGGGATCCTCCTTCTGTAATTTGTCACTTTTACAATGTCATTCACCTTGCTTGCCCCTAAAAACTTGTATAAGCATTGTACTCAATTTGATTGTCTTTTAATGACTGTAAAACCCAATGGCAGGAGAAATTAGGAACAATCATAATAGGCAAATGAATTGTATCATGAATGATACACAAGTGGTGCATAGCATGTCTCTCTACTACTTGGCTTATTGTTGTCACTTTGCAGTTCAAGATCATGTGAAAAAAGAAAGAAAACATAAAAGACCAGGATAATATGAAGATCGAAATCACTTTACCTTTCTAACTTTTTGGCACAGCTTGAGATTTCTCAAGGAGGCAAGGTAGATTGTGCACCAAATACTGATGACAGTTTGCAGGTCATCTTCATTTAATAAGGCTGCAAAGTCACCATTCTTTAAAATATATGTCCTCAGTGCATCAAGGATTGATAACTTCTGCTTTAGAGAATTCTGCCTAATAAACACAACAAGATCATGATAAAATCTGATTCAATCTCAGATGTCTGGAACATTCAGTAAAAGCAACTACAATAACCATAATTTATAAACACATTCCTTACTTTTGAAGATACAAACCAGAATAAATACAGACTATCTTATAATTAGCATCAAAACATTTCTTCTTTGGGAGGGGTTCTTCACAGTGAAATTTAACATTAGGGTAAGGCATTTGAACACTTTTTTTGCCACTGGTGTAGGGAGTAACCTCTTGACAACGACCAGTTTTATTACTATGGCACCTTGATGATTGACCGCGGCAATCTTATTTTAATTTTGTTTCATTTATACTGCTATGGTAAGTAAAGTGAACGTTGCGAACCTTTCTGGTTTTTTTTCATATTACCATTTTGATTGAAAACATAATTCAAGTTTTTTGTGAATTTTATCTATGGAAGACAGTAAGCATGAACTTAGCACAATAAACATGTTTTACCCCCCCCCCCCGACCCACGCCAAAAAAAAAATTATTGCCATATTATGCCCCTACCTCCCCATAACAGTCACCTCTCTAAAACAGCCACTTTCTTCTGTCTCCAAGGTGGCCATTGTGGAGAGGTTTGACTGTACATCAATTCGGGTTCAAAACACTGTCAACACTCTTTAAACCTAAGCTGTCTTCACTTTTTGAGCTTCAGGTTTTTGTATTATACAACACATTCAAATATAACATCATGTTTAGAGGTAAAGTAACACCCCACACCCCCCAAACCCCCCCCACCCCCGCCCCGCACCCACTTAAGTTTCTCTATATTAAAACCCTCATTACAGCCTCAATTACAGCCCACTACCTTGCACCTCCACAACCACATAGGTCGGAGGTCTGAGTATCCAACAAAAAAAGGAACTTCCGAAGTTCAACTTATGTAAGGAGATATCGCAATCATGACCTAGACTCTAGAAAAAAGTGCTTTCTCAAGCGACTGGGGACGAATCCAAAGGCATGAGATTATATCTGCACGTACGGTAGGCGAAAACTCACTGTAAATACTCCTCGGTCTTCAGAAATATCTCAAGCCATCTATGACGGTCAGAACCTCTGAAAGTCCTTATAAGATTTTGCACCTCTTGGATACAGGACTGTTCATCCACCATTGTTCTAACGACACTCAAATTTACGAGGAAAACAAAACTTTTCCTATCTCCGCACTTTCTCAATGTTCGTCCGCCATTGTTTCACATCGAAACGAGGTAGAGAACACAACTCGTGCCAGTCCCCAACAAAAAGAAAGCGGAGAGCTGCTCATCAAAAATATTTTTATTTCCTTCTCAACTTTTCTGTCTATTAAAAAGCATATCATTATTTTTATTTACTTATTCAAATTATATCTCAGATATGAACATTACCTCTGGATGAAACTCAAACATGGAAACTGAAAATTAAAAAAGGAATAAACATTGATAATCCGTGCAGAGAAAACATTGATGCCGGCTTTCTTCGATGTACTTTATCATTCATAGTCTTTCATTCTATCGCAAAAAGGGGTCAAAAACCGGGTTTTTCTATTTACACACTAAAATCGCTCGCACACGCGACACACGCAAAAACATATCGCGCATAAAAAAAATGACGTCATAGTGTGTTGATATAAATAGTAAGAAAACTGGGAAGACCGCGGTTTCTTATCCGACTGTGGCCTGGATCTAGTTAACTACAAAAATCTGTTGCAACTGTTAAGAAGCACTTTCCGAGAAATTTGTATGTTTCCCTTCTAAAAGGCATTTTATGAGGTAAATGCGCCTGAATGATCATTATTTTGAATGGGTGCATTTCTAGAAAAACCAAAGACTGATAAAGATACAAAGTCTGCGTCGGGAAATGGACTTCGCTATGGAGTGGCGTCCATGCAAGGCTGGCGTATTGAAATGGAAGATGCTCACACGGATATCACTGCCTTGAATCAGGAGCTTCACGAATGGTCATTTTTTGGCATTTTTGACGGCCATGCAGGGTCTAATGCGAGTTTGTATTGTGCGGAGAATCTTTTAAAATGTGTTTTATCTAGCGACGACTTTAAAGCAGCCATCAAAAGTGGGCCATCATCGCCCGATTTGGAGCAGCTTAAAATTGGAATTAAGATGGGATTTTTTGAGCTGGACAAAACGATGAGAGAAAGCCCGACCTGGTCAAACGGAGACGACAAAAGTGGCACGACAGCCGTTACCACTATGATTACTCCTGAACATATTATCTTTGCCAACTGTGGGGACTCTAGAGCCATTTTATGCAGTGATAAGAAAGTGACTTTCAGCACAGTGGATCACAAACCGTCTAACCCAGACGAGAAACTTCGTATCGAAAAGGCTGGAGGTAGTGTTATGATTCAGAGGGTTAACGGTTCTTTGGCAGTTTCTAGGGCTTTGGGAGATTTCGAGTACAAGATGGACTTTACTATAGATCCTTCTGAACAACTGGTTTCTCCTGAACCAGAGATTTCAGTGGTTCCAAGGAGAGATGATGAGGATGAGTTTATTGTTATCGGCTGCGATGGTATCTGGGATGTGATGAGCAATGAAGAAGTGGCAGACTACATTCGGTCAAGAATGCTACTCTCTGACGATTTAGTCCGGATTTGTAGCGACCTTCTCGATACCTGTTTAGCAAAGGTAAGTATAATGACGTTAATAAACTGGTGTTAATCTTGCGAGTCTTTCCGACTAATTTTCTATCGATTTCAAAGTGTATGTACGGCTAATTTTGTACGGATAATCTGGAACAAACTAAGTTAAGCTCATTGACCAAGTGTTATTTTCATTTAATAAATTGTTATTTCAGCGTCATTAGTAAGGTCAAATACCACTTATGGAAATGTACGTGTATATTTCCTGCCAGAAAGGTTATATTGCATTTTGAAGAAGACGCAATTTACATTGTAGAGTTTGCTGTGTCAAATAATAAATTATTGTCACTCAGCTGACTTTTTACACAACCTGAACGTGTATACTATTGATTCGTATAAATACGTTTGTGGAACTACTTTTTGAATACAAGCATTCTGGCCTTGAATTCTCTGAAATTTTTATGGTCCATAGAACATGAATGGGTATGATCTTTCATAACGTATTGTACTGACTTCCTATATCAGTGTCCTTCACTCTCTCAATCCCTTTTGTACTTGTCTTCATCCCAGGGTCTCTTCTTAATAAATCTCCTCTCTGGACTTGTGGATTCATGGTGCCAGTTGGAATTTACCTAAAAAATATCAGCACATGAATTCTTAAAGTATCAAATTTAGCAGGCAATGACTAGCAGGTCTGTCTGCAGCTTTCATTGTCTTGCTTTGTCCATTTCTAATCACTGGTTAACTCATGAGTTACTTTCACAGGTCCTTGCGATAGGCAACATCACTGAAGAGGGGTTGAACATTTCCAACTAGGTTTAGTAATATCAAATAAAAACCATGCAAATTTAAGCCTTGGGTGCCTACTACTCTTCCTATCGTGCCTACTATATTATGATATGGCTTAGTCCACAAGCCAACAAGATGAAGCAAATCGTGTGTACGGATTTTCCATGTTGGTCCTGCAAGGGACAACAACAACAACAATAATCTTTACTTTCCCAATCATTAAGTTTTACAAAAGTGTACTGACCCACAGTTAGCTAGAGCTAATCTTGGCAGGCCAGTCAATGTACATGTTTGCCTATATATAAGATAATCCGGCAAGATTATGCAAAGGGGGAAAGAATTTACAGTACATAAGGGATTTACAGTAAATAAAGTTTATCGGGAAAAGCTGTTGTCAGTTCATAATCTTGTTACTGAGGATTTTATCGTCGAAAATTAATGATCTGGTGTACAGTGTATATCAATGAATGAATCTACTTCTTTGAAAATACTCAGTAGCACACTTTGAATTCCTTTTTTGAATGAAGGTTTCGGCCGTTCTCTCAAAGAACATGGTACCTCATTTCGGAGTTTTGCACATATATGTGAAAAAGCGTTTCTTTGTATTTCAAGGCTTGGTCATTTTATGTAAAAATTGTTTGAGGCAGCAGAGTGAGTGTTGTATGAGTTGATGCTGCTTCAAATCAATGAATCCTTTATTGACCAAGCTTGTTCGCTGGTCAAGATGGCTGGATATTGGCCCCATCCTTTTTTGTGTTTTAATTGAGCTCAACTTCATCTCAGTCCATAAAAACACAAAAAAGCTTGGCCAACATACAGCCCACCTTGACCTCAGTCTTGGTCAATAATGCATATGTACAGGTCACATACTTTTTAGAGTACCCTTTGTTAAGTCCCAATCTTTCATGTAATCAAAGCTAGCCTACCAGGAGTTTTTATTGCTTTATGTTTGATTTCACAGGGAAGTCGAGACAACATGAGTGTAATCTTGGTAACCTTTGGAGGGGCTCCTAAAGTGTGCGAGGAAGCTATCAAACAGGTAGTTTGGTTGACCAACATTCCATACTTACTAGGAAAAGCACCACCCTCAATGCTGACCTTCACCCTTTCCTGCATTATTTGCATTCCCCTTCTCTCCCTCTCTCTTTGTCCCCCCCACATTACAGTTTGTGCTGTTTTCTATCCAGAAATTTCTTAGTGTCACATTTTAGTTCCTTTTCCCAACAATACTTCTTTTTCTCAACACATTAAATTTGGAAAAGAAATTACCTGTTTTTCTTATTCTTTTCCAGCTATATTTCACTTGTTGTCATTAGCTACAATCAGCGACAAAATTGTTGAGACATTTTACTCAAATAGGGTAACTTCAGAGAACAGAAGAATCCACACCCCTCCCCCATACTCTCTTTTCTCCATCTCTTGTGTTTTGTACTTCGCGATCATGCCACAAATCCCAACAACACTTGTTGTGCAGTCTACAAGTTATCACAGTGTCATAGTACATATTCTAGAACAATAAATTTGTTTCTTAACCTTTAACATTATTTATAGGAAGCTGAACTTGAAGCTGACTTAGAGAAAAGAGTAGCTGGTAAGTTGAATTTGTTCTCATAAAGAGTTTCCAGTTAGTTTCTAATAAAAGCCATTCTAATGGGAAATCATTAAGAACAAACTACTCACTAATTTAAACGTGAGCTACTCCCCCCTGCTCCCGGCCCCCCACCAAAAAAAACAACAAAATTAAAAAAGCTCACACAAGCCCTTTGAATAATCATGCAAAAAAAACCTAGGTGGAAAGATGAGGTTCAACACGTCTTGTCTTAGGAAAAATCAGTCACAGCATAACTAAGGCTCATGCTAATCATAATCATCATCATTATCCTTTGTTATTCAAGGTGTTGAGTAGGGTTGTGTACTGCAGGGTATGAAATTTATTTCTTTTTCGGGAAGCCACTATCATAATCATTACGATTAAGGGGTGGACAATTCTGAAAAGTTTGTTTCCAGTTCGTTTTTGAAGCAATTTTAAGATATGTTTAGTTGTAGTGCACACCCCAGATCAGCTGTCATTAAAAAGTGGCCTGTTTCAAACTAGTTTTTAATTTTTATCTGTTTAGGCTGAGACTTTGCACGATAATAGAACTTCATATTTTCAACAAGCGTATGTTTTTGGATTTTTTATTTTAACCGTTTTTGGCGGGAAAATGACGTCATAAGATCGACAGCAAAAAAGAGTTTTCAACTTATGGCATAACAAGCTAAAACTTTTAAAAGAGGTCACAGAGATTAGCTCAAAAATGTGACCCACCATGGTGGTAGAGCTGGAGATAATGGCGGAAAATTACACACATTTTGCAAAGAAGCAGAAGACAAACTTCTGCCTAAAAACATAGCAAGAACAGAAAAAATAAAATTGCTACTTGAAGAATATAAAATTATGTTAGAGTACGTCATCCCTTTATATCCTGAAAACACAGGAACCCTCCGTCAATCAAGTTTAAAAGCTTGTTGTAGTTCAGCAGGGTGCGCCAAAACCTATGTCCGATCATCTGGGACTGGTAGAAATTTAGCTCGGACATGTAAATCTTTATGTTTTTAAGAAAAAGATTAAAACACTACTTTTTAGAGAGGCTTTTATTAGTCAGTTGCCACCCTTTTTTTTCTTTTATTGTATATATTTTCCTTAGTTAATCTTAGCAAGTCGATTGCTTCTTATTTTTTAGAAATTTATTTCTACAACTGTTATATATTCTCTGTAATAAGTCAAATATTTTTATTTATTTATTATTGTTTAGAATTACGATTATTGTAAAGCGCCTTTGAGCTCATGGAAATGGCGCTATATAAATTTTTGTATTATATTATATGACTTTTCCATGGGACAAGCAAATTTTTAATTAGAAAAAATAAGGAAAACATTGAAAATTTACTTCAAATTGTCATAGAATTACTTCTGTTAAGACGTAACTCTTGCCCAGGCCCAAAATTCAAGTGGATAGTGGCCAATCACCAAAAAAAAGACAAAAATAACAGTCTTCATCGTTAGTTTTTCTTTCAAAGCAACCGAGAAAAGAAGAAGTCTTGGATGCTAGCAAAGAGTTTAAAGTGAATCAAGAGAAGATCGTTTGAGCACAACCTTTTGGACAAGAACTCTTGGGTTTTGGACAACCCGTATGAATGATAAAACAGTTATTGAATTTGGCTTCCGTATGGCCTGAAGACTTATGCACGTCTCAGAGGGTGTTATCTGCCTAAGCAGCCAATAACACCCTCTCCATTCTGCATAATTCTTTAGATCATATTCAGCTTCATACAATGATTGCTAAATAGTTTACTCTCAGTGTTCCTTGAAGAGTTATTTCCCAAACAAAACTTATGTGAATACCTATCACTGCCATGGATTTATCTTTCATGGTCTTCCACTAATGTGCATTGGCTACTCCAGCTTAGCACAAAATTTGGCAAAGTCTGGATGAATCATCATGACTCTTCTATTATATTTATAGCTGTGCTTGAAGATAGCAGGGATCCTGGAGTTGTTGACCTGTACTACACCATGCACTGTCTATCAAGCGAAGACATCAAGAACTTGCCACCTGGTGGGGGACTTCCAGCTAAGTAAGAAACTTTACCTAACAACACCACATGACTTAATGAGAAAACAAAGATGTAATGATTTGGTCATGCTGCATTACTGATTCTTAAGTACAAACAGAGAGGAAAACTTGAATGCCAAGTGAAACAACCTCAGAGCAAGGAGAAGAACCAACAACTAGCTCGTATGAAATGTCATAGACTTTTGTTGTTTATCTGCCCTCAAGTACCAAAATGACAACCTTTACAAAACTCTAGAGGGAAACAAAAAAAAAAGTACAATAGCACAAAGGGGGATGGCATCACCTGGGAAAAAATTTTATGTTTGCCCAGATTACCTAGAAACTTGACTAACATTAGTGTCATGTTTGTCAAGTTCATCTTAATATTATTTTTGCAAACATGTAATTTATGAGTGCTTGGAAGTCATTCTTGTTATCTATGTTATCTATATAAGTTTTTTAAAAAACAACATTTGCTACAGTATATGCAGATTTGAAATTACAGTAGTGTTAGTAGCATGTATAGTATGATTAAACACAAAAAAAGGCCTCAAACACCATGACCTAACTTTCTTTAAAAGTGTCTTCAACTACTCACACATGAACATAAAGGAAATAGTTATCTTGTTCTTCATGAGTAATGGCTGCCTTATCATTTTACAGACAAGTTTTCATTCACAAAACTTTGGAAAAACTGATAGCTAAACAATCAGAAGAGGTGAGTGTAAATAACTTTTGTGTATGTCAGACATTTCCACTGCTTTATGTGCTTGGAACTCTAAGAATGTGATTGTATCTCAGGTTCCTCATAAGTAGAATTTTTATGGTATAATAATTTGTGCACAGCTAAATAATTTGTTAAGAAAATGTCATAAGCTACCAGTGAGCTCTTTAAGGGTAATTTTGAGCAAACTCAGCCCTAAAATGTGTAAACTGTTTGTTCAAACATCTGTTATTTAGTTTCAAATATAGGTGCTTTCTAGTCTATTCTTGGGAGTTTGTTTTGTGATTGTCTTGTTCCAAGTCCGACTGTCCTTTCCCTCCTGGATTTTGGTGATAAAAAGGTGTCAGTCAATAATATATGTCTTTTGGAGAGGTCCATTCCTCAATGTAGGGGAGTGATGCAAGAAAAAAACTACGAGCAGAAAATTACAAAATTTGGCTCTTATACTTGCTATAGACCCTTGCAACTTTACATCATATTTGGAAATAGCCAACTGTTTTGCCTTCTTCCTTTCGGGATTTTAGATATTGTTTTGTTCAGTTTGGATTATAATTTGGCATGTTAGCCATTGTGCTGTTAGTGGTGTAGATAGAAATCAATCTCTTCTCATGTAAAGCCAGTACATTCTCTTCGACTCCTACTAATGATTAGGGAAGGGAAATGAGAAGATTTTTGGATCAAAGTCGGTTAAGTACTGGTTTACCGTGAGAACGCATTTTTATTACAGCTTAAACACTGACCAAGGATAAAAATAGAATTAATTTTTGCTTCGTTTTGTTGATAGTCCGATTGAAGGAATGCTGAAGAAGTAGCATCAAGCAATGAAGTATGTTAAGCTGACCTTGCTACTGACGATTTGTTTGTGTTTTAGTGTAGTTTCAGTAAGTTTCATCATAAATATTTGTGTATTAACTCATTTTCCAGGAGTATAGTATAGTTTCAGGAGATTTGGTTGATAATCATTTAAATTATTAATGCATCAAGAAACTGAAAGTATTTTATTAGAAAAGAAACAAAACTGAATCGTGGCAGTTGACGTAATCAATTTCAAGATATCTGAGTGAAAACTTCTTATTGTGTTTCCCTCTAAAAGTGGAACGTTCGTTCTTGTTGACCTAGCACAAAGGCAGCTTTCCATAGTTTTGTCAGTTGTGACTATATGTATTGCCTTGAAATGCGTCCCGCGGAATGAGTGTGGTTAAAGTATCGCTACTAAATCTGAGTCAAACAAGGAGACAAGAATTCCACCTTTAAAGGAAAATACAAATAATTATTGTTAGCAGTGCTTGTAGTCAATGAAATTTTTCCAAATAAAAAGTGCCTTTACCTGGGAAAAATGTAATTTGTCCATTGAACATGACATATTACTAGGTACAGGCCGGTGTATCCTTACTGAGTAGTGCAACTTCTTGTGTTGTTCATCCAGTGTGATATAACAGGCTAGCCACGTTTCTTTTCTAGCTTTTCTCACATTTTTATCAAAGAAGTTTATTTTTACCTGGGAGTAACAATGTTAGAAAACTGTAGGTGTTCTTAAATTTCTGTTGTTACTTTCTTTTGTATAAGCAACTTTCCTGTCATGATAATTCTTTCAAGTGCTTGTAACTTTTTTTAAGACTATTAGCAGTCTATTTGCTGCCTTACTTTCAAACAGGGCTTAGTTGTCTCTCATATTACCTTGATACTTGCACACTGCTATTAATCAGTCCCAAACGTCTTTAAAATGGCTTTAGTTACTGAACCGTTAAGGCCGGTTTTCACAGTAAAGCTTTGTCGTATGCTATAAATCGTTGCAAGTAAATCAAACCTCGAACAATCATACGTCAGTTGAAGTTTCATAGGTCACTTGCACTTGTAACAAAGTTGTACCGTGTAAATGGCCTTTTATAAGGACAAAAACTGGGTAGTTAATTTACCCCTGGGTTTGTCTGTTGTACGTATTTTTACACTTCGAACAATTAATAGTAACTAAATGTGTTAATTTGTCGAGGAAGTTGACAAATACATGGGTGGAACTGAAACCATGAAATGAAATGCCTTTTAACAAAATACTTAACTTGCTGCCCTTGACGTTGCCAATCAAGCTCGTACACGTACGGCACAATGAATGCGTATCATTTATTTCTCGCATTTTATGAGATTTTTCTTTTTCCTTCTTTCTTTTTCTGTTAAATCTCGCCTGAAACCTCAAGTGTACACGAAAGAGGCTGAGAAAAAAACACAAACAGACAAAGAGTTGGGCTGAAAAAAGAAAGGAAAAGCATTTTAAAAGACGTCTGGGATTAGAAGTGTACCAATTCTTTTAACTGATAACAACATTCATTATATGGCTGGATCAGCGCCGGAGCGAGTAAGCTGAAGCCAGTACTGTGTTCGATGGGCTTCGCGAGTGGGTAAGATGGGCCCATCTTGGTCGCTTGGTCCCGCAAGAAAAAGTTCTCTTTTTGGCCATATAATAAATCCGTTATTGACCAAGGTTATTCTCTTTTTCGGTCAATATGGTTATTTACCTCGTCTCGATCCATAAAGACGTAAAAGACCTCAACCTTGTTCAAAAACGCCGATATATATTTATAAACGTAAAGGTAAACATCCTCGTTCAGACATAGAAACCAAACCTTGGGGCGGGGGGGCGTGCTGCTGTTTATAGCAAGTTACAATAGTGTGTCACGGATCTATTATACTTCGATCAGCCCGCTTTGTATATAGTGGACACAAGGGTAATGCATCTATCACAACTCTAATCGTACTAAGAAGTTGTTGAAAAAAAAGATTTGATTTCATCCGTACCAAACCTCCTGCACATCTCCTTGACGTGTTTGTTCAGACTGGCAATGCGTAGAATACCCTTGATTCGTCCTTGTCACATGGCAGGTAATTAAAATCGAGCGTAGCATTTCTTTTGTTCGTTATTTAGAACCATATTTAATAATCGTGTTTCTAGTTAAATCGCAGACATTTTAGTAAACATTTAATTTTCCTCGCCGTGCAGGGATTCCTTTGCGCCGCCAGTTTGAAATAGGAGAAGGAGTTTGCTCTTTTATATAGAGGGAGTGAATAACGTAATACAAAGAATTGTCTTTTATGTGGAATTATAACGTGAAGATACACCGTGGACAGAGATAAATGAAACGAGAAGGCAACAGTACACAAACAGAGTGGACACATTCTGTTTTGATGGTGTCACAACACAGGTAGCCTGCGTCGCAGACGCTCTAAACCTTCTGTATCTATACAAATGGTTTAGACGAGTGCGTGGGCCGGCTGCAACGCAGGCTAAACACAGGTGGCCCAAGTTGGAAATAAGAGCATCGGCATTGTTGCGTTACATTCGAAATAAAAGGGTTTGTATGCGGAAAAATACCTGTTGTTTCTGTAACTTACGGTTTGCTCGCTAAGTACAACCCATAAAAAAGGCCATAAATCGGCCCATAGACCACACAGGAGAGAGGTAACACATTTGATGTAAGATAAGCTGTTTTTTATTGAAATCCTTTCATTTTCGTAGGTTAAGGAAACGATAGGTTTTTTTCCCCATACAAATCATTTATTATTCACCAAATCAGTGGATAGCAATTTTCGCGCGTTCTGATATGCTCCCGTAACTCGGAATATCCTTGGATATTCACTGTTTTGGGACGGGATTCAAAATGGCTTCTGTTTCGCGAGAGTTGCGAAAGACAAAATTTTAGCAGTAAATGAACCTAAGCAGCTGCACCAGCAAATACCGTCAGGAAAGAGACAGAATTTGGCTTGTCGGTGTTTACTGGTCGATAGAAAAAAAATTTCTTACTTAATTTACAACAAAATGATGAAAAATGATTCCCCGAAACACTGTCAATTGAAACGTAAACAAACTCTAACTGAGTGACGTCTTTTATTTACAAAAAGTTCGTTTTTGATTTTTATCCAACTGATTTGGTTAATAATAAAACAACTATCCCCCTCAGGGTCGGTTCATAGAGCTAGATATATACCTCGACGCTTCCCCTCTCGATATATCTTTCTACCACTATTCACCTCCCCTACGCTCGCCGATGCTCATATTTCGAGCTTGGGTTACCTGTGGTTACAATTTCAGTAGCACAAACAATATACGGCTCACAGTTGTACCGTGTGTTCTTGGTAACCAATGCGTAATGGGAAGTTATATGAAAAGGTTTGTGCGGACAAATAAAACGACTCACCTAACGTCTTCGCTTCACTTTTGTGTTGTGTCAGGTAAATTTTGCAAGAACCAGTGAGAACCGAAACTCCTCTAAAAAATCACACAGGATACAAATAGGTAAACTCAAGTAGGCAAGATTTTTTTTCTCAGTACAAATCCTTATACGGTCTTATAATTCCTTTAATACGCAACGGTTACTGTGCCTCGCAAGTAAGCCTAAAACGATTATTTCGTTGAATTTATGGGGTACGTGGTTGTTTTCAGTCACATTAAACCAGTAACGAATGGCCACAAGATCTCGTGAATATACAGCAGTTATATCTTGTCTTGTTCACTGTTTAATCTGTTACTTAGTGAATGATCAGTTAAGCATTAAAAATTGAAGAAAAAAGTTTGTATTATTCGTGCTTTTTCTCTAGACAACTCTTGTTACAATGTGTGAGAATCGTGAAACCCAGTATATCATGACCTATTACCACGGTTTCTACTATCGATCCTACTTTATTACGTGATTGATTGTGAAAAGGTAAAACACTGTCTTGGGCTTGTGGCAAGAAATTATCCCGGTGACCGGCTTTTTGCTGACTTAAGCGAGATAACTTCCTGTTTTGTTTTGCGGCCTATATTTGATACTAGCGTCTTGATATTTTGATCACTGACACTGGTTCGCTTACAAAATTTTCATGTAGTTGTTGAGTTTTCAAAGGATTATACTCGTTCCCAGGGGTACTTGCTTTGATGACCCGCTATACCGGGGTCGGGTAGGTTCCGCCCAAAGGGGTATCTTTTTAAGCTGCACGTATATAAAGGGTAGGGAAATTTGACGCACCTAAGTTTGCCTTTTTAGTTTGCTTCGTTTTTAAGGCCCATGCTTTCCGTGTTGGCCACTCTCGCTTGTCTTTACCTCTCCGTATTCATCGGTGTTTCTGACAGAAAAGATTTTAATTCATATCCCTCAACTAAGGAATGGTATTTCTTTGACATATCTAATTAAGAACACTGTCTCCCATTTTCGATCCATTTTCTAAACTCTTGCAATAGAGCGTGTGAACGATATTAAGGGGAACAGGTATAAGGTACGTCTGTTCCAAACATTTCGATTTAAGGACTGACCTTTTGAATACCTAAATGAACTATTCACCTACCCTTTCCTTCATATACTTCAACTCGTCAAATCCCACCCCTTTTATTTACTTCAGAAAGGTACCTAAGGCCTTATGGGGCCTTATACACGGGCGCCATTACAGGGATTATGTATCCCGCGCGGGCGGTACCACAACTATTTTCAAACGTAGCCTTTACGCAAATGTCGAGTTAAGTTTACTGGGCCCGCTTCCTAGACAGATGGTTACATTTAACGCAAGATTAAGCCAAATATCACGCAAGGTTTTCTTGACTAACTGAACATGCAACTCGAGCTTACAAGAGACTGTTGAGCTTTTACTCCGAGATATAGGTATGATAACAAGGCATAATGTTACTCTAAGCAATGCATAGAAAGGTAAATACAAAAAGTGGAAAAGTTTTTAATCCTGGATAAGCGCAAATCGGCCTTTCAGGAACCTGGCCTTGTTGGCTAAGATTACGGAGTTTAGTTCAAACTCTTACAAACCGCCAAGACATGCCAACTACTGAATGCATACTAAGGCCGGACAGAATCCTTCACTGAGACCAGACATATCTCTCTGTCTCAGAAATAATTTCCCAAATACATGATGACATCAGACATGCTTCTCTCTTCACCAAGCGTCGTTAACTTCCCTGTTTTTCCTGTTTTTCATTCATTTATAATGATCCATATTCGTCTTTCAGCACTGTGCAAACTCCTTTGACTTTTGGAATCATCACCGAGTGCTGGATGACGGAGAAGGTCTCCAATAGCCTCCCACGCAGCCGCGCACCTTGACGAAGTCCGGCCAAAGAACGTCTGCATGGGTTAGGGTTAGCTAGGTCTCCAAGTGCCTCCCATCCGTAGTCAGTTTCCCCGCTAGAGTCGCTCAAAGTCCTTCGAAATTTTCAAGGAATAGGATGCTGTTGTTTTTGTTTCTTATTTTCATGAGGCCTAATTCTCCAGGTTCACCCGCTTACCGCGGTCATGCCTTGAGGCGTTGTCCTTCTAAGAATAAGAAGGTTTTTTTTGTCTTTTAATTCTCTTCATCCCTTTTCATGCCACTTATTCTAAAAGAAACACTAATAATAAACTAAGCACATCCCGGAAGTAACTTGAAAGCCGTAGCCTGAGACAAACTTCATACTGATGTGGTTATCTACCGGCGGCAAACTAATATATTAGGGCCACTCGTGGTTGCATTCGGCCGGCCGCAGAGTGAAGCTGATGAACCGTTTCTAGCAAGTCCTCATAGAGGCCACGAATTTTCCCCCGGAACTTATGACCCAAAACCTTCTGTTTGAGAAATAGTTTTGGTCTTGTTTTTTGAAGTAGGTTTTTCTTCCATCTCGTCCGTAGCACACGTAAAAGTGTTCCATAAACTGTTCAGGTCCAACAGGAGAATGAAGGGCTCCAGTAAACACATCGACACCTTGAAAATGCGACTGCGCGAAATAGTGTTCTCGATATGGAGCAAATAGAGGTGCATCCCAGGTCAAGGTGACACTACACAACACCAAGACAGCTAATAAACAGGGTAAATAACCCCATCCCCACGGCTCCATCAACATCCCGCCTCCAGTCGGGCAAAACTGCAAGAGAAATTTGATAAACATTTTCGCCTCTAGATAATGCTGTACTTTAGCTAAAACTTAACTGAATGTCGGTCGAAGTAAGGAGCCCAAGTTTCAAGAACGAGCAAGCCCTTCGTCAAGCAAATCCGCCAAAAGACTACGACTCAAAACGTCGGCGCTTCTGAATCTTTTTTAACTGTGGTTATTTACTATACCCTGAATTCAGTAGATCAAGTTTGTATTTCACTCTCCCATGGCCAACGACTGCAAAGTAATCTGAAGTAACCGCTTTACACGATACCACAGCGTAAGACGTTTCTTTCGGGAGTTTGCGACTCGACGAGATGGCTGAAATTTGGGCTATGTAAATCCCATAAATTTAGTAGCTGAAGCTGCCCAGAGTATGCATTTCTATCCGAAAGTGACCGTCTATTCTGTCGACACCATATCATATATAACTATCTTTTCTTTAACAACGCGAGTGGATATATATATATATATATAGATACGTAGACTTGAACTAGGTCAAAAACATTTACTTGCTACTCAGAGTTTCATGCTTCATGAGAGGCAATCATCAGGCAACTGCCAAAAAGAAACAATACAGGGTGTTTGAAACAGGCTTGTATTAAACACCCATGCACTCAGGATTTGAGTAGTTCACCTACTGGTCTATATATATATATATATATATATATATATATATATATTTGTAGGTTCTGCTTTGGCTAAAAAACAAGTATAAAAACACATTACTTAATTAATCCATTTTAATTAACGTACTCCGGTTTTGGGGTATAAAAACGCATTACCATATTTCCTCGATTTTGGGTATAATTTTAGGGGAAGTTTGTTTCGTCCTTGGATATGTGCCGAGATTATCCTACACCGCGGCCATCATGGACCGACGCTCGGCCATTCGTTGGTGAACAGAATGTGGGTCTGATGGGCTCAACCTTCCCAACTCAAAGACCGTGAAAGGGTGAAATCAAGAGGCTTTCACCGCCGCTATATTTATTTTGCTAATCATATTGTCTCAACGTTAGGTGTCAAAAAACGTAAATGTACGGGAAGAGGTCATTTGATGCAGTCACTCAGTAGTCAAGTTAACAGTTTGATGCAGAACGCAGTCAAAGTCAATTGCACGAGGACCGATTTTCAACCAACTTTTTTCTTATTTTGCAAGATTTTTATAAAAAAAAAAACTCAAGTTAAAATGGGGCAATATGAATTAATTTTTCGTTATTCTAAATTGATGCAGATATTTAAGCCCTGTATAAAGTATACTGTCTTAGTTGCTCTATTGATAAATGCTTACAAAAATGTAGAAGATTACTTCAGCATAAGATGAAAAACAGAATTGACAGCCGACAATAAAAAAATATAATCTTCAAAGTTTTTTCCATCAAAACACCTGGCGTTTAAAGATGTAGTGAAAATAATATAGAAAATTTATCGGAAATAAGAAGCGGTTCAGTGATACAAGACAAGCAAGGTTTGTACTCACAGTTAATCTGAATTCTGCCTTCTCGCGTACAGAATCAAAAGCCGAAATGACCGCAAAATTCTGTGCAAACCAGATAACAGAAACCACTCAAGTAGAAACAACAACACAAAGTATATATAATCCGAGTGAAGCTCAATTGTCAAGTCGGAAAAAACCCTACCTCCGCTCCTCGCAACGTTTTTTATCCCCTAATACTATAACCTAACACATAGTTATCGCCGCTTATGCGAAACAAGAGAGAGCTTGGTTTGGTTTTAGGAATCCCTAGGCTCATGATACTGCTCGGCAAACTCGAGCGACAAGTTAGATGTTTACAACCTGTCGAACAATAATTGGTTGAGCCGCGCGTGTGAGGCTGCCAGTAGCGACGCGTATCACGGGTCTGAGTAAAGCACCTGCTAACTTTGCCAAACATGTAAACACAGATGCGGCCAGCAAACTTCAGCCCTGTCAATGACTCACTATAAGCAGTCTAAATAAGTAAATTTCATCCCAGTGTAAGCAAATTTTTTGAGGATTTATAGATGTTACCAGCATGAGCACATTTTTGGAGAAGCGAAAGCGGAAAACTGTTCATCCTTGTTTTCTGTTGAACAGTTTAGTACGGGTCTATTGTAAGGCTGATCACTGCGGAAATAAGACTTAAAAACTGTACGACGTAAGTTGTATGATAACGTTTTGATCTATTTCGCGGATTCATGGCTGAAGGTTTTAGAAAAGAAATATTTTACCTGTTATTTCGACTCAGCCAGCAGGGGAAAAAATTCAGTTCACATCTCTCAGGGTGGAAACAACGCAACTGTCAAAAAAAAAAAGCAAAGAAGGAAGCAATGGCCACTTGCAGGCAGGTAACTAGTGAGTGTACTTTGAAGTTCGTCTCGAGTATTTTCAAATCAAGAAAGAAGTTCAACTCACCTCGAAGAGAAAACATGACGAAACCACTAAGCCACTGCTGGTCTACTATGGATCATTAATATTATTTTCCTCAAGGATAGTAAAACGAGCGAAATACTCTGCCAGCGCGCATCAAAATTACCACTAAGGAGGATAGTCTAACATACGGCGGGAGATTAACCCACTTGATCCCACTAGCATTTTCTTGACTTTTTCAAAAACCAGGATGGTAATGGGGTCGGTTAAACTGCATTTTACAATTTCTTTTCGTGGAAAATGTACCTAGTCTGATGTGCATGTTAAACATGTGACAAATCACGAAAACCGCCATTTCATTTATTATTGGTTTTTATTATATGGACATGTCTCAAAAGGACTGGAAACAAACAAATTCAAGAATTTGATTCTTGACCGCGGTCTAGATTTTCCCTCGGTTGCTGGTACAGACCTCATTGCGTTCGGTCTGTACTGGCGACCTCGGTCAAGATTCTCCCATACAGACCTCCCGCTTGGTTAATAAGAGCTAAATCTTTTGAAAAAAAAAAAAAAAACGAGTTAATTGGACATTAGTACAATGCGGGCTAACCATCTTCCGGGTTTCATTCAGCATTTTTGCCGTAAAGATTATAGAAAATAATAAACCATCATAAACATATATCTAAGTTAAATTTATTTTAATAGCTGATGAAGGTGAAATGAAAGTATAAAACGGCAATTGTCGAAGTCAAGTACCCGCATTTGCTAGAACAGTGTTTTGGCCGGTGTACGGGACTTGCTTGTTGCAATAATATACAAAAGAAACTGGTCTTCTTTCACTCTGTTTGTAAATTAGCTGTCTCAGTCACGTTCAGCAATGGCTACTAAATGTCCATCAATTTCAGCCTCAGTAAGTTTCCTAAAATGAAAATATACAAGTTACAATATACAATTCTCTACAATATACAGTTATAAACGAGTTTTTACCTCAGCAGGGTATTTTAAAACCTATGAGACACGTTTAAGATTCACAAACCATTGTTGATCAGAATTAGATTCAGGAAAGCTGAGCTGTAGCCAGCTAAAGAAGGCCGGCCGGCATCCTCCCCCTCCCCCCAGCCCAACCGGTGAATCAGGGTCATCCCAAAGGAGATTTTAGCCTGGTTTCCATCTAACAACTACGATCGTTCAGACAACTTGAGTTTTTCTGTGATCGTAGACATTACATGTAAACCAGCCCTAAAATTTAAGAACCCCACTTAATTATGCGCGTACATTGGAACCAAAGCTTGTGGCTAACATTAGACGAGGGTTTCGCGCTTATTTTATAAAAGTAAAAACTATTTTGTTTGACGAGTTTTGAGGATAAATGACTCTGAAACATCCTTGGGAAACGACAGCGACGGAAACGTCAATAGCTGCAATTACCTATAAAAAAAATGAGAAAGCGAATCACCTGAAACGTGGATTATCAGTAGTAACGATACCAACTTCTAATTCGGATGGTTTAAAATCTGCAGACAATACTGAAGACAAACAACTGATGGCAGTCTGCAAAGACAAAAAGAAACCAAACAAAATAATCAAAAACTTCTTCTTACACTCTGACTCGACTTCTTTCTAATCACATATTCAGAGACTTTGAAGCATTAAAAATGGATGAATATTCACGGGTGAACTACTACTACTATGGCCCGGCCGGCCGAGCAAGAGCACGTCTCGATTCAGTACGCTTCATCCAGGTCTGCCCTATCCAAAATAGGGTGAAGGCACATTAAGAGAAGAACATGGGAACCCCTGGGCATCTAGTTTGACCAACCAGTTCCAAAAGCATTTGAATTGATTCCCTGCCTCTGATTGGATACAGAACATTTTGAAATGCATTTGGAGCAAGTCCGTAAAAAGAAAATGGCCGGGGGCGAGGGGAAAAATACAAAACATAACGGCAGAGTGATGAAAGGTAATTCTAGCACGACCTCAGTGCATTACAACAAGTAGCATGGCATACATTTCAGACAGCTTTTCAGTCATGTTAAATGAATATCTGTGTTTTATTAGGAAATAGCATGTGTCTTTAGTACACTGACATACCTCGATGGTTTCACTTTGTGTCCAAGCATGTTTTTTCTTCACTTTCTTTTCAAGAAAGCTATTTGCTTCTGTTTGTTTGACTCCAACACTGCAGCCCTTGAATCCACAGTAATAACCAGCAGGATCTGTTTTGTACAGCTGAGGTCCCTTTTCATCATCAATTCCAATAAGAATCATACCTGCAAGATAGGATACAATAAAAAAGGTCAATGTTTTGCTCATGCTAACCGATTTTGGACGTACAGAATAGTATTCCCACACATTTCCTCTGTAATTCAAGGCAATGACACAAGTCAAGACCAAGTGGGTTTTGGATGAGTTAGGAAATTCTACCAAACCATGACTAAGGCCAGGCTGTGCTTAACATCAGTGTTCAGTGTCAGAAGCAGAATCGTCATGTGATCATCCCTCTCACAACCATTCAATAAAATCACTAAGACTGATAAACTTACTGCAATAACGTCTATAAGGTATTTTTATTACATACATTTTTGCCTTGAGCTGAACTTTTCAATTTTATCATTAAAATGAGATTCTGTTTTGTGTGTGTGTGTGGTGTGTGACCATATATGCCTGGCCCCAACTGGAAAATAGAATCCACTCAAAAATCAATCTCTATCCAGTAGATAACACAATTTGATTTCCCTGATACTTATCCACTGGATAGTGTCATTCACCTTTTGAACAACTGGGGCCCTGGAGGTTGAAGCAAAGGTGAACAAGACCACAGAAACTTACTGCATCCTAGAGGTCGCATCTCTGCATTTTGAGTGTAGACTTGTGAAATGTCAGCAATTCTTTTACAGAGCATATCCACTGGAATTTCATAACCATATTTATATTTCCAGTTGGCTGCTTCATATCGAGCCCTCTGGACTTGGGAACGTGAATCAGCTGAAATACAGAACAAAAAGCCACTAAGCTATTTTTCACCCTCAATGGCATATTGATGAAGGTGACTATTATGAAGGTGACCCCTGACTACTTAAAAAAATAAATAGAGGAAAAACAGAACCAAAAGCAATCCCTAGCTGCTTGATTTCCGGCCAACTTGTTGTATTTACCCAGCAACTTGAAATGGGTTTCAGTAAAACATAGGTACTGGCACTGGTCAGTGCTCTTGGAGCACAAGACCCGCTTCAAGTGATATGGAAAAGCCACCTCTCAAACCAAAAATTTCCAACTTTTTCTACTCAACCTGAGGAGCCCTTCCACTTTCCAAAAATAGTGAAAACCCTGATTATACATGTACAGTGAACAAATGTTGCAGAAACTGTTTATTTCACAACCAAGACTGGGAAAAGTGTCATGAAAGATGTTATTTGTCACAGTAGCAGAATGGTAGGCTCTGACATTTATCCTTTGCCTCACAAGAGTCATTTATTTTAAGTATTGATCATGATGCTTTGACTGCAAATCTTCATCAGGCAATGGTGTCAATTTACTGAGGGGGACTAGTCACCGGGAACACCATGGCTGCTTTTGATAATGTAACATGAACTTTGCTCATGGTTTGCAGGTTTCGATCCAAAGCACTGTTGGAATTGTTAGAGGAAGAAAATGTGTTACTTGTGTCACGTAACATTTCCACTATAAATCATCATATTTATTTGGCAAGTTTCTTATCCCAAATATAACTTTAACAAAAAAAGTGCAACTTTAAAGTAATGGTTGCACTGGAGAGTCCTTTTAGTGTCTTCTATCTGTTTAAATGTCAACCATAATGAAAAAAGGTCACTAATAACGGTAATCTACAATGGTCAATCTGAATGGATAATGTTTATAATAATAATAACAGTAATATTTGTAGAGGGAGCCCAACTCGCCAAGGCGGTTTTTAGTGGGGCCCCTATTTTAGTTTAATTGACTGTTTTCAGCAAACTTAAATAACATTGTGTTTAAAGAAAACAATCACATACCAGTAATCCTTAACCAATTTCATTGTAATATCATGGTTAACACAACACATAAATGTTGGTCTGTATGGTCACTACAGTACACTGGCCAGAATTCTCTAAGAACGATTCTCAAGGGATCATTTGAACAATCTACACTTGCTATAGATCTTTGCATTTCAAACCTAATAAGTCTTAAGATTTAAATGGCAAACTAGCTACTAGATTACAGTCAAGCCAGGTCAAGCATACCCCCCAAGATTTCATTCATGTATTCATTATTGGTAGTTGTAGATTTTAGATTCATCTCTGCATTCTTCCATGCATAATGAGCCATGATTTCACACATTTCTACCAGCTCAGTTTCCCTGAATTTGATGTAAATGTCTTAGAAGCAATTTTATCCATTCAAAGATTTTCAATCTGACCAAATACAAAGAAGTTCTCGCAAAATATTCACTGTTCATTACGCATGCAGGATTGCCGATTTGAATTTGACACTAGTTATGGGAACGACTAATGGATTAATTTTTCAAATAATCAATTCATTAATAGAATCTTGGGGAAGTATGCTTGACCTGTCTTGACTGACTAAGTTACATAAACCACTACATGCAGCAAAAATTAAAATTAACAGTATTGTCCCATAAAAAGGTAAAAAACCATCTTACCTATCAGTCCAGTCATAACACATCCTATTCTTTCAGACAATTCAAACAGGTGTGTCATAGTGTCAGAATCTAGCAGTTTATCCTGCAAAACACCATCAGACAATATACTGCCAAGTGAGTTTTGGACTATCACTTCTTAAACTAATAGCTTTAATTTAAACATTCCATTTATCTGCTCAACATGCTTTACTAGCCAGCATTAAAAGCAAGTCTTGACACTGTTTTTCTTGAAAAGATCTTCGCTGGCTGTAGCTTAACATTCAGTTTTGAGTAGAACACAGGTCTAGATTAAACATGAGTATAGCTTTTGAAATTAAGGTCAGTAATACTATATCCAGAATTGTCATTATTTACTTGCAGTTACGGTCATTATTCCTGCATTTGTATATATTTCAAGTTATCCTTTTTAACTTCTATTTCTTTTGCATTTTTTCAACCCTTCTTTTTTTTTTTTCACGAGGGCATTATAGAGAGTTACAACCTTTGTGCTCTTCATGGGTAGATAAACTACGAGGCAGGTACAAAACTCAGACTTGGATCACTTCATCTACATACTTACCAGACAACAGTTCCCATTGTTTTCCCTGTAAGTAAAGGAGTTGATCTGGTCCAAGTTTTGTACCTGCCCCAAACTACGTCTATACCTATGTCTGTCATATTGTATCAAGACTGTCTCCAAGTCTACTTACTAGTTGCTGGTGCTGACAATTAAGTAAGGAGACATCAGAAAAGAAAGGATGATTTGACCAATGACTATCCTCAGTGTAAGAACAAGAGATTAAAGTAGTACTGATCATACTCAATCTATCACTTAAACTCAATCTACAGTCTAAGTCAAAATTGTTGGGACACTTTGCTGTCTTTTTGCCCTCCCAATGTTGGTGTGTAAGATTTAGTGAGTTAACTGTGGTAAACAACATTGGGAGGATGAGGAGACGGGCCACAAGTAAAAAAAACAGCATTGAGTGGAAGTGTCCCAACTATTTTTGTCTGAGACTGAAGTACACATAGGCTAGTCTGAGATCCCTTCTGCAGCTCTGAACAGACCAAACGTTAATTATGGTTGTTGTACAAACCAAGTAAGGAGTTTATGTTTCTTTATGGAAAAAAATGTGCAAGTGTTTCTTTGTGTCTATATATTACGGTGATGATAGCTTCATATGTGGCACATGTTCCAAACTTATAGTAATTGAAGTGATGTTTTAAGATCCAAGGTTCCATTTATGTAACAACAAAAAAATTGTACACATCCGGGGTATACATACATAAGACAGAACTACTAAAGCGAGCGTAGTTCAGGGTTTTAAAACTAAAACAGTTTAACATTTAATGGAGGTAAGGAAAAATTTACAGTAAATCCAAGGAAATTAAAACTCACTGGAACTTTCTTTTGAGTTACTACCACTGCTGAGTCAGCCCCACGAAGACCAATTGACGTTAGACCGCCTTGGTTTATCGCTTTAAATGCATATTCTAAAGAACAAAATTAACAAAAACTTAACACCCAGCACAATAAGTAATCAACGGTTTAACAGTCAACTAACCAACTTGGTACAATCGTCCTTCGGGAGAAAAAATAGTAATGTGTCGATCAAATCCAGCGCTGGTACCACGCGACATCTTGAATTTAGCGAATAAATCACTCCCAGAAAGACCTGGGTCGAATGACTCGGCGAAATGTATTCTGGGTCTGGGTGGGATGGGTGGGCAGCAAAGGGTAGCAATTAGTTAAAAAATTCTTGAAACCTAAAATAACTTTAAGAAAACAAAGGGGGGAATTTCATATATCCGATGATGCTTCGCGGCTAATTTCTGTCTTCTCTCTGCGCTGGAAAGAGCGTTCGAAGGTTTCGGGGGAGATTTTCAACGACCTAAATTTCAAGATGCAGCCCATCTAGGTAAGTTTCAATCAACCCTGTTTTAACAGGGATTAAATTCTTTGGTATCTGATTGATAATGTGAAATGTTTCCATGGTCATTTCACGCATTATTGCTCTCGTTTCGACCTTGCTGTTTTAACGCGCCAGTGAATATTTATTGAAATGACTTTCAATTATCGAAAACTGTCTTGATTCTAACAAGGTTTTGCTCTAATAAATTATTTATATCGGCGGACAAGAGGTTCTTGATTTACTAGTTCCACGCTCTAACCTAATTCGACCTCGCGATTTTTATGGGTTTGATCGTTTTGAAATATCGCATTTTCTGTCCTTTCTCCGCTAGGATGCAAGTCGAAGGTTTCAATCCCTTTATGCTAAGTCCTGCGATGATGGGAATTTTTTTTCTTGAGTTCGCTCTTTTTTCTTTGTTCAAAAAATCAAATATTAGCTCTTGAGGGTATGATGAATGTTTAAATTCAATGGTTTATAGTATAAAAGCTTTTTTGTTTCAATATTTTAGGTAAAACTAGTTTCTCGTGGAGGCTTCCGGTCGCAACCGCGCGTGGCGAACTTGAAATATACAGGCCTTTACCTAAAACTAAGATAGCCCATACAAACGCCAAAACTTGTATAAAGTGAAGGTAATGATTCGGCTTTTTTTAACTCAAGGTAGCTTTGTTTAGTCTTGCGTACCGTCTGACTCCCTGTAACTGAATTTAAGAATCATATTTCCCAGTTAAAAGGAGAAGGAAGGGTTCCTTCTTCTCCGCTGAGGAGACTGCAACAGACATGCTGAGATTTTCATATCAAAACTCTAAATTCCGTGTTTCCTATAGGTAATAAATATGTAATAACGAACACTCGCAGCCAAAATAACCCATAAAAACAATTTATTTGCTATTGTAAGATGTCATACAACGAGTCAAATACACCGTGTAGTGTCTAGGATAAGTCAGTCTGAGTTGATTGCGCCGGGCAGTAGCTATCTTGTTCTGATTGTGACATGGACTGTGCGCGCTGCTTGGATGAATGCTGCATACGTGTGTTTCTCGTGCCATCTTCACGCGATCGCTGAACTTGCCTCGAGAAGTCGTGACGGCGACTGAAGTCGATGGATCGAGTCATATACTCTCTCGCTTGATCTTCAGTGGTGTTGCTGTACTCGAACGTTTGCTGAGCTTTGGTAGAGGACTTCAACAGATGCTTAAGTTGCACCTCAAGAATATTGCATTCAAGCATCTTTTCACGATATAAGTGTTCCGCCATGTTGAGTTGTGTGCGAAAATGCTGCAGTTGTCTCTGGAACTTTTGATTGGTGACCGCTAACTGAGCACCAGCCATTGACATTTGGCGCCGCAGCCCACTATTCTCACGTAACACGCGGTTTCGATGTTTCCTGACCTGAGTAAACTGCTTCTGAAGTGCTTCGTACTCAACCTCAAGGTCTCTGTACTTTTGTTCCCAGTCTTCATCTGCCTCCACCCTATTTGCCCATGAATCAGCAGCTTCTTGATTGTCTTCGTCCCTTATTGTCTTTTTAGTTTTCGAGACTTGTAGCTCTTCTTGAAGTGAAACAACCTCACGGCGTGTTGCCTCTAAGCTTTCCTGTAGCCCTTCTACGCGACAAAATAGTTCTTTCTTTTCCTCTTCTAGAGATCGAAGACTTTTCTCAATTGCATCCTTTTCAGACAACAAAAGTTTATTCTCTGATGTAGATTTTTCTAACTGACTTCTTGTCTCTTCCAGATCAGACTTGTTGTCCTGGTAGAGTTTCTCTCTTTTTTGCTTCTCCTCGTGAAGGTTTTTACGCAATGTTGAAATTTCCTCTTCTGCAGTATTCAGCCGCTCCAAGAATGTTTCCTTACTTTCTTGAATTTCTGTGTTTTCTCGTGTAACTTTAACAAGCTGCCTTTTAATATCATTGAAGCAACTGTCAGCCTCATTACTCAAGCTTTCGTTCATTTTTTGCTCAAGATCAAGTTTTTGCCTAAGTTGTGCTATTTCAGCATCGGCTTGTTCTTTCTGAAACAACAGATTTGTCTTTAATTCCGTCAACTCTTTATTTAATTGTGATACCATTTCGTCACGCTGCTCTTCAATCTGAAAAGCTTTTTCTTGTTCTTTTAGGAGACGCTGATGTATGACGTTGGTTTCTTCCTCATCTTGTGACCTCAAGCGTTGAAGATTTTCTAACTCCTCTTTAAGAGATTCCTTCTCAGCTGTAAGTTTAGTAACAGTGTCTTCAGCCGTCACAAGCGCCTCATTTTTCTCCTGGTTTAGTTTCTGTAAGGCAGAAGAAGACTCTTTGCTTTGTCTCAACTCAGTCTTTAACTCATCTTCCGTTTCTTTAACAATCCGAAGACGATCTTCAACCTTAAGACGCTGTTCTTTTTCTACTTTTAAAGCTGTAGTAAGCTGATCCACATTGCTGTTCGCGGTCTTTAGAGAGAGTTTCAGCTTGGTCACTTCCCTTTCAGCCTCTTTCAGAAGATCGTTCAAATTGCTTCTCTCAGACTCAAGATCACGCAGACTTGTCTCACTCAGCTTTTTGACAAACATCATGCATTCCTGCAGTGCCCCATCCTGAACTTCATAAACTTCAAGCACTTCATGTTCAACAATTGACATATCCTTTTTCCCTTCGTCAGCCATATTTTCTTCAATGTTATCGCATGCCAGCACGTTTTATAAAAGCAATTACACGTCACAGAGCTTTCATGAGTAATTTCGAGTGAGGTCGCGCACACGTAACAATTAGAAATACATTACATACAAGTTTTGTTATATATTCTAGATCAATTAGAGCAAAGTTTGTAAAATTGCACACTCCATTACGATAAATCTAACACCGAACGTTTTTGTGCCACTAGCTTTCGCACTCATCTACCCACTCTTTTGGCAAGATGCTCCATTTTCTCCTTTTAAAGTCATTTGGTTGATTCTTGTACATTTTTCTTTTCTGTGATTGGCCAGATAAACAGCTTTGGCTTTGTTTTGGTGTTTATGAAAGTCTCTTCCCCAGATCCCTCTAGCCACGTAAAAAAAGAAATAACGGATTGTGGGGGTGCGCGCCCTAGGTGCGGACGTTTTCACGACGATCAAAATACAATCGCTTTGAATAAAGAGGTTAATGTAAAACTGAGACATTAGGGCCATTTGTACGAGGAAAAATAAGACGCGCCTTACATACGACGCGTCTTAAATAAGACGCGGCTTAGCTAAGACGCGTTTTATTTTAGAACAGCCCTTAACAGCAGTTCTTAGATAAGACGCGTCTTAGCTAAGACGAGAAAAACTTCGTATAAATGACCTTCGCGTCTTACATAAGACGCGAACGCATAGTACGCATGCGTTAATTTTTGGCGCACCACGTTGGATTGCTTTTGCTACGGGCAACATTCACATGAAAACGAGTCAAGAATTGAAATAAGACGTCAACCATTTATACGAGCTGTTCTCGTCGTAGATAAGACAGGCTCGTATAAATCGTCCAGTTCGAGTCTTATTTAAGACGCGTCTTATTTGCCCTCGTATAAATGGCCCTATTGTGGCGGTTTATCGGTGGGGGACTGAAACACCATTGTTAAAAAACTGGACAATTTCCCTCTTACTAAGCGCTACCTATCGAAACGCAAGCTTTTGAATCTCTCCAGGGTGGCCAATTTACTACACTTAACTAAGTTGATAAAGCTACATTTATCTTTGCGAAATCTACTGATTAAATTCGCAGGCAACCCAGTTTTGGAGCTAATGGAAATCTATTACGTTTAGCACACATGAAGCTCTCTGCTGTTGAACTGGAGGGTTTTTATATGGAGCGAAATTTCTACTAACATTTCATTCATCCCGGACTTCTATTATCGCTCCGGCAGTAAGGTACCATATGCCCTACTGAAGAATGGAAGAATGAAGCACAATAATCTTTAGTTATTTTTATTTTTCATTAAACATATGTAGATTCATTTTCCGTTAATAATGATACACACCTAGATGCATCTATGGATTGACTCATTATATACATTTTCCATTTCATGGAATAAATCTATTTTCATACTAGAACCGTTTTTCACCTCATTAAATAACAAATAATAATAGTTAATAATAAACTTTTTAAGGTCCAGAATCCAGGAAAATTATTTACACTGAAGCTCTCCTTGAAAACTGTCCTTGAAATTTATTTTGGCAGCAGGCAATTCCTTCAGCAAAATTCTTCCTTAGAGAAATCAGGCAACTGTGGAGGGGCAGCAGCATGTACACAAACGTTTTTTTCTTTTCTTCAAGAAAATTGCGGAACGAAAGTTTTCTCTTTTGCCCAATCACTCTTACTTGCGTTAATGACCAAAAGTGAAATCCCACTCGACGACCCTAAAACCGAGAAGGTCTGTGAACAGGTTAGCACCTTCAGCAACCAGAAAACAGCAACGAGAACGACAGGCCCCGTACACACGAATTCGGGCAGCTGGCTGAACTGACCGCAATAATCCGGTTTCAATCGTCTACACCAACTCGCAATTCCGTCAGATCCCTAAATATCACTCTGGAGAGTGGCTTCGGTGAGCTGATCAAAAAAATATAAATGCGGTTTCAAAGACTGATATCTGGCCTGATGCCTGTGGTCGGGACCTCATAAAAAGGAAAAGGTTTTACGAGAAAAAGACCAAATCTGCACGTACAATATACTTTTCCGGATAAATTTCTTTGCCGTCACTACAAATCTTCCCTGTGCGACGCTTAATAAAGGACGCAGACACACGACGACGAATTTTTCTTTCTCTCTCTGAACTTGGTTACAGTCCTTAAGAATTCCACTCCAGGAGAATTCACCGACATTTTTTCACCAATTTGAACGAGTTGGAATAAAAATAATCGCCGTCAAGTTAAAAAACAACAACAACAAGAATACATTTTAATGGAGACATTTTCACTGCTGTAGCCCGACGTTCCTAAAAGTCACTAGTCTTGCTGGTCAGCGTTTTTTCACGGATTGTGTTTAACGAGAAACGGAAACACCAGTATGTCGTTCCAACTCCAGTCTTTTTTATCATCACAATGCAATCACATTACTTATTCAGTTAGCGCCTGAGTTAGATGTACGAGCGGCTTTTACTGTGTTCACCAACTCGCTGTAAGCAGGGGTTCGATTTTCCTCAACTCCCAGCTCTTCAATCTGAGATGAAATAAGAAAAAGGAGAAATCACCAAAAGTTCTCCCACCGAAGATACCAAAATGAAAACATAGTTAACAAAAGGTATCTGCGTCTTACCACTCGTCCAAACTCTTCTGTGTCAAGAGTGAATTGGAGTCGAATCTTGTCATCATCACTCATAGCAGATTGACCCGGTTCCTGGTTTGTGGTTTGACCACCTGAACCAGTTCCCTGCTGTTTTCTTGATCGTTTAAGACGCATTAAACTGTCTTCAGTCCGTTTAATGGACGTTAATACATCGCCTGTGATGTTGTGGTACCTAAGAGAGAATGAAAACTCCGTGAATCCTTTGAACCCCAGGAATCGTGTCATAAGCAGATGGAATATGATCATCCGGGTGCGTGTAGTCGCTAATACGAATGTCTTTTACAGCGACTGAAGTTTCAACAACTTGTGCGGAAGATTTCTTCAGATTAAAACGCGAAAATATACCCTGGTATTTCTAAACGGAGCAAGATGATAGTAGAGTGCTAGCTCGAAGGATGACATCAATGTGTTGCGACGAGAAACATCAAACTAGTTCAATTGGTAGATAAGAGAAGCTACGCGCTCACGAAATATACCCATTTCCTCCGGATTTCCTTTCCCGCCACCGTATCTTTTCTTACCGCTCCTACCAGACTAAGGTCGCTTGAGGAACGCGCAAAAACTGGCGTTTCCCCGAGAAGGGAAAAATGTGCGTCTTTTACACCAGCTCCTCATACTAAAACCAAATTGCCGCTATTTTCTACCTCTATACTGATTTATATAAACGTACTTCAAAAGCAGTGATTGGAGGATAGCTGCTGCCCAGGCCTGGCGTTGTTGCTGACTGACGAGAGATTGGTGATGTTCCAGAAAATCTCGGACAGGTTTCAGTACGCTGCTCACAAAAGGTGAAGCTTTGCTAGGAGCCTGTAAAATGATTAACCCAGTAACATATCTGCCGGTTAAAACATCTTACACATGTTGGATGCTATGTCATTAAAACCTTAAAGCTGCCACGGCATTCAAAAACACATCTTAAAACCCGATTGCTAACAATTTTAAAATCCTTTCCTGCTGTCTTAAGGCCTTCCTATCTAGTTATCTCAAAGTAACCAAACTAGTTAGTAGTATGTAAGATTAGCATACCTCTTTGTTCGTTCTGCGGTATAGCCTGGGAATATTCTTGGCAGCTTCCAGTCCTTGAGAGGCCCGATTAACAACTTGGCTGACAATCTGCCCTTCTAATCCTGGCACCAGCTGTTGAACGGCCCCACAGCTCTCCAGAATAGCCTCTATTAGAGATATTCAATGAACCAAGGCTTTAAACAAAAATGAACAACACTGAAAGCCACGTGTTCTAATTTTTTGGTTGTTGTTCTAATTTACTAACACAGTTAAACCTACCGGAGAGTAGCTCTGTATCTTGAATGTTTGTTTGACGTAGTTTTGGAAGGATGTCCTGTCTGAAGAATTCCGGAACCTAAACAATTCACAAAAAACATAAAAGATAATGACAATGTACTTATAAATCAAAAACAAGATCTTGAAGGTTTTGAGTCCGGATGAGACCTGGGGATCTTACTTGTATACTTAGCAATGCTTTTTTTGTGTGCAAGGACGGAGTAGACAAAAACAAGATGAAAAAAAACATGAGGGAGCCGTTTGATGGGGGGTGGAGAGAAATCATCCGCGCCGCTCCTCTCTAAGGGCATCTAACAGAGCGCCCCAACAGTAAATGAATATTTTACTACCGATATGTTCACTGCAGTAACATTTCGCTTTTGATTATTCATATAGAAAAGGCGCACTAGAAATAATAAATGTTGTTGTTGTTATTTCTTTCTTCCCTTGCAAAAAAAGCTAAAAGGCATGCATGCAAGGTGTTCAATCGAAGTGCCTTAAGCTGCATGAGCACTGGAACTTCCTTTAGGGTGAGGGGAGATTTTAAAGGACGAAGTGGAGACGGTGAAAGAAAGGGAGGAAGTTCCTCTTCCTCTGCTGTCTCAATAGAACCTTTTCGCTTCTCCCTTCTCATGCCTGATACTTAGGCTAATGTTCCCTCACCACAGATTTTTTATTTATAATCCCCATAAAGTAAACAATAAGTAAAGAGACCGACGCCAAACTTGTTGCCAGGGTAGCAGCTAAATATGTGTAAGAAGGGAGAGAAAAATACTGGCATCCAGGTTTAGTTATGGTTACACATGTCTCTGTGAGCAAGCCGGTACCAGGAACAGGGTCACAGAAGGGAGGGGTGGGAGTAAAAGAGAACGTTTGCTCACAGCCTACTACACACATCCGGGGAATAGCAATTTTCCGCAGCACATTATAATGCTATTTTACATAGCGTGATTAAATTGGTCATACACGGTTTATTTCCAGCAATATCCGCGGATGGTGCATTTTTTTGTAGAAATCTGGCAGTTAAAGTGCTCTCTGTCGATATAAAGTTTTAAGGTTTACGTCTGGTGGAAGATTTAGATCAAAAAACAGCATTAAATTTTCCCCAAACCAACAGGCCCTATCCTGTAGGATAATGGCTTGATGTATCCACAACTAGTCTCCCTGATGACGAACTTCAGAGCTTACTTTTTTCAAGAGTGTGTTCAGGTCACTAAGTAAGTGAACCAAATAAGATGTAGCTGCATCGTCAGTTCCTTCGCTGACCTGCAACATTCAATCATATAGCTTAACAAATTTACAAAAAAGCAAATATAGAACATGGGCCAAGATCAACTGTGAAAGACGAGCATGAATGAAAATATAAAAAAGGTCCTTCAAGTAAAAAGCAGATACATACACCAGTTTGCCTTGTAGAGGACACATCAACTTTAATCCAAACGAACAATCTTGACAGAAGCTACAAAATGAACACAATAAATAATGCAACTTTTCAGATAGAAAACTATGATGGACATGAGGTTGTAAAGCAAATGTTGAAAATACTAACGAGATAGTCCTGGATTCTGGAATCCATGCTACGGATTCCTGATTCCAGGTACTCCATTTCAGGTTCCTTAGCAGTGGAACTTGGATTCCAGATTTCAATCACTAGCAGGATTTCAAATGCCTAGGGCAAAATTTCAGGAATCCAGAATTCTGAGTCCTACCTTCCATGGGGCAAAGTATCTTTATTTACCAGGCGGAAAATGTGTGTGTTATAACAGAAAGTCATACCAGTTTTATACAAGTTACATACAAAATATTTCAGAAGAAAAGGATTCTTTATACCTGAAGAGTTAATTTCCAGAACCTGTGACAGAGGGCCTGAATATACACAGAATCTTGCCAGCATCTCTCAATACAAAACCACAGTACGCTAACAGCTGACGTCAAGAACAGCTGTGGAGAGTCTGTACAGGGAAAATACAAAGTCAAACAATCATAATGACACCAAGATAGCAGAAAGTAAACCTACATAACACCAGATGGAAAGCACCTTGATGCGTGTTTACTCTTACTTTTGAAATCCGAAATGCAACAAGTACCGCTTCCTTTTGCTATAGGCTGAACGCATTCCTCTTATCAAAAATATTCTTTTTTTACTTTACTTCTGCTTTTCATTGTCAGTTTTTTTCTATAATTCTGTTAATATTTGGTTGTAATAATTTAACTGAGGGAGCTCATTCCTTACAAGCCCGGTGGCTTCCCTTGCGCTTCTTTGCCATTGGCTTTTTCAATATTTAAATTTTGTTTTTTGTTCATCCTTATGGCAAAACAATAAACTGAATTGAACTGAACCATGGTTCATACAAAAAATTGCAACCATTTTTCAAGGACTTTTCAAGGACCACATTATATTTTTTGGGATCACCTACTAGGAATATAATTTCACAGATTGTACAAAAATGCACATTCCCAGTCTGTTCTAATAAGACTTTAAGGCTTGAACTGTTTGCTTCACCAACTTGTCTACAGTTTTCAGTTCACTTGTCCTGAATTGATAGTTACTTATTGCATGAAACATAGAGCACTTTATGTAAATAACCTTTAAATTCTCCGAGCTATGATTTATATTCTATCTTCGACGACCAAAAGGCATCAAATAATTCTTTCCAGGCCACTACAATCAAAGTTGAAGAAAATTCAAGGACTTTTCAAGACTGTGCAAACCCTGTGAATTGAACTGAACTGAACTTATCACATGACAATGCATTTACCAGACATCATTACCTTGCTGGGCAATTCCATGAGGTTCCTGTAAAGCATTTTCAAACTTGCTGGCCATTTCCTGAAATCTGTAACAATCATAAAGGCTTCTGGTAAGTAAGTGCTGTTGTCCTGTGATTTCTTCACAGTAACACATTCAGTAATACATACAGAAAGCTACTATTATTAATTTATTTTGCTTTCACAATACACTCTAGTGTATTACAAAGAATCTCAATCCATAAAAATGGACTCACGCCCATTCTATTTCTTCTGGCTTAACAGCCCAAGGCACCCGTGGAAGAAAACAGTCACATGTAATAAATCCTTCAGCAACCCAAGCAGGAAGTTATTGGTATGTTTGACTGACCGGGGTATTTTGCAGAACATAGAACGCTGAATATGCCGAATGTCTCTAAGTTTGTCAGGTTCCATTTAAGGTCATTAAACTGGGAAAACAGAACTGAAACCTGATTCACTCAGTTTCCTAATCCTAATGACTAAACTTCACAGTAATTTGACATTTTGCTTTCGCCGAACACTGAATGCAGAATGCCAAGAGACTCTGAAATTTAGTGAGTAGGTTTAGGAAACTGAGTGAATCAGATTCCATTTAGAGTCATTATACTGGGAAAACAGACCTGAAACTAGATTCACTCCGTTTCCTAACCCTAATCATTAAACTTCAGAGTCATTTGGTGTTCAGCATTTGGTGTTCTGCGTTCAGCGTTCTCCTAAATACCCCTGCTGATGTTTGACAGTGTGAAAGATCAGAGCCATTTATTTTTTAGAAATTGGCACACAGCCAATGGGAAAACATATGTGCTCCAATTATATTGCTTTGTGGACTAAAAAGAAATTGGTTTAAGAGTAATTGCTACAGAGATTTTGGTACCTGATTTGAAAGTAAACAGGTAAACTCCATCTTGCCATAAAAGCAGTGAAACTTGGATGTGACCTCAGTCGCTGTACACTTGCCTTTGAACCACAAATACCTTCAAACTTGTTAATGAACCACACTGTCGTCATATATTTCTGTAGGAAGAAATAAATCCAAGTTTCAACATCAAAAATTTTGTAGTTCTACAACTAAGTGGTTGGGTAAAACTTACAACAGATAAGATTTACTTTCAGCTAAAACTTGACGTCCAATAATTTTTGGAAAATAGTTTGCTAACTAACTTCGTGAAGACACTTTGTGCAGTGCAGCAAAGCTAAGAAACATGTAGAAATTAAAATCCTTTCGATGCACAAAAACATACATGTACCAAAGCTGAATTAGTCCACAAATCAATAAATTGATAGGTTCTTTAAACATACCGGTAGCAAAAGAATCCACAAGACAGTTATGATGACTGTTAAAAGGAATCAGGAACCCTCAATAGGCTCCTGTAAGCCAGGGTAAATTGTGCAAAATCACGCTGTTGAAGCCCTCTTCCCCTGGTTTGGGGTGGAGATCTTACAGTTGTTTGGATAGAATTTTATACAAAACAGCTGCCTTTTCTGCTTATCAATTTTGTCCTTCAGGTCAACTAAGACTTAATTTGTCCATCTGCTGGTGGTTTGAGGTTTAAACAACTTTGTCAACTCTTCTATACTTGGTGAAAACTGATATAAAGCAAAAACAGGAGGTGTGGTGTCCAAAACTGCAAAGAGCTGTCTACTTTGGGAAAACAGCTGGGCAGACACTTTGGAGTCAGGATATAATTTATAATGGCCACAGAATATAGAAAGGAGGCAGAGAAGAATTTCACAAGATCCAAAAGCAGAATTTCTGCCAATAAGTATCATAACATATATAGATTTTGCCAAGGACAAGGTGCTCTGCTGCACATGCTTTGTATGTGCAAAAGCTCCACTATAATCCATAACACACCATGTGTGCCAGAACACTCATATTATTGATTGGAAGGCAAGTGAAATAGTTGAGAAAGAAAGCAATATTTTCACAAGGTGGATCAAGAAAAGCATGCAAATCGGAGAGCAAACATTCCTATTATGAATAGTGAAGTATACCAGCTATCTCCTCTATGGACCCAAGCAATCTCCACCCCCCCTTCCCCCAACCAGGGGGGAGGGGTGGATGATCGAGCATACAGGAGCATACTGAGGGTTCCTGCTGGCACCTTTTGATGTTCTTGATTTTGATCAAGATGGCTGAGTGACAATCATCAAAACTGTCAATATCAGAATGGATTTTGTGGCTATGCTTAAATAACCCATAAATAAACATACCAGAGCTCTCTGAAGGGAATTTTACAAAATGTTACCTTAAACAGAAAAAAATGTCATTATTTTATGACTGAGATCTCTTCAATTCTGTCAACAGTTTAAAAACAAACCTGATGAAAGGAGTCTGGGTTTCCTGGGGCAAATATTGATCCAAGCCGTGCCTCAATAAGACTGATAGCCTCAGGCCACACAGCATTTACTACAAAGTCAAACCCTCTGATCCCAGCTCTGTGTTCACCAAACATCTCCAAGTCACTTGCAACAAACCTGCCAGATGTTATGTTGATCATCTGTGTACAGTGGCGTGGGACAAACTCAAGAATTTTGTTGTACACATCACACAGACCCTGTGATGAATCAGCTGTCAACATTTTCTCGTTAATCACCTGGGGATATTATTATCAACACATTATCAACATTATAAATACAAGTAGCTTCATAATATGAATAATATCTGTTTTGTCAGATCAATATGTTGTGGTTCAATTTTATCCTTTCATAGTTTAAATTTTTTTCTCTTCAATTTTGGGGAATGGTAATGTACAATAATGAGTTTAAAACAAAAGAAAATGAAATTTAAACCAAGTTACTGATAAAAATTAAACTACAACAAATGCGATAATATTGCTGACATTTTTATTTATTTTTTATGTGACAATAAAAGTGGCTCGGGTGTTATACACTGAATTTCATTGACAGCTACTGATTTTCCACATTAGGCCAAGCTGCTATTATTTGATTTGTGGGGCTTGCACAATAACAAACTTTGACATTTCTAACAACAGAGCTGGGTAATTACTGATTAATCGTTTTTTAATAATGTTTTTTTTAGGGGACATAGACCCCGGTAGTGCGGCCACCTTTTCTGGGCTGGGTGAGATCTTAATAAAGGGATAACCTTGTGATCCTCCTTCAGGTGTTGCAATGGCTACCTATAAACAGTGTATGTATGGATTATGTTTGGTACCATCAGCAAAGGCATTGGTGCAGACAAGATACTCAGCCGCATTCCTTAACAAACGATAACCTACCTCACTCATATAAGGTTTGACAATGACTTCCCTAAACAATATTTCAGCATCCTTTGTCTTGTCTATAATGGCATAGGTTCTTAGGACTCTTGAAAGCAGATTAAGCTCTCCTGTCTGAAGTCCTTCCTGAAAGGCTGCCTCCAACTTCTTTTGAAGAGTGCTTGTTATCGCTGCTATTCGCTGTTATAGAATCATCACAAGTCATGAAAATGCAGCATTCTGGTAAGTTTCTGCTCTCAAGCATTAGAAAAACTGTTGCATAGTTACAGAAGATTAACAGGTATTGTTAAAAGTGATTTTCTTCAAACAGTTCCATTCATGATTCATGGTATTCTCCAATAATGCAATAAAAGTAACCTGCATCCTGCGTTCATGACGCATAAAAATCCCCCAAAACACAAAATAACTCCTGGCATGCATCCTGTAGGACACAAAGATTGATTTGTAGAATAACCTGTTTGTGTTATTTCTGTGGCTGTTATTGTGGCTGTTGTTTAACAATGCATATTTATTTTAATTTAGTACCCTCATTTTTGTTGTTTCAATAGAAGGACTATATTTTAATTTCAGTTAACTGTGATAAAGAGGTTTAATGTCTGTCTTCAAATTAACTGTCTGGTTACATAAAGGTCCAGGCATTGTCAATTTAGGACGCATTGTGTTTTTTGAACTAGGACTCACTGGTTCTGCACTGGACCCATGGTTTTTCACAAAATTTCAGATGCAGGACTTACATGTACTATAACTACTTGAGCCAAAATTACTGCTTTTGAAGTAAAAAAAGGTTATTAAAACAGTACCCTAGCTAAGTAACTTACTCCTCTAATGCTCTCCACAAGTGGATGGCCTTGACTCTGTGTCACATAAAACTGCAGTTGATTAAATTCACTGGCCACTCGCTCAATCAGTTGAGAGTCATCTTCACTACAACAACAACAACAACAAAAGCACTTAATAACATAACTAAACTCAATGGCCATGATTACTGTACAATTGTTTGGCTATTACAAGAGAAATTCAGATAGATGGTGCATTTGGCAATCTATTCTGCCCTTGCTTCCATGGTGAAATACTGTATGACTCATAAAATTCAACCAAAACATGAGCAAGGAAATTTAGAAAGGTACAACTGTAGCTGGTACAGCACATTAAAGCACAAGTCCTCACCCATCAGGGTCTTTAGAAGAGACATCTTGAGTGATCTTTGATCCTTGTAAAAGTCTTTCAATCTTTTCCAGGGACTTTGTGATGTTTAACAAATGCTGCATACACAGCTAGAGCAAAAAATCAAAAGAGCTCATTCATAATGAAATACCAGTGCTAATGGCCCTTGGATAAAACTATCACACTTTGCCATTAAAATGGATTAGAAAAAGGAGAAACAAGATTAGAGGATCACCTTCAACAGAAATATGTCACCTGCAGTGGAATGATGTCAGCATAATTTAAATAATACATATTATCAAGAGTTACAAAAAATGCAAGCCCATACAAGACCATACAATTCAATTTTTTTTTGTTATTAAGTTGACAAAATAAGTAGCAAGGTGTTAAGGCAAGGACAATATTAAATTTTTATATCTTGTTTTGGGTTTGTTAATGTGCAAGATGAAGTTGTATTCTTGAATACCTGTTCTACCTGTGTTAATGTTAAAGCATTAGGAATGTTTTAAAGAAAGAAAAATTGAAATTATAGAAGCATAAATGGCAAACAGCCCCTCTCTCTACCCAGTCTTTCATGCCTTGTTTCACTTTCAATAAACTTTCATTCTGTGTATTATTACATCTTGTTTCCTCTACACTTCTTTTGTGCTCTAGCAGCTTCCTACATGCTTTACTGTACAACAGAACAGAGCAAAGTCAAGGCTTCTTTATTTGTTCATTAAAAGATGCAACACCTAAAATAATAATAATAAAAAGATGGTCATCACTGATTCAGACGCTTACTAATTTATTATATTACAGGTAACAGAAATCTTTCATCTTTACATTTCAGTATGGGTGATTTAAATTTTCATCTTCTCTCAATTTAGTTCTCTAAATTTCAGTACCTTTTTTTGTCTCAAAAGTGCTCTTTCATCCAGCTTGTCTTCAATTGCTCCAATGGTTCCATCTAGGTCAGATTTAATGAGCTGAAAAGAGAATAAAGATCAATGATGCAGTTTTTAAAATTCCTTAACTGTTCAAGTTACAAAATATGGTAACTTCAGCAATTTACACTCATTAGTTTATCATTATTATTATTATTATTATCATTAATATCTAATGATTTCCATAAGTCCAATGGCACTTTTAAAACCAAGAAAAAAAATAATACAATATACAAATTATGATAAAAATCAGACAAAAAGTTAAAAAATATTGTTACACTCCACTGGTTCAGCAAATAAAACATACAGTGGTAATGACAAGTTTTCACCATTTTTAATCTGATCAAATCACCCTGTTGCACACTAGCCTGAATCATTTTCACCCTCTCACATGCCCAAATATGGCAGAATCATATTAGGAAGACAGCATGCAACATCACAATACGCTATGGCATGCAATTACCCATTAAAACACCCCACCCCCCTCCAAGAGCCATTATTCATTACGAGTATTAGTGATTTAAAACAGCAACAAACATAAGTTTCTAGACTGTTCGATTGTTCAGGAAACAAATATTATAACTTCAGATTAAGCTAAGTGTAAGTGTTTTAACTCATAACAAAGTCCTTTTATCTCTGGGGAGTACTTCTGCTCCGCTGAGGATGCCTGGATCCCTCCTGGTGCTGCTGTGGTGCTGGGGTTTCCACCTGGACATCAAGGGAATCACTGGCCTAGGAACGGTTTCCTCTGAATCTGAGGGTATTTCTCTTTGCCTCTTGCAATGGTGGGGTAGTGCATTGTTGTTGACATCACTTGCTAAGATACCCCACTCCATCGGTGTTTCCTCAGGCATCCCCTCATCCGGTCCTCCAGAACAAGGTTCCTTGAACCAATCGGCATGAGCCTTGCCAAGGTGCTTCCAACGCCTGCCCCAGTGCACCACCTTGCTGTAGGCATTGCCTGTGGACCTCACTGGATCCTGTACACAACATCATTTACATCTAACACAAAAAGTGGCCCTTCCCATCACATCGGGTGGGAGCATAGTAGACATTGATGGGCCCATTGTTCCCCACAGTTGGCAAATGGGGTTGTCCATAATCTTGGCCACCACAATTTATTTATTTATTTTTTTAGCTTCGCCTAACTAGAATACAATCTTTATACACGAATACATAAAAAATATTAGGCAGGAAGACCACTACAGCCTAACCAGTGAATCCCTTGTTGATTAAAAAACAAAACAAAACAAAAAAAAAAGATCGTTGAAACAAAAAAGAATAACTAGAGCTACTGATATGTAAACAAGAAAATTCAAAGGAAACAAAACAGAAGTGGCCTTGCTGTGAGGTAAGACCAGTTTGTCCGCAACTGCTGTCACTTGATAGCAGAGGGCTAGTTCGCTGGTTTAAGGCTTACGAAGTTGAACCTCTTCTGCTCCAATTCGTAGGCTTCCTGCTCCTGCATCGACGGTACAGCCATGAGCCATCAGGAAGTCTAGGCCCAGTATAAACCTGTCGGAAATATTTGTAACTAGCACTTCGTGCGAGACTTGGGTCCCTCCAATCCTGACCCAAAGCCTCAGTTTTCCACATACTTGTGCCATTTCTCATGTTCCATTTTCGAGTACCCTGTTAGTGGCTCACAGATGAGAGAGTCTCGGCTTTCTTTACACGTCTGGGCAAACTACTGTGATGTTGGTGCCTGTGTCAATGACCATAGGACATATCACTACTTTAATGTCACTGTTTATGGTAAGACTGCCCTCCTTATAAAAAACTGAGCTGCTTCTACTCAGTTCACGTTATCGGCCCAGTTCTTCATAGGAATTTGTTCGTGTTGGGGGTGAAACTGATTCAACCATCCTCTTCTGTTCGTTATCTTGGAGTGATACTCGATCCCAGTGCTGATATGGAAGACCAGATTAAAAAGATTTGCAAGACATGTCATTTCCATTTAACTAATATTAGTAAGATAAGAACATATTTAGATCATGGATCTACTGAAGCAATATTATTTAACATGCTTTCGTGACTACCAACTTGGATAACTGTAAAGCAATTCTATATGGATTACCTAAAGTTCTCTTAAACTGCCTACAGCTAGTTCAGAATAGAGCAGCACATATCGTAACATTCACCAGGAGGTATGAACATGTAATACCCAGCTTAACAGACTTACATTGGTTGCCTGTTGAATACCGTATTATTTATAAAACCTTATTGTTAGTATATAAGGCTATCAATGGATTTTCACCAAGTTATATATCCAATTTGCACTTATCTTATGGTGATCGAAGATTTTCTATTATCGGACCGAAATTATGGAACAGCATGCCAGCATCTTTAAGAAATGCCAATTCCTTGAATTCCTTTCAAAAAACCTTAAAGACATATTTATTTCACCAAGCTTTTCCTTAATTTGTAAATAGATTTTTATTTTTATTTTCATACTTATATATGTAGTTGTTAGATTTTTTGAGTTATAGATATATTTATGCGCTTGGACGGTTATTTGTTATTTTTGATATCATTACTGGTATTACTACCATTATTTTTATTCCAATTGTTGTAATTTATTTGCATCTTAACACGTTTTGTGTAATAATGTAAAGTGCCTAGAACAACTAGTGATATAGATGCTACAGAAATAAAGTTTATTATTATTATTACTATTATCATTATTATTATCATTATCATTATCATTGCTCCATGTTCTTAGACATGATGAATGACATTGGCATTGACAAAAAGCAGCAACGTTATATAATCAAGAAAATGATAAATATAACCATTAGAGCAACATATTACATCTTTTGTTGTAGAAATAGGAGCTGGGATATATAGCCCAGACTTAATGCAATTTTGATATTTTTTTGTTTTTGGCTTTTGTTTTGTTTTGTTTTTGTTTTTGCTTTGATTTTTTTTTTCTTTTTAATAATCCAATCTCAAGCAGCGTTTGTAAATTGCCTATACGTAGCGAGGTTTACAATTGTACATTCAAAAACACAAATAAAGTTTCCATTATAAGACAATCATCCAGCCATCAACAACACTTGTGGGGTTGTACTGATTGTTTGATGGGCCAGTGTTTCCCCCTGAAGTTCTGCCTGTCCTATATACTAGTTTAAATGAGGTTGGGAGAGGTTCTGGTTCTGCTTATCCCTCGTTTCTTCCAACCTTCCAACAATCTTGTTTCAGGTGACCCCTTTTTCCACACGCCCAGCATTGTGGGAGCCCAAAACTTTGGGAAGATACCGCTTCAGTGAGTAGTCCTTTAACTTGAGCAAGTACATCATCCTGTTGGGATTTCCCACAACCAGGCTCATCAGTTGAACTCCCTTCTGATGTACCACAATACATGCTTCGAATTTAGCAAACTCATTAATAATTCATAACGAAAAAAACAAGGGAAATTAATGTTTAATGAGTGTTTGGAAATCAGATAAAAACTGCTCATTTTGCATCCTTAATTTCTCCCTCTGAAATCATTTTGTTGAGAAGTAATATCCAGCATTCAACACAGAGTTTCATCATCAGATGAAACACCTGGAAGTTCGTCAAAAATATTCTACTGTGCGTTGTATTTTCAACTCTGCTCTTGCTGTTTCATCTGGTGATGATACACTGCATCTCATGCTTGATATATTACTTGAAATTCCCTTTGGAGGGAGGCTAGTCAATAAGATTCCAGCTCCATAGCTAATGTCATAGCAGCCTGGAGGGACTGGGGCCTACTCCATCTCCATCCAGGATAGTGTCAATGAATTGTTCCTTTGCCAATACACTGTAGGTCCTTTATCTCCTCTGGGGCTCAAGGGTAAGCTAGCCTTACCAAGCAATCTAAATCCACGGCTAGTTCTTGTAAAGATTCTTTAGGGGTGTCTCACCCTACTCTTAAATTTAGAGCAATGAAGTTCTAACTGAGTGCGCTGATACGAATCTGCTCTCAAGAGCCACAACTAACTCCTTGAAATCTTGTGGGGTGTTTGGGGAAAGGTTTCCTAGAAGAGTTAAGGCAGGCCCCCTTAGGCTCATCGCAAGATAGTTTCCTTTCTGCTCGTTGTTCCATTGACTCATTCCAGCGACAACTTCAAACTGAGTAATGTAGGACTCCCACTACGTTTTGTCACGATTTAATTTTAGCACACATGAATACAGCTCTCAATCCTCTCTTTTGCAAGAAGAGTGTTTTCAAATTCATGTAAATCTGACTATCGTCAGTATAAAAATGAAAACTAACATTATATTTATGAATAATATCAGCTAGGGGAGAGGTGTAAAGTAGAAAAAGCAAGGGAACCTATAAGCTGATTGAAAAGTCTCATGCAAGTCGTTATGGTGAAGATAGTTTTTAACCTGAGCTGCTACAACTATTCCAATCACTTTAGAGACGAACTTCAAATTGGAAATGGTACGAAAATTTTCAAATTCCTCATGGTCAAGTGAACTCTTTTTTAGCAGAGGTATGTGGGGTGTCTTATTATAAAAAGGCAATGAATAATATACACTGTATTTACCAGTACTTCCTCTTTAAGTTGCCCCAGAGGAACTGACAAGCTGGCAATGTTTTTGTCCATTCCTACCTAAAGTGAAATGCATTGACTCAATAGTTAAAGTGAAACAATGTCAACAGAAATGATCAAATTTTCCAACTTTACAGAGCCATATGTTAGCATCTGTTTTGACATGTGGTGATAATAATTCAGTAATGGAAACACCTACCAGATTAGTAGATAAGTTAACAAAGTCAGCGTAATCTTCATTGATCAGCTCAATTAGAGCATGTTTCAAAGCTTTCAAATAGTCGTCTAAGTTTGTTTTTAGCGTATCCAGAGGGACACTCCCTTTGCAACTTCCAACAAAGCTATCCACGCTAAAAGATTCTTTCATGAAGTCAGCCCGTGAAAAGACAGCTAAGCTGGGCTCTCGAGGAACGATATCTTCACTGTTGAGGTCCGCCATTTTGTTCCAACTCATCACTGCAAAAAGTCCCAGGCGTTCCTTAAGACAGAGGCGTCATGTAATATGACCGAAGTGTCTACAGAGAAAAAGAGCACAGGACGCCACATGTGTCAGCATAAAATTCTTCAGCTCATTTTATGGCAGGAGAGGTAGAAATTGAAGTAATTCTTAACGAAGGAGTCAGCCAATCTCTTAACTCGAGTCTTCTAAACAGCTGTATTGAGTACCTTATATATCAACGACAACAAGTTCCGCTGCCTTTCCATGAACTCAAGAGAATCGTAGAAGATCAAAAAAAGATGTATGATGACTTGGATACTGGTGTAACCAGTGCTAGGGAACGTCCAGTAGTAAGGCGATCCCTCAACAGTGAGGATAAGAAAGCTGTCAAAGTATACGAAGACTTGCAATGTTTATTTGGTCACATAAACAAGTTGTTCTTATCAGCAGACGTCAAGTCCGCCATGATTCTTCTGGGCTCGACAGCAGTCAGCCCCAAGGAAAGCTATTACGTCACGTTTCCAAGAACTAACCAAGGAAATCATACGGACCTTTCATCCAGGATATGCGGCTCATCCTGTCGCAAAATGATACGAAGCTTGATCTCGAATCAGGAGCTTGGTTCTTTCAAGGAGATTTCTGCTACTTCAATGTTAGTTTTTATTCAAGCTAACAGAAACTCTGTTATTGAGTGGTTTCGACCAAAACCGACTTTCAAACCACCACAAAGGGGTCAATCTTGTAAAATAATTCTCAGGACCAACAATGAGCCAGAGCTGGAAGACAGCACTGATGAGTGGATATGGTTCCAGGCTCCAGTTATCGTGAAAGGGTACAGGCATAAGACAGGAAGTGCAGGTCTCTAAAATTCTGAAATACAGTGCGCACTTATGGGCTCACTTATTTAGAACCCTAGTGTAATGCATCAGTCAATTCCACCCCTGGGAATTTTCCATCCAAGGCAAAAAAATGCTAATGCCCAGGGGTCAGCCCAGGGGGGTGTTGGGCACAGCTGGAATTGACTGATGCAGAACTGCTGTATGCTAAAGAAAAAGCTAAAGAAATACGCAGTCATTTTCTCTCTTTTCTTATTTTGTTCTTTTTATTTTTGTGACATTTTAAGAATGACTAATACATGGCATAATTATTGTAAGTACAGTGTAAGCTCTCGTGAGTGGACACCCTCCGGACACAAGAAAGGTGTTCATTACTAGAGCTGGCTGGGAAGGTAAATGTAATGTCCTTTGTATTTTTCTTTTTTCATAATGTTTAGCTGACCCCATGCCATCAATCTCCGGCTTCGAAGGGTAGGCGTAACTGGTAAATAATAAATAATACAGAGTTTGTATGGGAGTTGAGAGAAACAGGGTTTTGTGAAGGCTGCCTTAAGTGGAGCTGTCTGCTTGCGAGAGTACTTACAACAAGGTTGCAGTAGTTATATCTTGGCTAAAATCCTTTCCCAGGTTAAACTAGACCCTGGTAACCTAGGTTGAATACCCCAACAGAATTCAACCAACAAGTTACATTGTCTGACAATACTGTTGAAATAAATTACATCATTTTTTCTTAAACTACACCAAGGGTTAACGATGTAAGTAAATAATATTTATATGTATCTATCTTCTAACAAACCTCTTGGAAAGTGAACTGTTGCTATCTGTTACTTAGAAAAACTTATGTAGAAAATGCTGTATTTGTGTCTAACAGTATTACTATTGTAGATGGATTTATTTGCAGCTTACAATAACCATGTTTCATTCTAGACATCAACTCAGATAATTTACAAACTATAATTAATTATAACGTAGGATTTTACTTTTTTAGAAATATCTGTTGTGTCTCTATTTGGAGGAACTTAATAGAAATTATTTTCCCCAAAGCAGGCAATTTTTAGTGAGAAGAGATTTCTGATGAACAATTTGAACTTTTTACAAGCCCCTGTTTGTGATGTATGTCAAACTGTTTGGGCAAAAATAAGTTTGTGGTGTGGGTTTTTTGTTTGTTATTTTTCATTGTTTTTAACCTCCTTTAAATAATATATATATTTAGCCACGGCTAAAAGCGAGGCGTGCATTTATATACTTTTATTACTTACCGGTAAACCCAAAAAATTAAAACGAATAAGCTTCAACCTATGCAAATCTAGAAATCTATACTTGACTCATTATAAAACAAAAGGAGAAAATTATAAGTCAATTAATTTGATCACAGTAATAGTCTTGGAAAAGAATTCTTACCGATGTGTGCAAAAAAATGAAATTAAAGAGGCTTCCTGGCAAGTACTCTGTCGACAAACAAATTTGCAGATGTTGCATGTGTGGTTTTTACGCATGAATTCACCTGTCAAAATTTTGACCAAGCTGGGGTGGGGGTGGGGGGGGGGGGGGGTTGTTCCTGGAGTGCAACCAAAAATGTGACCAAGCAAAAAGTAAAGCCTAGAAAAATGTTTCCGAGAATTTTCTCCTAAGCTGAACACAAGAAATTTCAATCAAGATTTTTACCCGAGTAACTGTGTTAGTTCTTTTAAATGGTTAATTTTGTGCCAAAAAATTCAACCTGTATGTCTGGGACAGCGTTTTTTCCCTACTCCCAGAGTCTATACGGATGGTCTTTCATACGCTGAGGTTATAACCAAATTTTCTGGTATCGATAGGTTTCCATTCTCTTTTAGGCATGGGGCTCCGCTGCATGTGCTATGCACACACATACGCTCCACTATAAAATGACCACTTGAGACCTGATCTTACTCATGGCGGAAATCAGGTAATCTGAGACCACAAAACTCTGAAAGACAATACACAAGTTTTGTTCTTGTAGGGAAAACATGACATTACAGAAACTGTAACTCAGAAATTGTGCACAATAAATTCTTTCTGTGGTCTTACTCTCAAGAGTACAATAGAGTATCCAGAGAAAACTCATTAATATAGCAAGAAAAGAACAAAGGAAAAACAAGTCGGCAGGATTCAACATTATCATTTTGTCCTTTTCTTGTGACACAATGACCCGGCACAATGATAATGTTGCAAATATGTAAATAATGCTATCCCAGCATCACTCAGCCCCACACTGTTAACAAAGCTCTTTATATAATACACACTTCTTTTATTGATTTTTCTCACCATGAATGATCACACATTTATTACATTTTTAATGACTGGGTCTCTACCATTCACTTTGTCTTATTATCGCTACAAAAATCAGTCACAAAATAAGTTACACATAACAAGATATTGTATGTCTACCATCTGATCTAATGAGGAGAATGTTTCAACCTTTGGTTTCAAGTAAATATCTACACCTTTCTAAAATAAATTCAACTTCTTAAATGCAAATCCATGCATGCATCATGGTCAAAAAAGGTTTTCAAGAATAGAGAGGTCTATTTATAGTTCAGAATTAGCTTTTTTTATTCCAGTTCAATACAGTATGAATCAATGAAACAAAATGTTCAAAACTAAGATCATCAGCTTAGCATCAAGGAACCAACAACAACCTGAAAAGAAGGGCAGGGAAATATATATTTTTTTCCTTGATTATTCTGACATGTTTGATTAATTTTTAAAAAAATTACTATCACAGAGTGAGGAAAACAAATCCAAAGCAATCATAAAGTACCAGCAAAGGAACAAGCTTGATCTCCTGTTAAATGTCATGAATGAGGACAACTAACTAAATTTAGTTTGCATAACTAGAGAACAAATATGACTGAGTAAGAAAAATAAAAATTTCTTGTTAGGAGTTAGCTGATGTTTCCTCAATTTACCGGTACTGGTATCTACTGCTACCTTAGTATAATCACTATTGTTACCCAACAATATAAAGACAGATAAAAATATTTCCTCCTTCATAAAAATATCTTATGTACAATATCATTTATTCAAAAAGGCACTTATTTCTTCTAATAAAATGTGTCAAAAATAAATAACGTACGAAACCATAAAGAGACCTAAAACTGAATTATCAATGAAACAAAACTTACTAGAAATGAATAATTTTTTAGATGATTTTCAACTGACTGGTGTGTAACTGTACACTATACACTGCTTGAGATATTTCTGTCTATTTTGATAGGCTGAATTAGAAACGATCCTATTTAAAACAATGAAACAGACTTTCCATCTACAAATTTATGTAAAATAGTTCTAATGGTTTTGAATCAGACCCGATTTTGGTTAAAAAACAAGTGATATTTTTTGAGAACGTCATGCTAAGAAAACCCAGGTTTTCTGCAAAATTCATTACACTGTTTTTGAATGCCATTTAAATGTAATCTACCCCATAACTGTCTTGCAAACTTATATTATGACAAAGAGTTTGCCACAAATTGTGATAATGAATGAACGTTGCAGAGAAGGCTTCTTCAGAAACTTCACATTCATTGAATTACTTATCTTACAAACTCCATGCCCCACAACAAATTTTCTCAATATTCTATTTTGAAGAGCTAAGTCTTTGGAAGAGCTGTCAGCTGTTGGATAACAGAGTTATGATAGAAGCCCTTGCTTCCTTGAGGGATGACTTTGAGGACCAAGTAAGTCTATGGAAAACTGGTCTCTTCATCAGAAACCATGACCACCACCTCGTTTTGAATTATCAATTGCAGGCAAAGTATAAGGAGCAAAGTTTTGGCTTGCTTGATTCTACAAATATAAATAAAAGAACACAAATTATTGAGAGTTATCTACAAGGTAATTCATGTGTTAACATTTAATTTGGTCATAGAAACTGTACTATAATTAGGTCTGTTCATTAGAACCTTGTTTAGAACAACAGACAAAAATTAATACATGCTCAGCTCTTTCTCTAAAAAAATTTACAAAGATTGTACACCCTGATGTTTAGGTCAAAAAGACAAAAACAACATACTCATGCCACTGTCCTGCAGCTCAGTGGGCCTGCAGGCATGCCATCCCTGATAAGGACGTGGATATGTGACAGGATGAATTTATATTCAGGTTAGAATTTTTAACCTAAGCTGATTCTCAATTTCCTTTATATGTCTCCTTGGCCTAATTAATGAATAACTAGGGCTAGGGAAACAAAGGAATAATTGAGATTCAACCTAGGTTGAAAATTTCAATCTGAATTTAATTTTGACCTGTACCAGATACACCCAGCAGAGGGCATTTTCTCCATTGACAAGCAGTCCAAGCTATAGCTATTTTGCAGCAAATATGCATGCAATTATTTTTCCCTTTGCCATTTGAAGTGCATTTAAGGTTATTCCTTCAATACTTTTATAACTTGCTCATGATAAGTATAATACCTTGACTTTATTTTTCTCCTGGTTGATGATGGAAGGAAAAGATGTTGGGAAAGTTGTTTTATGTGTTGTTGTTGTTGCCACAGGTATTTTTGGCAGTGTAGTGCCATATGTGCTGTGCTTGTTGTATCCTATGCCTAAAGCTGGTAATGTGGATTGACCATATCCAACTTTGCCACCTGCTGCTGTGATGCCACCATATCCTTCATCTTTGGAAACAGTAGACTAAAAAAAACATATTAGACACTTCAATTATCAACATTTATATGGCTAACTGGGGTAGATCTTCATGTTATTCATACAACATGAGATCAGCGACGTTTAGCAACATTGATCTAGTAGTTTTAAACAATACTGAAAGACCAGATGCCCTATTGAAATTTTTTCACTAATAATTTGTTGGACTAACACTTCCCTTAATCCAGGCTTTTCTAAAAGTATCTTTTATAGTAAAGAGCACATGTGTAAGTTTACCTCACTGGGTGAATGTGCATGACTTCGTCCTATCACATGTTTTCTCTAAAGGAAAGAAAATCAAGGAATAAATTAACAGTAATAAGTTAACAATATTTAAAAAAAATTATTCATTACGTTCCTTTAATAACCATACAAATATGTTCCTCTAACTGAATGCAAACAGCTGCACCTGACAAAATTTGATTGACTAGCAATAGTTTAACAAATACAGTCATGTACTTATTCATGTACTTTAATAATTCATACCCACCTTTTTCTTTGCTATCCTATGCTGTTTTGAAATGATGGAAGCCTCAGAAGGTGATGACAACCTTGTGTTAGCAGCTTGCCTCCTGTCTTGTTCCCTGAAAGACAAAAAAAAATGTTTCGAGGCTTATAGCTGAGTGGCACCATGTCAGATTCACAATCTTGAGGATGTCCCTGCAGCTCCAATCAGTCCTACTATGACCACAAGCTGAATTTCTTTCTTGGTCTATGTTTGTAAACAGCTATAAAGAACTTGCCTCCTGCCATGAGTTCCATTTTTTAATCCAGCCTGGTTTTTTACATTTGTTTGCATTTATTTCTGAAATACATGTACCTTTCAACCTAGCTTGCTGAGAAGGTAACAAATTATTATTTCAATAATTGCTGAACAGCCTGCATTGATACAAACCTGAGTTGTTTAAAATAGGGATGTCTCAGGGCCTGTTTGGCTGATATTCTACAAAAAGAAGGTAAGAAAAACAATTCCAACTTAAAACTGTAAATTTTACCTCACCATTATATCATTTGGGGATCATTTGAGATTGCACTAACTGCCAGCTCAGCTCAATGCTCCCTTGCTAAGATAAGCAATCAGAAGTTTTATTTGAAGTCTTGCCTCTATAGCCAGAAAGAATGGCAGCAAAAAAGGGAAATTTCCCAATTGTGAAGGAAATGTCGAGTCACAGCAAAACTTCACAAAATTTTATTATCAGTTTCTAAATAAGTTGCACTTAAGATTGAGAAGATTAATTAATTTCTAATTCATTACCTTTCATCAGGATCATAAGCACACATTTGTTCTATAAGATCAACACACTCTGAAGTCACATGTGGCAGAAGTACTCTTATTCCTGTCCCTGACTTTTGTGGAAAGTTGAAGTTCATGCTGCGTGATTTACTGAAAGACCAATAGATATGTCATTATCAGTCATTATCATTATAGACAGTTCACAGTCCCCTTTTTTCCATAAGATCGTCGAGATCAAGCACTTTGTGTTATAGGCAGCCATCTTGGATGAGTGTCAAAAACTACTTTGGGGAACAAGGAGAGTTTGGGAGGAAGTGAAACAAATAGAATGACTGATGGTCTGACCTTACATCACTGCAGCTCATGTTCAGGGGACGTGACAGGAATTTCACACCTTTTACTATTCACTGATTAGGAAACTCTGCTGGTGCTGAAAAACATGCCAGAAACATGTAGCATCGCTTGCGCATGTTACAAACATCTCCTTTTGAAAATGTGATTTCATACACTTTCTGGGACATTCCTCCAAATAATAAAAACAGCAAACATGCACAGTTGAAACATTTTCCTATTTTTCATCAAAGCGGCAAGCATGCTTGCTTCAACACATTAAAATGGTTAAACCTCCAGACAAAAGGCCAGGCATTTCTGACATGGGTCATCTTTTCTGCATCTTTGTAGAATTAATTTCAATTCATTTGGCAGAAACTGTGCTACAACATTCCATTGGCTGGGCTGCTTCAAAAGCATGTTGGCTTACATGATAATCATCTTCAAAATACCAAAAATCCATCATGTGTTTGGGCAAGATGTGCCTTGCAAATTTGTAATAGCACTGAGTTTTGAAAACAATACCCGAGAGGAAAGTCGCAATTAAATTGGCATTTCAAATGGCCAAACGGTTTTATGTCACCCTTCTCCATAAAATGTCAATTTATAAGATTCTGCCCAACTCCACGCCAATGGGAAATAACTTCCTTCCCCAGTAATGGTGAAGATCCAAAATAGTTGGGTGAACAGGTATTATGAAAGCATACATTTTAGACACAACGACTTGTCAAAGACTTGTCGTGTCAGCAACTTAAACTAAACCTGTTGTCAATGCAAATTAACATCTATTGTCTAATGATGAGTCAAACACCTGCGTTGCTGGTACAACACACTCCATGAACATGAGCTGCAGTGATGTTAGGACCGTCCCTCTATTTTTCTCACTTCCTCCCAAACCGCCCCCACCCCCTAAGTAGTTTTGACACTCATCCAAGATGGCTGCTTGTAATGCAAAGCGCTCAATTTCGACAATCTCATGGAAAAATAGGGGACTGTGAACAGTCTACTATCATTACAATGACATCATTTCATTAAACTAAAAACAATGGAAAATATATACAGTTACATGTAGGTCTAACATCCTTAGTATTAATAAAATATAAAAGAAATACAAGAATCAACACTGAAATGACTAAATCAACTACGATTAGCCGCATGTATACAACTCACTCACTTTTGTAATTTCTTAAGAATGCTTGATGATGGAGTACCTAGGACATCATGAATTCTAGCAATCTGATCAACTTCATTTGAACCAGGAAATAATGGGTGTAAGCTGTAGGGAGTCAAAAGAAAGTAAAAAAAATTGAAAATAGTTGCCTCTCCAAGATCATAATGAACTGAAAACTCTCTACTTTATTTTACCTTAATATTTCAAAGAAAACACAACCCACACTCCACATGTCCATCTTGTGGGTATAATAACCATCTGTCAACAAACATTCAGGAGCACGATACCTACAAAGACCATAAAATTAGATATTGACTGTATCCACAACAAAACACATGAATGAAAGGGTTTACATTTAAAACAAATTCTGGTCGGTTTATTTCAAATCCATAAAAAGACTAAATGCTAATACTTCTCCCATCAAGACTCAGGGTCTGAAATTAACTTTTTTTTATGTTTCCAACTGGCGACTAAATATGAATTTTCAATCACCGGATGGCAAATTGTGGTCGCTAACAATTTTCTTGTATAATACAATGTCAAAAAGCATATGTTTTAGACATTCTTATGTTCAAAAAGAGCCCCACTCTGGTCATCAGAAAGGAACGTACGTGTATAATAACATTTACAGTTTCGTTTTAACAAAACAAATTACCTTTTTGAGCAAAAAATTACCCAGCCTACAGTAGATCATCTAATTAGCACACTTCAAAAGATCTACGGTTCCACTTTTCATGGCCCAAAAAGTGTCCACATGTTCCACAAAATTCTTGGTACCGTTAATTTTTCATCTCCACTTTGCAATGAATTACGAATTTAATATCAGGAAAAGATTGGAGCTTCTTCACAGACACCTTGCCTGAATGAATATTCAAAGCACATGGTATCATCAGCACCAGTGCATTCTGAGATAAACTGCTTAAAATAAACATGGTGGCTTGGCAACTTTTGCATTGCATTGCTCTCTACTCTTGTGGAGGTAGTTTCAGGGGAAGACTTGTTTCAGTTTTTTCCAAAAACATCAACAAGTTAAAAAAGTAAGACATTTGTCGGTGAAAGCCACTACCGGTAAATCATATTTTTAATCAGTTTCTTTGAACGTTAAAGTGAACTATAACAATGCAGATAAAAGTGTAATATGATAAGTCACCCGCTGGTGACCAGTTGTGGAATTCTGGTCGCCATTATTAAACTTTTATTCGCATTGGAGACAGGGAAGGCACAATTTCAGTCCCTGCACGAGTCCTAGCCTATTCCTCATGTAGCTAAGCGATTTGCTATGATAAAAGGCTAGTGCTTCAAAAGGTTGTTTTTACAATCTTTCATCTACAGTACTAAATTGACTGCTATCAACGGAATCTGTGTTTTGCAAGAAAGTAAGTGACAATGCTGGGAAAAAAGTGATTGGTCAACCCAATATTATTATATGGATTGTTTGATAAAATAATACTAAACACATTCATACCAAAAAAATTAAAGAGAAAAGCTTGTCTTTACTGAACCTAACATTTCCTTACAGATTACTCGCTATCATACTATTTGTTATGATATTAATTCATGATTTTCATACTATTTAAGCTATATATATGCCACACAGTCAACTGAGGGCCAACAACTTTGCAAAAGACTTATTAACAGAAAACAAGATAATCAGGAAGTTAAAAGATAAGATTATACAGTGAATGATCATGAATACAACCCAACATACCATCGTGTTGATATATACTCTGTGTATGGTTGCTTTGAGTAAACACCTCGACATGAGCCAAAGTCAGCAAGTTTCACAACATCGTCCTTAAACAAAATGTCAAAAAGCATAGATATTTACTTATTTCGCATGAAACACTTAAGTAATTACAAATAATTATGTAGGTGAAATTTGGTTTTAGGTTAAACAAGCTCTTACTATGCAATTTTACTCCTAAAAAAATCCATACATCCAAATGCACTCAGAAGTGTCATGATAGTGCTCTGTTCTAATTCTTAAATCACTGGTTGTTATTGCTATAAAAACAACAACAACAATTAAGAGAACAATAAACATACCTTGATCAAAATATTTTCTGGCTTAACATCACGATGAAATATTCCATTCCTGAAAAAAGATATTAATTAAATCACATAAATGAATCTTAAAAATTACACATTATTCTGACTTGTTTCTTGTATATTTGGGATCTTAATGACAGTGAACAAATCAACAGTAAAGGGAATTTATGTCCTTTAATTCATGTACAGACATAGAAACAAAGAAAATAGGAGATGTTTGCAAACAGGCAACAATGTGACTATTTAAATTTGCTCAATTTGTCACATAAAATTATGGCCACGTTGACTTTTTGTGGAGTTGAATATTGTAAGGGATGGTCCAACCTTTTAGATTAAAAAGAGAAAGGACAGTATGGTTCATTTGTCATTACGAGTTCTTGTCCATGTAACACAAGAAGATTTCACGTAACCATGCAAAGGATACCACAAAATGTACCCAAAACTGTAATTTATATGCAGAGCTGTTGCCTTGCTTAGTTAAACCGATTATTTCTTGATTTTCTATTTTTCCTGCCATCATATTAATGTCCCTATTATAGCTACAAGTAACATCACCTAAAAATCATGGTTGTCAACATAGTTTTAAGACCTTGTTTTACCAGGAACTTTTTTAAGTAACCTAACACACACTATACTCTATTTTCATACTCATCATTTTGCCATCTAATTTAGTTGACTACATTTAGTTGCAGGGCAAGTCAGTGAGTGACTATAATAAGTAGTCCTAATCTCATGCAGCTCACAAAAAACCACCTACCTATGCATGTGATCTATTGATTTACAGAGCTGATACATGTATTGCTTAACTCTGGCTTCAGGTAAATAATGCCGTCGTCCTAAAGGCAAAAATAAAGACTTAGGATTTTATGCTCTTCTCTGAACATAATAGATCCTGCATTAAACTAGCTTACACTAAACAAATGACATCAGGTGAATTCATTTGGTGCATTTCCTTGTTGGAATTTATGGTTGCTTTTAAGCTTGAAAGCAAATGAAAAATTCTGACAAGCAAACGCAATGGATATATGCTTATGTCACAAATGACATGTAAAACAGCATGTTAACAATATTGTACAATGCTTCCATACCTCGAATCATTTCATATAAATTCATGTCCATCAGTTCACATATTAATGCCAACTTTCCATTTCCTTTGTCACTGAATGTTGAAAGGATAAAAAACATGTTAAATTAGTGTTTTTATTTCACAGCAAGATATACCCCACCAATAAACTATTGCAACAAAGCAGCTACTCTTAAAGATGTCATGTACAACATACCAAGGCATATTTATGAGTCAATAAATTGAGGGTAAAAAGGTTAATACTGTTAAATAGCAATTTTTAAAAGCAGAAAGTGATTAGATGGAAGTGGGATCATAACCATGACTTATTGATGTCACAGCTGCCTCAGGCAAAAATGTAAACAAGTGAATAAAGTAAACAAACACACACCGCCTGCCTTAAATATGTTTTACTTTTAGGGAGCAATAAATGATTGCAGTTTTAATTTTACAGCAGAATTTATTAACACTGCATGACACTTAAGCATAACCTTTGAGGCAAAACAAAAAAGGTTTGAAATGAACAATTCTGCCTAGATATCTTAACCTCGTTAATAATTGATTTAATGATGAAAAAGGTTATCAATATCCGGACGGACGGATGAGATTATATTCACTTTCAACTAAGAATTAAGCGTTTATGCTAAGCTTTAGTAGCTACTTACAAAATAATCTCTTTCAGTTCAATGACATTTCCATGGGGATTTAACCGCCTCATAGCTTGAATTTCTCTCAGATTATTAACTTGGTCGATACTGAAATCAAAACAGAAAGAACACTCTAGTTGTAATGTACATCAAGTGAAAAAACACAGACCTTTCACGTATGACAGCACACAGTTTAGCGAAAACACAAGAAATCAACGCGCTTATTACTCTGATCAAACAGGATTGACATTCTCACCTTTCATACCGCTGTTTCATCTTCTTGCAAGCAAAATAATTCCCATCTCGAACGTCCTGAACTTTTAGGACTTCCGAGAAAGTTCCCTCTCCTTTCTTCCCGAGGATACGGTATTCTTTAGGAGAAAAAGAAAACCATCATTACATATATAAAGAACAAACACGCGCTTCGAACGCCGTAAAGCACGTCACAGAAAAAACTTCCATCTCTGCTCTTACTCTGCATAGCTTTCCCGCGAATCTACAGGTTCATTGTTTGCCAAAATATTGTGTATATTGCCCACAGAAACCGTTAGGGAAAGGCGTGAAAATGATAAAAGTTATCACTTAAATTTGGAAATGCCGATAATGCTCTCCATCAGTTATTGTTTGTTCTTTCTTCCACTGAGCTTGCGTGCAAAAGTGTTGCTATAGAAACAAATGTAAACCATCGTCACAGGTCACCCAATGATCATGGATAACGCTGTACTTTAGGTGACTTGACCCAGTTTTTTTGGGGGGGTACCATCCTACTTTGAAGCTCTCTGGTATCCCCACCTTTACTTTTATCGTAAGTCTAACACATAGAATGGATAACATATAGATCAATTTACAATATGACATAAAATTTTTGGCGATCGGAGTAAATGTCACGTGGTTATAATGCCACGCCCCTTTGAGGTCTGAGTCGGAAATCTGCTGTTGCCGGCGTTTTTTCGTGAAAATCTCTCGGCTACACATAGTACGCATTAGTGCCTTGCGCTGGACAGAGTTTCGACAAAATCGCAAAGACCCAGTTCGAGAAATTCAGCGGTTTCAAAATTGAGGTCATAATTTATGCGAAAATGATAAGCAAACATTACACGATTATATCTAATAAACTATGAGACTGATCTCTTTATTTTGGGGATCGTTATAACAGATGGGTCCTTGCAAGTCAGCAAAAAGCTTTAGGGCCTTGTAAATGCGCGCGATTTCGAGCAAAGCAAACATATACAAATTATAGTTTTCGCTATTTTTTGACGTTTGCCAGCGTTTGAGAGTCCTTCTCACGAAAAAAGCATTTTCTTCAAAATTCGTAGTTTTTTTTTTCTTCAAATTTTTTCAGGGCCACGATTGATTAACTACCTACCCGGACTATGAATTTCATGGTCATTGAAAAACTGTGACATTATCTTCTATAAGCCCAAACTTTAGTAAACATTGAGCATTTTCAGCGTTTTGGCCGAGATTGTGCTTTGGGAATTGTCTATTGTTTCTAGTCTGTCATTATACAGCATTCTTGTTCAGCACGCGTGCAATGACCACGCTTGGTTGATAATTAGAATGAAAAAATAGAAGGGATTCCCGTCACGCAACGTCTCCAACCAGCTGACTGTGCATCATGCCGAGAATTAAAAACTCTAGAAAGAAAATGGCTGGGGTGTTGAATGCTATTCGAGTGAGAAAAGAGGTTCACGGAGAAGAGATTGTGCTTCAGGTTCGTAAGTGTCCATTATTTTAAGAGTTATTGAACAATATTGCGCTTGATTTAAATATCATTGACATCATGATAGGACGTCCTAATATTGCGGACTTTGTATTTTTCCATCAGGAGAGTCCCCCAGATAGTGCAGCGAGAGAGAGTAGTGAGATAACAAGAAAGAAGAGGAGACAATATGAGGAAAAATGTGAAAAGATGAGAGCCAGTAAACTAGCTACTAGCTAACAGAAAAACGATGCAAGGCGTCAGTTTCATCGCCCACGAGACCTATTTTACGTTCGGACCCGCCGTATAAGAAAATAGGGAACGCTAGCCAAGAATATATTGTCAACCTGGAAATGCTTACGGAAGCGCTTGAGAAATGTCAATATTGTGATAAGGGGCCTTTAGGACTAGCCAACAGTTGCCAAGACGTGCGACCGGAAGGACCGATACCTATTTTAAAAGTAAAATGCAGTAATTGTTGCTCCATCAACAGTATCCGCCCTGCCGAGAGCCACCGAACTGGCAAACGGGGGTCAGCGACTCTTGACATAAATTCCAGAGCAGGTCTCGGGGCCTTGCATGCCGGAATCGGCCATTCACAGTACTCTGATTTGATGTCTGCCCTTGGTCTTCCCTCACTGACTTCGCGAAACTTCAAGAAACGAGAACGAGAAGCTGGAAGTGCCATTGAGAGTGTGGCCAAGCGGTCGTGTGCCGCGTTTACGGAGATGGAAAGGGACCTCTCAGAGAATGACGGTCAAGGGGAAGGGCCAGTGGCAGTGGGCGTGTCCTACGACATGGGATGGAGAAAGCGTGGCAAGAGCCGGAGCTATGATTCCTCATCCGGAGTGGGGACTGCAGTGGGGCTAAAGACGGGAAAAGTGATCAGCTATGCCACGCGGAATACCTTATGCCGAGTGTGTCAAGAGGCTGTTGCTAACAACAGGGAGCCCACCGTGCACGACTGCCGTCGTAATCACCAAGGTTCATCCAAAAGTATGGAGGCCAACGTTGCAGTGCAGCTATTTGGTGATGCAGTCGAAGGTGGCGTACGTTACTTACACTATTGCTAAGGCAGTCTCTCATAACTTGTTTTGTAACCATTGAGCAACTTTGATCTTATTACTGGAGCATCAACTAAAAACGAGTCATAGCATTGATCTTTAAAAAAAGCTGAAAATATTGTCGAGCCAAATGCCGAGTAAAATAAGCATTTGCCTTCAGTGGTCAAAGGATTTGATTTGGCGAATGCCTAGCTGTCAAAATGCCAACTTTGTAACACCCTTAAAGTGGTTTTAAATTCACCTCAGTTGTCCAGTTGCCGTGGCGGATCTAGGGGAGGGACGGGGGGGGGCCGCCTCCCCGTAATTGTAGACCAAACTGAGGACAAAGAGCTGAAAAAAATTTTTTTGGAGACTGCCTCACCCCACCTTATCTTAAGATCTGGATGACCGGGCCCCCCTTATCTGAAGGTCAATCCGCCACTGAGTTGACAAATAAAAATTTCGGGTGATTTAATATCCCACTGCTGTTTAGAAACAAACATTCACCTACCTGGTGGTCCACTCACCTTTCTTATGCCTTCTGCTGTTGTTAAGTTAATTAACAAATTTTAACTTATAAAATACATTTTAAATTTTCACGCTAAATTAAATCCAGATGAATATTTAATGGGGGGTTTTGAAGGGCAATTGTCTTCTCGCACTTGCTTTGAAACTTGACTTTAGCGGCTTACAACATGAGGAATAGCCAGCGTGAAACACTGATGTTTTCTGACAAACTAAAAATAAACTTGCTTTTGAATTTCAGGATAATTGACAAATTGCACCTTCCATGGCCAGCTCTAAGGATGATATAGACATGTGGGAAAACGTGGTAGCCGTCGTCATTCTACTACGAGTTTAAGCGCGAATGTCGTAGTGGCGAAAACAAGATATCAAATGTTAGAAGTTATATAATTTTGTGATCGGGAGAGCACGTAACCTCCTTCACTGAAAATAACAGTGCTAACTTTTCGAGTGAAAAATGGTCAAATGACGCTTTCCGGGAAGTCTACATTTGAGAATACGCGAAAAAACTTTAAATCAAATCTCGCACTCATAGTCGTCCTCGTCATGTGTAGCATTTGTGACGCAATTTGTTAGCCCAGTCATCGCTGGGCCCGCTGGATAGCGTATCCTCCGGGGTCGGGTTGAGCTGGGTTAAGGTAACCAGGTAACCCAGGGTTAGTGCGATGATTGGATACTCTACAGAGAATAGATAACAATTATTCACCGAACTGGAGGTGGGTAGTCGTGGTGGGTATTTACCGAACTGCGAAGCAGTGAGGTAAATATCCACGACTAGCCACCGACACTGAAGTGAATAATTGTTTTAGTATATACTAAAACAGTGAGATAATTGAGCACAAAAATGATGATTTTTAACTCAAATACTGTTGCCAACGATTACAATTTTGGCGCGTAATGACCGGGCGGCCGCGGCCGTCGCTTTTTCTTGCCGACAATTATAACTTTTGAAGGCATTTGTTTAGCTCTTGCGGGGAAATTTCTTCAAAAGGAGTTGTGAATTATTTTTTGTATTTAAAATCATTCTATAAGTATAGGTAATAGCATGATTTGCAGTGATATTTGGCATAAATACCACTTGTGATATTTCGAAATTGTTATACGTAATTTCACGAGCCGTTAGGCGAGTGAAATTTGAGACAATTTTGAAATATGAGAGTTTGACTAATAGTCGCGGGTCGCGGGTCGCGGGTCCAATGTCGCGGTCGCGGGTCTAATGTCGCGGTCGCGGGTCTAATGTCGCGGTCGCGGGTCCAAGGTCGCGGTCGCGGGTCCAAAGTCGCGGTCGCGGGTCCAATGTCGCGGTCGCGGGTCCAAAGTCGCGGTCGCGGGTCCAATGTCGCGGCAGGGGAAAATGATTTGAAAACGACTGATATGAAAACAATATGAAGGGAAAAAATCTTTTTTGTGCACGATACTCTACGGTAGCCAATTTACAGGTTACGGATGTTAGAGTCAACAATATGATGTCTCAAGAAAAGACCTAAAAGAAAAAGCTGGCAGACTTTTGTGTTCACCGCAAGTTTATTTTGTTTTCTTTCTGTCGGGCCCAGTTAAGTGTAAATTCAGCTTTGAATATACTTATGTATAACAGTATCTGATAAAAAATGTTACCATGAGTAACCATTGTTTTCTTCTTGTCTATGAATTGCTCACAAATCCTTAGGGGTGCATTCACTGAAAAATGTGCGATACACTTCATAGACTATAAATTATAAACGTTACAACAACTTAAAACCTTTTTTAAAAAAGGCTAACTCGGGCTCGAAAAGCTACGAGTCTGTCGGTAGAAGAAACGAGAACTGTTTCAATTTTAACAAATGTTTTCGGCAAAAATAAAGAAAACGCTTGTTGAAAAACTTCCTGGTCGCTGTTACGAAAAATTGTATTGCCTGACTAGTGTGACTTTCTAGAAGCTTCGCGAGAGTTCATAATTTGTTTATTTTAGGATCTTGTGTAAGAGTTTCTAAAAGCGGTATATTTTGTAATCTTTCTATAATTAAACTATTTGGAAAGTTCTAGAATCTTATTGTAAACGTATATAAGGTAGGCGAGCCCGAGTTAAGTTTTAACTAGTTTTCACAAGAGAAGAGAGTTTGACGTTGGTCGTGTTTAGTAAAGTGTGACGAAGGCAGTTTTTATTCAAGTTGGCGGAGGCCGCGTAAGTTTAACGAGTTACGTCTGTTGTGGAGTTTTACTCAGTGGAAACTACGTTCTTCTTTGGAATAAATCTTCTTGTTGCTGTTCCGACAACGCTGCGTTCAGTTTAGTTTGCAAGCTACCCGTCCTCTAAAAGATTACCCGCGTAAAAGTCGCAAACTCCCAAAATTCGACAAAATAAACTCTTTGCACAAGTAACTGGAAAGAGGAGGAGAGACGTTGGGCTTGAAGTGCCAGTAAAGTACATTCAAGCGGGTATTCAAGGCATGACTTTAATAAAAAACAAGTACTAATCCACAGCAAGAGGGGATAAAGCTCCAGCTTTATCCTCTCTTGTCCACAGAAAGGAGTTTGTTCCCAATAACGATTGAAATCCGGAATCCAAGTTCTACTAAGAGAGAATAGATCATAGTCTCTTGGTTCTACTGACAAAGACTTGAATCCAGTACCTGGAATCTGGAATTACTTACCTAATTTATTGTCTTTTCTTAACTCTGGTGGAGTTGATAACTTACCGTTTTCAGTGTCTGGTTTACTTTCTTTTTCAGCTTCATGATATCGGGCGTTATTATTTCCTTACCTACTTACTCACTTAGTTATTTACGATGCATGTTTTCAAGATTTGACTGAGACGCACATTGAATGGCTTCCTATTGTCAGGTTGTCCTGGTTGCCATTTAGGTGAAGAGAACAAGAAGTTATATTGAACTCTCTGGGTTGCCGTCTCAGTTGTAAAAATAAAAGCATTAAGCGAAAATCTTGCTTCGAGGAACAGATTCCTTTCTGTGGATTATTAGTTGTTTCCATATTAAATTCATGCCTTGAATACCGCTTGAATGAAGTATAACGCGCCTATTTACATTTTCTTTCAGTTTTGTCGAAAACATTTGTTAAATATAAGAGTTCTCGTTTCTTCTACCGACAGACTCGTAGCTTTTTGAGCCCGAGTTCGCTTTTTTTAAAAAAAAGGCTTTAAGTTGTTGTAACGTTTATAATCTGTAGTCTATGAAGTGCATCGCATATTTTTCAGTAATTGAACCCTTAAGCATTTGTGAGCAATTCATCGACAACAAGAAAGCAATGGTAACTTATGGTAACTTTTTTTATCAGATACTGTTATGCATAAGTATATTCAAAGCTGAATTTACACATAACTGGGCCCGACAGAAAGAAAAAAAAAATAAACTTGCGCTGAACACAAAAGTCGGCCAGCTTTTTCTTTTAGGTCTTTCCTTGAGACATTATTTTGTTGACTCTAACATCCGTAACCTGTAAATTGGCTACCGTAGAGTATTGTGCATAAAAAAGATTTTTTCCCTTTATATTGTGTTCATATCAGTCGTTTTCACTCAGCTGTTACCTCGAACCCCAAATCATTTTCCCCTGCCGCGACATTGGACCCGCGACCGCGACTTTGGACCCGCGACCGCGACATTGGACCCGCGACCGCGACTTTGGACCCGCGACCCGCGACCCGCGACTATTAGTCAAACTCAAGTGGTATTTATGCCAAATATCACGCACAAATCATGCTATTATTTGTTTATACTACTACCCACAAAAGGTTTGTAATTTTCACATGTAGGTATTTCAAATTAAGCTGAAATACCACTGCTCTAAGCAATTCAAATTGCAGAAATTTCTCATGTAGTGGTATAACAAAAGATTATTAAATTTAGTTTTAAGCTTATTTATGAACAACTCAACGAAATAAAGTAACTCAAGACTTAAACTTAATCTGCATTAGTAAACAAAAAACTTTTTCACCGGTTTTATCGATAAATTCGTGTCAAAAAGACAAAGTTTTACCTGTTAAAACTTCCAATCCGAACTTCGTCACCTTCTTCGTGTATTTCGGAAACAGCTTGCTTGATTAGTTGTGAAATTTCTTTGTTTGTTTACGGAAGCAAACCGGGAAGGCATTTTGCTCGCAACTTACGCGAGTTTGGCGTCACTCGCTCGGAGGAACTGGAGGTGAATCAGTGAATAGTGCAGCATATATTCACTGAAATAATCAGAGCGCGCGAAAAACACTATCCACTGCTTTAGTATATACTAAAGAAGATTATCCCAGAGTGCTTTTGATTAAAAGAAAATGAACCCCAGGTTAAAATTTAACCCTGGGTTAGCGCTAACCGGGGTTCAAACAACTGGGCCTGGATAAATCCCTATCCAGCAGATAAGGGTTAGGAAAACCAATTGTGTTATCCACTGGATAGAGATTTTATCCAGCGCATAGGGTTATCCACCTTTTGAACAACTGGGGCCAGAAGTTTTACTCTGGCTAATTCGAACATTATCTAGAATTACTGTGAAATGATAGATTAATAAAACCACGGGAAGGGTAGACGGAAGATAATCAAAAGGACTTAACATAAACATAGAGGTTATCACTGGTGGTGTGAAAAAATCTTGGCCACCAAATATGGCATGAAAGAGAAAATCATCACAGCCGAATCCTAGCAGGCGCTTACAAGTAATATGGGCGCAAGAAAGAACATGGCGCTCCAGGCATAATACTTACAAGCGCCTGCTACGTAGGCTAATCTTTGCACAGATACCTCTAACCTCAACCCAATCCTGCCAGATTTATACTCTAAAAACCTGCTGACAGTTTTAGGGAAAATCAACTGCCAATAACGCTATTCACCTATTACTCATTCCAGATAAAAAGGAAAGGCTGGTAAAAAATATTTTCGTATTCCAGCTGAAGGCTTAAAACTAGAAATATGACTGAGATGGTTTGTAATAAGATAACAAAGTTTTAACTGGCCCCCAGACAGAGTCGGATGTGTATTTGACTGCATGATCGAAGAATTATAAGCTGAATGGATGAAATTAACTAGTCACCAAGGTAATCTGTCTCTCCACAGTGACCAATTTACATTACACTCAACGGTTGATATGATTGTTGGTAATTTATGAATCGACCATGAAAGTCGGCTGGCCTTCGAGGATTACACGGGGCATATAAACACTATCTCCTGCGGCTCAGATAAGGCGAAAAGAAGAATATTAGAATAAATATGCAGCAAAACTATGACTTCAACTTTATTGCTTCAAATACATCTTACAATTCGTACTTATATTCTATAACAATTTATGTCATGAGAGAGTCTTTAGAGAAGTTATGACCACCTTGGTTGATGGATCTTGATGGAAAGATAAATAATGCACGAATGACAAAAACAAACAAACAAACAAACACTTATGGAAATATAGACAGCGGACATCTAACGCAAATTCGTGTTGAGCTAATCGCCCTCTCAGGGTAGGCATTAAAACTGAAAATTTGTGCAAAACATGATAACCATCATCATAACCGAGTACCAAACACTGTATCATTCAGAAAGTGTAAAGCCGGCACTGAATCGCTTACGCGTTATATAGAAACTGAATGGAAAATTACCGACTTGAGACTGACTGGTTCTTTCGACTTATCAAAAACTTTACTTGACTCTCTTATCAGTCTGTTCAAGGCTTTCTGATATAAAGAACGATACGAGACGGTTTGTTCCGGGTTATAAGGTAGAAAGCTAGACCGACTGACTCAAGTTCCCAAGGGTGTCCCAGGGGTTAGTACATTATGTTTATTGGCACGACATAATACTGAGCCTGTGTTAGTTGTTCTTGGACATATCAAATACATGTTTTGCACTAGTTAGTGAGTCTCACTGGCAGCCAGTCCCCGGTGGACTGTTACTCGCACCACATAATACTGAGCAGCATCAGTTGTTCGTGGACATATCAAATACATGTTTTGCACTAGTTAGTAAGTCTCACTGGCAGCCAGTCCACGGTGGACTGTCACTCGCACCACATAATACTGAGCAGCATCAGTTGTTCGTGGTCATATCCAATACATGTTTTGCACTAGTGAGTCTCACTGGCAGCCAGTCCCCGGCAGACTCTTCTGAACAGGTACTGAAGTGACTGAGGTAGGTACCATGCCAGCGCAACATTTTTCTCTTGCAGCACAATAACGATTTATTCTATTCTTGTACTTAATGTATATTTTACTTCGTCTATTGCACGAATACCTTGAGCAGTACTAAGTATATTAAACTTTATAGGTATTAATTATCGGCAGCTGTATTGGACTGAGTTTGCACTTCCAACTCGTTGCCTCTTGCGGGATTGTAACGAGTCAAAAAAGTCCCTTATGTCTTCTTCTTTCACCACCTAAAAATAAAAATACAGTAGAACCTCCACTAACGGCCACCTCTCTACAACGGCCACTTTTTTAGTGGACAGTCCATACAGTGACTCTTATTTAAAACTCTCTGACAAAGGCCACTTTTTTCTGTCCAAAGGTGGTCATTGTGGAATGTTCGATTGCAAAACCAATAGCTTTCTTTTCTTTCCATTCCTATACCCTCCCTTCTGCATTCTTCCTTTTTGCTGCTTGGCTTTTACCAAGTGTTTTCCTTGTAGAAAAAGTTTTCGAAAATTTGTTGGAGACTTGGTAAGGAAGTACCTGTGTGTCGTGAGATAATATCTTCATGAAAATTATTTTATCAATCAAATGTGAACTTTTTCTGCATCCATCTCTGGTCTTATTTGTGGAAATGTCCCAAAGTTGAGCTTGTTGGGAAGACTTCTTTCTGCAGACAAGTTGTGAATCGGAAGAAGCTAATGACGTCATAAGTGCTATACAAGGTTCGTCAGTTTCGAGCATAATTTTACAGAACTATTTACGGTATCAACATGATAATGTTTGAAACTTGCTTCATTATTTTCTCGCCCAAGATGATGTTGTAAAAAATGTTTCACAATCAAGGGGACCCGGCAAGCATTTTTAACTAAGAATACTAACTTATTTTCAGTGACTTCACTGACCTTTCCTTGAGCTGCAAAGTCTCTTAGGAACTCCGTCAGTTCACTTTTCATGTCATTATATTCTGCAAATAACAGCGAGAATCAGCAAGATCAAGTTAAAAATCACTGTATGGGACGACAGTTTTTTTTTTCACTGGTCAAGATCAGGTGTTTGTTCACCCACCGAGGCCATTGGTGTCAATAATAATGCACTAAAAATAATCCTTGAACATATAAGAGAAATAAACTTCAGTTACTGTTTCGTGTCCACTTAAGAGCACAATGCAAATTAACAGAAGATGTTGACGAAAGGGGTCACAAGATAAATCAATGAAAACATAAAACTAGTTCACAAAAAACTTACGTGGGACAAACCATCACTGAGTTTAGCACAGTGCTGAGCAAATGCTTTCACGTTTTGTAACCTAAATTTAGCATACAGCAACTGACAAAGTCATCCAATTCTAGGTTTCAGAAATTTCTAAATGGGCATAAGATAGCACAGACATATAGCAATTTAAAATTCTGTTGGAATAACGCCAAATGTGTGGTTAGGTCAGTAAAGATATGTATCATTAACATGCACCAACTGTAATACATTCATAGAATGGTAAAAAATAATATGAAACTACCGGTACTACAGTTTAATTACCATGTAGAACCTCCACTTGGGGAATGCGACCCATGTTCTGAAGGGCATTCATGCCACTCTCATACGATGAAACACTCGGTCTCTTTTGTCTTCCTCTCTCTTCATATGCCATCATAGTGTCTGATTCATCAGTGAGGTAAAGCACATCCAGTGACTTGTATAATGACTATCACATGTAAACAAAACAAATTGTCACTAAATGAATAATGCATGGAACAGAACCCTGAGATTATTTAATCAATTATAAAATTGTTAATAGCTGTCATCTATTGGATAGAAATAAAGCCACATGTTGCGTTGTTTCTCTAAGGCTGGAACAACAAATCTGAATATCAGGCTTACCATGCATTTATCACATTTGCAAAGGTTTGATCTCCACCCTGTATACCAATAAGTTGCTCTACTCTCAATGGAAGTCACAGCATCTTGCAGTTGAGCAAGTTTGCAGTCTTCAACAGTTTGGGTTTCTGATTTCACCCCATTGTTGGTAGGTTCAGACGTAGCTTCTTCTTTTACGATTTGATCCAAAGAATCAGGTGTCTGGGAAACGCAGGGCTCACTTTCACTGGAATCTCGCTAAATGAGGTACACAAAACTAAACATGAACTTGGCTTCAAGAACCTCTTCATATTGGAAAAGATATTTGATTCCCGGGGTGGGTACTGCCATATATGGGCTATATGGGTATGTGCCGCTGTGAAGGGTATGGTTTTCAAGCAGTTTACTCTAGGATAGGGTATATAAATCAGAGCGTTTGGGTCTAGAATAGGGTATCATTTTTCAGGAAACTCATCAGTTGGTTGAAGATTTTATCTACACTGGGGAAACAGCTACTCTAGGATAGGGGGATTTTGGGAGTAAACTCTAGTATAGGGTAGCAAAATTCAGCTGAACTAGCTCTGGTATAGGTCAAGGGTTCCAGGGTCCCAGCGGCACATCCCCACCCAGAAATTCCTAAAGTGCCCCCCCCCCCGGATTTGATTATGCAATAAAACCTTCTCTTTTCCTATCTGGAGACCTTATTAATGACATAACTTTGTTAATATTTTGTTAATATAACCAGATTTTTATATCTCTTGGAGGTCACATGGGGAAGACTACATTGTCCTAATGAACTTTACATTAACATTACTGCCTGCATGTACCTGCTGCGTTGCCAAGTCACTCGTCTCTTGTTGACTTTTTTCAGCCTCATGAGTGGCGTTGTCACTGTTGGTTTCAGCTTTGTTTGTTTCTCCTGACTCGTCGTCAGGTTGCAGTTGAACTTTAGGTTTTGCCTCTGTCTCTGACTTGATGACTTGCTGACTTGAGGCAATTGAAGTTTGCTGGGATGGGACTGTTGCAACAATAAAGGGAAAAAACATGCACTTTGATTACATTGAGAGTAATATTTCTACTTGCCTGCAAACTCTGTGTAGATAAATCAGAAAGGCAAACACCATTAAACAAATCAACAACAAACATTCACTACAACACAATGGGAACAAACAACTTAATCATTTTTTTTAATATTAGAGTTTATACTTGTATGCATTAGTATATGTTTACCACATTTTAATTAAGGGTTTATAACTGTTACTGTTATGCTATGTTGGTAGGGGACCAAAACAAAAAAATATTGTTATATCAATTGAAATAAAGTGAACGCTATAATATGACAGAAAGCTGACCTTTTGAGGGCTAACCCTTAACAGAAAGAATCGAGGAATTTTAGTTTACGTGTGGTTTGTGTAGAAGAGTGGGGCTGAGCTATTGATGGGAACATGGAAACATGAAAAACAACATCAAAATTAGTTCCACAAAAGCATCCATTCAGTTCATGGGGATTTAGAATGCCAATATGAAAGATAAATACAGTCGAACCTCTCCAAAACAGCCACCTTGGGGACAGAAGAAAGTGGCCGTTATGCGCAGGTAAGGGTCTAATATGACAATTATTTATTTTTTTAAACAAATTACAACACCTTTATTGTGCCAGCTCATGCTTACTATATCCCATACTAAATAGTAACCCACTCATAAATAATATATATTATACACAAAAAGGTTTAATTATGTTTAAAAATGTTAACATGACAAAACTAGCAAGTTTCACAACATTTGCTATAGGCATTGTAGGCAATTTATATTTACTGCAGCAGTATAAATGAAACAAAGTCAAAATATGATTGCTGCGATTAATCATCAACGTGTAATAAGGAATATTTCATGACTTGATTGCTGACTTTTTCATCAGTCGCTGAAAAACCTGGCTATTGTCGAAAGGTTATTTTGGCAGTTGGGGACACGCTTTAGTGGCCCTTGCCCTTGGGTGGCTGTTGTAAGAGTATGGACTGTCTGTCAAAACAAAATAAAGTGGCCATATGTGAAGAGGTGGCCGCTAGTGGAGGTTCGACTGTATTAAAGAGGTATTGATACAAAGGCCTCAATAAAAAGGCTTTTATGCAAGCTTAATGTTAAAAATACATGTATATTTTTGTTCTTGATTTTTGTGGATTCCTGTGTTACTTTGGTTAAGATTGAGACCACAGACTGCCATCTGTTTAGCCAGAATGATTCAGAAAATTAAAATGTGATGGGATGATAACAATAATATCAATATTAAATGATTTAATATAAAGTGCCAAAATCCATAAGTTCAATGGGGCTTTTATAGAAAAAACCATTCAAAAACCCAAAAGATAAAAATAATAAACATATACAATCATAAAATTAAACAAAAAATTTGTACATAAAATTTATGCATAAAAAGCTTGTTTAAAAAGAGGTCTTTCAAAAGAGATTTAACATTGTCTATCAATTTTGCTTGTCTTAAGTGATCCAGTAGAGAATTCCACAAATTATGGTGGCAGCAACACAAAAGGCTCTTCATCCACAGCCCTCCAGTTCATACTTCAGGGTGGACAATAAGCTTCTGGACTTAGATCGTAAACACATTACCGGGTCATAGAATTTGAGGACATCTATCAAATAAGAAGGTGCTACACAATGCATTCTCTTTTACGTTAACAATAAAACAGGCAAGCAAATCAATTAAAACCGTCAGAATGTGAACATGATTGTATACACCTGCCCACTTCCCACATAAGCTTGCATAACATGGCTACAAGAGTCATAGCCAAAAAAACCATTTTCATAAGGCCAAGCCACTTTACCTGACAGAGGGAGGTACCCTTGAAGAAAGCTACACCTGCTCATGCAGTCATCACAAATCATCTCTTGAAAGTCGCCATCAGGTGGAGGAAGACTTCCCAGGTGCTAAAGGAAAATAATTGAAAAAAAGACACTCCCCTACACTGTTAACTCATTATTATTATTATTATTATTATTGATAACAAAACTAACCATTAGTCAAAGCACTATTTACAAGTTATTTCATTTCATAAGCTCCTGTTCATTTCGATTAAAAAAAATTCATTTCAATTAAAACAAAAACAAACTCATTTCTATTAAAAACAATTCATCTCGATTAAAAATGAAATAAAAAGATTAAAAAGATCCTAAAATACTAATAGCGTTTAAGCGGCAGTCATCAATGAAATCCCCTTGTGGAAATTTGTGGAAGGGTGTCTTGGAACCTCTTACGCATGTGTACCAACCTTAAAATCTCAAAAGAAAGCAATGTTCTAAACCAAGTAATAGTAATGTAATAAGGTTCGATCCTCATTCTTTTCTGAGAGCTTCTCGGCTAGGCATTTGAAAAAGCAGTTGCAGTCGGCTCCCATCCCACCCTTGGTTCCAAAAACTACGGGAGTGAAAGATCCCATTTCAATGTCCAGTACCCTCTGTTGGTACTTCCGCTTTTTCTCCTCCTCCTGCTCCTTAAAGATTGTGGTCGTTGTTTTTCCCTGGTTACACTTGGAGTTAATACACGTTACTATGACATCAAAAAATGCTGTAACTCCACGAGACCAAAAGCCCCCTGCCTTGAAGTCCAGTCTTGCCTGCGGGCTTGTTACCGTTCTTCTGAGGTTAAATCACTCATTACTGAGAGGTTGTAGTTGTGGTTCGACTTCAATGTTGGTGCAAACCTTACCAATAAGTGAGGTAAGTAGGTTGCGAACACCACCGTGTCTCTGCACCACAAACCCTCCCTTTTTGCAAGACAAGGCATGTCAGACGGTATACTTCTCACTACAAACACACTTGCTTGGTAAGTCGGACGGGGGCATATTATACCTTAAACACAGAGAGTCTCTGAGTTTTTGTTTATTCAGCACCAAGCCTTGATCAACAATTGATCAAAATGTCGCTAGTGTGGATATCTGAAATATGTGTCTATATGCTTTTATACTTAGGGCTTTTTATGGACACTGGTTTAGCAGTCATTAGTATAATTCGATTGTATGATCTTGATATCTCTGCATAATGGAATTCTTAATTTTATAGAATTTTGAACTTTTATTATTGATTATATCTATTTCCTCTTCTTTTATGTAAGGTTAAGTTACTTCTATTTTTTAGAATTTGTAAATGAATAGTTTTCTCTTTCTTCACTTATTATATATAGGATTGTTTTTGTTCTCTAATGAAGGAATTGTAGATAGTGTTTTGATGAATTGATTAGATTTTTTGTAACAGCAGGTTGATTGTAAATAGGATTTTAATTGAGGTTTTGTAATAAAGATTTTACCATTTTTATTATTATTATTATTATTATTATTATTATTATTATTATTATTATTATTATCTCTTTTATCACAGTCTTTGCTGGTGTTCTTTTGTGCATCAGCCGGGCGCAAACCATACACATAGAGCATCAATCACTTAAGTTACTATTATTATTATTATTATTATGTCGCAGTATGAAACTTTGGAATGCTGTCCACATTATGAGTAGTGTAGGGCGCATAGCGTAACCTACACCACTTGAGAAGCTATACTTAGAAGTAAAAAAAGGTCGATACGAAACCTGATACAATCCTAAAATACATAGTGATAGAATCTCTCTACTTAAAAAGCCAATTTAGAATATTATTAAATTCTGATACCCTGTAAAACCTTCGCTATCTCTACTAAAAGCTTATACATAGTGATATAAGTCTCTCTACTTAAAAAGCCAATTTGGATTATTATGAAATTCTGATACTCAGTAAAACCTTCGCTATCTCTACTAAAAAAAAATTTATAATAATATCACACTCTAATGTTCTAAAAAATCTAAATAAAAACGTCAGCAAGCTTGTGTTTCTAGATTTCTAGAGAAAAAACAAAAACCTAAAAACTGAAGTCCATAGCGCCCTAACTAAGTATTTATCTTAAATGTTCTGGCAATGTTTAAAGTGTTTGAGATGACCGACTTCTGCATTCGCTCAAGTATGCTCCGTGCTCTCGCTCCAAGTAGCTTCCTCACCGACTTCTCTAGGTGTTTAGAGTAACCCCCCAGTACGTCAATTATTACGTTGAACTGTTCAACCCTGTAACCATTGTATCTCTGCTTCAGCTCCCACATCATGGGCCCATACTTGAGTGTCTTTTCCTCATCTTTCTCAGCTCTACTCTCAATCCATGGGCAGCTCATTTCAATTGTGCAGACTTCTTTCCTCTCGTGGTTGACAAGTTGCGCATCGATCCGATTTGCCCTAACTTCGTTGTGCTCTGCATAGATGGGAATATCCCAAAACGCCTCACTCGTGGTGTTCTGGTAGGCTGGTTTTGGCATCACCGGTGAGTACCATGGTGGAACCTCTTCCATTAACCCATGCTCTCGCAGGAGCTCAAAAAACAGAATCTTCAAAGCTGCATTATGCCTGTATAGGTACTTGGTTTGTGCCAGGGAGGAACATCCAGCCAGTACATGTGCAACGCTCTCAGCTACCTTCCCACATAACCTGCATAGAACTTCGCCGTCGGTGGAGGTTTGCGTCTTCTCCTTTGTGTAGAGCTTCATAGGTAACAACTGCTCATACAGTTCATACATGCCCGCGATGGTATGTGTAGGGCATGTAGCCCAACCTTTTAACCATGCAAAGCAGCTGGCTGTGCTTAGGCTCTCATCTTCCCATCTGATACGGAATAACTTTCCTTGCCACTTTTTGTCTTTAGCGCTCTCCAAGAACTGCTTCTCTTGAGATTGCTTCAACAGATTCCCAGCTCTTGCTGCAGTTACCTCCTTTCCATCTGTTGTAACACACACGGGATTTAGGGTATTGAGCTGAAGGGTGATGTTGAGTTCTTCAGCGTACTTAGCTGCTTCCTTTACGAGCGACTGGTGGCCTGATACCATGGCGTGTTCTACAAATTCTCTAACTGCTTCCACAGTCGGGTCCGGGTTCTGATACAGTTTCAGTAGCGATTTGATTTTAGTGGTCTTGTATTCGTGTTCGACTGATCGCAGGCCTCTACCCCCTTTCTCCCTCGGTAGATATAACAAAGAAGTCAGGCTAGCTGGGTGCTTGCCACCGTTCTCAACTATGATCTTCCGAGCTGCTCTGTCCACATCTCTTAACTCTGATAGAGGCCAATGCTGTGTCCACATTAGGTACCGCAGGACCGGGAGTGCATACTGATTAGATGCCTGCACACGGTTACAATCAGACAGGGGGCTGGACCATATAACAGATATCCTGCGTAGATACTCTTTAGCCGCGCAGGCTAGGGCCAGCCGTTCATCCTGTCGAACGTTCTCTAGCACCCCCAGGAATTTGTAGTGTTTTCCTTCCCCAAGAGCCGTGATGGTAGTTGTCTCGTCCATCCTCATACCAGACTCGTCTAGCACTTGGGCTCCCCTCTTCACGTGTACCACTGAGCACTTTTTCTGATTCCAGTGGAGGCCGATGTCCTGCATCGCTCCTCTAGTCTCTTTCAGCACTTATTATTATTATTATTATTATTATTATTATTATTATTATTCTCATTAAACACAGCTTCTGTCTGGATGGCTTGCTGGAGTCTTCCTTAAACATCAAGTCACCACCAGTTACCTTAGGTGTCTAAGACTTTGCAAAGGATTCTGGATGTACCCAGTAAGCACGCTTTATGCAATGATTCTAAATGATCTGTGACACCAATCTCTGATGCTAACCACTTCTCTTTGTCTTTAAAGGCAGTTCTTAATGCACCAATTATGATTGGCACCACAGTTACTCTGCGCAATTTCCAGATCCATTTCAATTCCCACTTCAGGTCTTGGTAGTTCTCAATTTTCTCTTTCTCTTTCACCAAGGTGTTAAACAGACAAGGAACACCAATAATCAGGCACTTTCATTCTATCTTATGCAATACCACAATGTCAGGTTTGTTGTGTTTAATGTTGTTGTTAGTCTGTATTTTGAAGTCCCACAGCAGCTTGTTGTCAGTGGATTCATACACTGATTGTGGCTCATGGTTGTAATATTTTTCATCTGTATCATAACCTAGCTTTCCGAATACTAAGGTCCCAGTGAATCACCTGCATCACCTTGTCATGCCTCCAACAATTGACATCGCTTTTGAGCAAGCTTGTTGCATTCTGATAAAATATGGCTAATTGTCTCATCACTTTCTCCGCAAATTATCCTCTTTAAACTGTTTGTTCTTAAGGCCTGGTCTTGTGCCGTCATAATCATACCCTCTGTCTGACCTTCTTTAATCTGCCCTTTTTCATTCACTCCCAAGTCTTTTACGTTTTTATCTCCTACTTCTGCTGTGTTCCTCCAAAACTGTCCACAAAGTTGTTTCTCCTGAGAGTGCTCTTTTTGTTCTTGCTGTAATGACATGGCTTCGCAACTTTTAGCATAACATCTCAAAACCTCTTCCTTGTACACTGCCTCAACAAGGGGCTGTTACAACTCTCAACATACCGGCTAAGACTATTGATCTCACTACTTACTATTATTATTATGATTTTGATTATTATTATTATTATTACAAGTACGTTGTGACATAAGTTAGTAATTGAATGACTCACATCAACTCTTCTCGAGTAATGCAAATGACTCCAGTACAAAAAAATATACAGCTCTGTGTAACCAAAGGTTGGCTGTTATGATTTGAGATGATTGATGCACGAGACCATCTACTAATTCTCAAATCCACAAGTTAAAGCCTGACGGGACTCAATATATTATTAATATTAAAGAGTGGTATTTTGGATAAGATTGTACAACAATAAAGAAATTATTTACCCTTGAATGGTACCAGTCCTCACAGATAACACACTGGATCATTTCATCTTCAATCTAGAAAATCATACACAAACACGAACTTAATTAAATATCTACCACAAATATTTAACAATTATTATTGGACTCGGTTATCGCAAAATATCGTGATTTGTCAATGGCGAATATCTTCAGGAAGAGAAGCAATCTGTTATTTTCACTAAGAGTGATTTCAACAAGGAGAAAAGCGTGGTATCATTTACGCTTGAGCAGAATATTATTTGTAGTCAAACAAAGTTGGATGATAGTGCACATCAGCAGACCATTATTTGAAGGCACTTAAGGCCTGGTCTTGTGAGCTCTCAGCCAATGAAAAGAAGGAAATATTTGCAACGAATAATAATGTCTTTTAAATACAACTGAAGGATGTGAATGATAATAATAGCCCCTGTGTCTCCTGATCTAGAATCAAATTCTTCCTTTGATACACAAGCACATATACATAATGAATTGAAGAAGAACTGAGAATCAAGTACTGTAATGGAAGTAACTTAGGGTTTTTGTTTCAGGCATTCCTTCAATCACCCAAAGGATTTCCGGCTTTAGGTATGAAACAGCGCTACTACTGTCAGAAAACCATGAACACCTGAAATAATTCAGGGATGTTTATTGTATTGGGAGCAATCTTAAAAATGATCAGGACATGCCAGCAAGCCACATTCAGCCAAAACTAGTTATCATTGGTGATTACAGTTTAGTATTCACATACCTAATCGGTTTTTCCTTGCACCCCAATAACAATCCAAACAATAATTATTACTTCGGGTTTCCATGGTTTTGTGAGTTTCAGAGTAACCACAGTATCAACATAGCTTAAACAACAATTCTTCTGTTCAAGCATTGAATTTCCTGTTGAATGGTCAACCAATACTAGCAGAAACAGGCTTTGCTGTAATATTTTAAACAACTTCTTACCAGGGATGATACAATTAAGCTTTAATCAAAACACTTACTTGGGAAAATTAAACAAAAATGTAGCTAAATGAATAACTACGTTATACTCATGAAACTCATGTACATGACCAACAATCTTGACAGTACCTCATCTTCCAGATCAGGATATGGTCTGTGGCAAGTGCAATAAACTCCTCGGAAATTCTGATTGTATTTGTTCTGGGTGTTCTCTGGGTCTTTTGACTTAAATGACATAAATAATTCTTAAGTTCATTCATTTGCACATCAGGGTGCAAAGAAAGTCAGTTTTACAGCATGCCATTCGGGCAAGCTGTAGATAGCATGTACTAGCCCACAAGTCATTTCAACTAGCCCCAAAACCCTTTTTGATTAGCAGGATTGATAACAATCCTTCCGTAATTTGAATTTCCTCAAACAACAGCACTTGCCCGTCAGGCAAGTTAAGAACAAAAACACTAGCCCGATAGCAAAATCCACTAGCCCCAGGCTATCAGACACGACTTTCTTTGCACGCTGCACATGTCAGTTGTCATCACTTTCTTACCTAATACATTATAAATCAGTGTCAAAGTATAGCTAATGCATGAAAACAATTACTTTCTAAACTACTGTGATATAAAAATAACACCACACTACTATCAAGTGTTACTAGAAAGCTATCCTGATGTTTGACAAAAGGCAACCTACAGAATATAACTTGCACTTGAATTCTGGAAATTTCTTGTTTCCACAATCACAGCGAAAATTTCTGAAAAAAAGACATGAAAAAAAAATATGGGAAGCAACGCCTTTGTCCTCTTTTTACCAAGAATTTCCTCAAAAGGTGCCTCTATTTATTGCCCCAGCAGAGATTTAGCCCAGAAAGCGAAATCCCAAGGAAGCACTCTAGTAAATACTTACAGTTGAAATAATTATACGGTCAATATACCAGAAAAAATCTTGATTTGCTTGAACAGGGGCCGCATGGAATTGTTGGGTAATGATGATGTTTCTATTGTTTGTGCCCACAAGTAAGAGATGGTTAGGATGACATAAAATAGAAAATCCTGAAGGTATTACTTATGTAGATTTTGTGACATTTATTGTACAGTCATACTTTGATACTCTCTTGCATTACATCTTATCAGTGACATTCCATGGGGCAGCTGTTTTGAAAGTTACAGATCAAAAGACACTCGTTAAGTCCAGATGAAGTTATAAGGTGCATATACCTGTGTAAATAAACACTTGAAGAGTTTGCCAGACATAAGTTCACAAATCTTTGATTGGAAACAATTTGCCAGGCACTCTTTCCCTCTCTTTGGGGGAATAACACTCAGTCAACAAACAAGCAAGACCAGCGAATCAGCGGCTAGCTTATCACTACCAATAACGATGGACATTTGCAGAAATTTGCCGACAATTAAATTCTGTGCTGAATTATTCCCTGCACACAGATGTCCTTCTAAAAGACTATAATGCGCAAGCATGAATTGATCAAACTTTTGAATTTCTAGGGCTTAGTTTCTGCCAAATAAAATGAACTAGTGTATGTAAAAAGTGAAAGAGAAATAGCAAAAAAATTCCACCTTCTAATTAAATCTTCTCTTGTGGTTTAGAATAAGCTGTTCTTGAAACTGAGGATGTTTTGATCAAAGCTGTGTAAATTGAACTGAATCAGCGCATGAAACCTTGCGTTTCCTGTTTTTATCTCACCTGTTGTATGGAACATGTGTGAAAATCTTCACATATGAATCTGCATATTACGAAGAGCTACACAATGACCACAAATACTACTGACCAACAATATACAGAGCAGGGGCAGCTGTAGTGTCAACTATTACTAGTTGTATGAGGTAGAGCAGATGCCCTTTTCTAGTGGGTGTGTCCTGGTAAAATGTCAGTTTAGAAAATGATACTCAATCCACACAGTAAATTACCAATGTGGTTTGTGACATCATCTTCCCCTTACCTAGCCACTTCTCTTTTCCCTACCCTCTAAGTAAGCAAATATTGCACAGTCCTAAAACAATGTGAACAGGGTTCTCAATAGAAGGCGGCACCCGGCGATTGATCGCCGCTTACTTTGGGATTTATAGCCGCTTACTTTGTGTTTAAGTCGCTTTTCTTTGCTTTGTTTTGACACCTCTGGCTTTGCTGAAGAGCCTCTTACTTTATCAGTGATCACCTCCTATTTAAAAATCTATTGAGAACCCTGTGTGAAGAGGAAGGTTTAAGCATTTACCGGTAACTTCTGCATTAGTACCTCTTAGTGTAAAGCTCGTAAAGGGTGTGTCCTTCATGACAGGTCAACGTACAAGCTAAACAGATTCCTGCAGGTTCTGCATCTGACGGTGAACAGGAACCACATGCATACAGGGCTTGTCGATTCACATAACCCTGCAATTACGAAACAAACCAACAATGTGGCCGAAGACTATTCAAATCAACAACGGACACGCACTTTATCTAGCTACAGGTATAGGTTGGCAAAGGATACACAAATGTGTGATCTTTCCTCACATGTTCGAAGGTTATTCAAGACATTTTCGCTATTTCCCTTTGACAGTAGCAGGGGGTCACATTCACAGAAGCCAGAGGAAAGCCCCAAACCATGCTTGATAATAACAGCCCTGCTTTGGGGCAGCACATACCCGTACAGCAAATCACCAGGATATAGGGTATTAACAACCTTGTTCCTAAATATTTATGTGACTAGTCTCAAATGACATCATTAGTAAGTACTAGGGTAACATGATCTGTAAACAACCTTAATATTCCCTGTTGTCACTTGGAAACTGGTCAGCGTTGTTTTGCCCATAGAGGGGTTAAAATTTGGGGTGGATTAAGCAAGCACCTGAGGACGTTAACTAGCTTAGACACTTTTAAAGGGTGTATTTTTGGAGAATATTTAAGCAAATCATGTTAATATATTAATTATTATACTTTCGTTATATTTATGTAAGTTGAAGATTAGTATTCTTTTTTACTAATATTGATGGTGAAAAGCCGTTTTAGAGAGCAACAATAAATGTATGTATGTATGTATGCATGTATGTACAGGGAATAATCCTTCCCTCCACCCATCAACCAGTGATCAATCCCCAAACCAGGAACCCAATATGTACTCTGCAGTGACTTGGAATTCTCTACAGAATTCATACACTTTTCACTTATCACTTTAATTTTAAAATTGGTAATAATTTTAGCCAATAGACCTTTCCCGCATTATGTATCGGTCAAATCGAATCGGGTCTTTGACTTTTTCGAAAATTATTGTTAAAATTCCCCCCTACCTGAGCCAAAATGCCGTTCAAATGCCCCACATAAGGATCCATTCAGGTGATTCATTTCACAGGCACGTAAATGACAAAAGGACGGCAGAAACGCCTTCAATTGTCGAACAAAATCTTTATAAATACAGGAAAATAATTCGGATTCAATATAACAAAAACTGAGAAGCACTGTCAGCGTATTTACTACGAACAAAAGTCTTGTGCAAAGCGGCAGAAATCACTGCTACAAGGTCACTGAATGCTCAGCTTTTCTTCGTGTGTCATGCAACATACAAAGCGTTCTGACATGCATCATTGCTCACCCTATTGATTAACATACATGCGGCAGGTGAAAGTAATTGACCTGTGGTGACCTTTTTATTGTTGTGGATTATTGGATCGCCGGTATAGGTATTGTATTTCATTGTAAACACAACTTATACATTCATATATTCAAAGCCTGAATCCAATATTAAAAATCTTAAAATTTAAATACCTTCAAATAAGGCACAAAGCTTGTTTAAGCCCTTTCCTCGTAACCAATTGCCCACAAAGGCACAGTCTTTTCCACGAAAATCCTCTAACACCGTGTCCCCCATGATAGTTCGCCACGCCAGAGATTTCACATGAAATCGAGGGTGCAGTTCAAATTCCCCACCCCCTGGAAGACTCTGATAATCAAATTCCCTCCTCCCCGGGACGGCAAAGGTGTCAAATGCCCGGGGTATGCCCGGGGATGTTGAAGCTTCGATTTGACCGATACATTATACTCCCGTGAGAAAACATAAAGAAATGAGGACGAGGCTCAGCTGGACAATTTTGTACAAATCACTGTACTTGGTCCATCCGAACCTCGAGTTAGTGCCTTTGTACACAGGAATGCGGGAAAGGTTTATTTCATTTTTCCCATGACCGAGACTAGAGTTTTAAACACCTTTTATTACTACCTCCTGATGATAGCACCACAAATTAGTTACGGTGGCATTATTAACTTTTATGGTCATAACTGCATATTTCAGCAAAGTTTATCACAACTCAAGTCAGTCAGGTTATCATACAAAAAATATGAGGGTCTTACAGCAGGAAATGTACAGTGTTGGTCGTCGCTGTCTCCAAGCACGGCTCTCGCTTCCTCTTCGAGCTCGTTATCTTCGTGTAAAACGTCCACCATTGATACGACCTCATCTTCAAGCACTCCGGCATCCATCATTCCAGCTTTTGCTTAAAATGGTGGCAGTTTATTCTCACACAACCATAAACGGGACACAAAGAATCAGGACAAAATGGCGGGAAATATAAGGTATTTGGATGTACTTCGTGTATGACTACTTGATAACTACCTACGTCATATGTACTGTTACCAGTCTTCCTCGAACTGACTGAATGACGGCATAATGACCCATCACAGGAAAAAATAACAGATTCCCATTTTTGGATATTTTAGGGTATTTAAAGAATACCCACAAAAATCCCAAATTTAGAAGAGTGAGACAAGTCCCAATCAGAAACCTTGGTTGGAAATTCCGTGGTTGGGACTTGTCTCACTTTGCCAAATTTGGAATTTTTATGGGTTATGAGAATCCGTTATTTTTTCCTGTGCCAAAGATAAAATAAAACTGTGACAGCGACCAGGATTAGCTCAAATACAATAGTAAAATACCAATAGGGATATTGCTTCCTCCTCAGTACGTGAAACGACAGGTTTTGAAATTCAGGCTAGAGATAGGGACGTATGCACTGTACCCTCTTTCCGCCCAACTCCACCCCCACCCCCCTCCCCTGCCAGTGAGAGTGAGAGCACCAAAAACTTATACAACGCAGCGGGAGATAGATCTTAAATCATGGGAAACTCGTGAAACCTTTGTTTAGAAAATAGAGTCACGACGCGACATTCAGCATTCCCCTGGGAACGGTCTTAGGACCGTTACTGTTCTTAATGTGTACAAATGATTTACCTGATGGTCTTAACTCATTGCCGTTAGACTTTTCGCTGATGATGCATTGTTATATGGAACAATCTGTTGTAATGAACACGCAGCTGATCTTCAGGATGATCTATATAGATTAGAAGCTTGGCAACAAAAGTGGGAGATTGAATTCAGTCCTTCAAAGTGTAAGATCATATGCTTTACAACCAAGAGAGATCCACCAAAGCGGGAATACGTATTCAGTGGAGAAACTCTAGAAGAAGTGGATTCTCACCCTTATCTGGGAGATTTGAAAGTACCAACATTACCTTGGGGTCTTGGCTTAAAGACTTTTTGCTTTTTTTGCGACAACGTTTTTTGAAATAGCTGCATTTATTAAAGCAAACAACGTTTCAGCGAAAAATAAGAGAGAAACAGTATGATATTATGGAGAACAAAAATTTAATCTAGCCAAACTGAAAGCATTTGCTCCGTGGTAAAAGTAAAAAATACACTTTAAGTTGTAGTCAGTAAACTTGTGACTCCGAATATGATGCGTGACAACCCTATTCCCAAAGTTCTCTCACGAGGTGGCGTGAGTAAATCCACCCTCAAGTTGTCAATGACACTTCGGTAACAACGACGTCGCTTTCATATCAGGTGGCGAAGTCTCTCGACTTCCTAACCGAAGATGGTCCACGTCTCAGTGAGTGATTAATTTGCATATTTCAAACCGACAGCGATAACTTCGTGTTTACAAATGTCCTGAGCTAACATTGGAATCCATAAAGAAAGATTCTGCAAACTAAGCGAGCAAACCACAGTGTAGGCTCGATGGAATGATAGAATGAGTCCGCGCTCCTCTCTCTTCTCTTCTCAGGAAGGAACAAGACAAGACAAGACAACATTTTAATTTGACGTCTTATTCCGGCTAATAAATCAACGCTTTCCAAATAATTCAAAATTACAATATATACTCGTTATTAATTACACTATATATAACAGGTTATAATAAATAATAATTACGCACACCCACAAATGTATACATATTATACATTCATAATATTACCAGTTCTCTTCCTCCCTTCTCTTTAATTTCTTATTTTGAGACATTCAACTCAGAACAAGACCGTTCCCGAGAGAGCGGCAGAAAACGAGCCTAACCACAGTCTTACTACGCGAGCCTAAAGTTAAAGATTTGCGCAAATAACACAGGCATCAACCTAATCAGCCTTTACATAGTGAGTCACCAACAATAGTTTTAAAAATTCAACAAAACTAGACCTATATAAATTGTTCGTCTCCATTGTTATACTTCATTTTCATTAGAATGCGTACTATGCGTTCTCCGACGGTGAATGTGACAATACATCTTTTTTTCTTGAGAATGACCTTAATTGTTATTTCAATTCAGACTTGCAAAAAAAAAAGCACCTGCTGGCATGCGGTTAGTATGACTCGAGTATCCCGGCGAGTGATCATGGTGAGCCACTTGTGGGGTCTGTAAGTCAAGGACAAACGTGGCTGATCATGTCTAGAGGTAAAAACGACAACTTAACTAGTTAGGGACTCTCAATAATGACAATTCAACTGAAATATCCTGTCGATTCTACTTGACTTCAAAAAAAGCTGAAAGTAGAGGTACAGTGTTGGTTCCTTGCCAGTTCAGCTTTCTTGCACGTACTGAGAAAGATATTGATCAACGCCCAAATTGATGTAGTTTTTTACTCAGTCCCGACCTTTGTCAATCACAACACATTTAAGAAAAGGTAGTTGATTTTATTTTCATAAACAAGAGGTTGATTGAAACACTGAGGTATCCATGGTTATTAAATATTCAGTATAATTTCTTCATTTACATCGATTGTTGACATAAGAAGTTGAAGTGAGGTAGAAAAATGGTTTTTCTTTTGAAGATGTAACAGCATTCACTTAAGAAATTACCCCATTTGGTAATTGTGGAAATAAACAGAACTAGAAAAATAGAGGTAAAATCCAATTTATGCGCTGTGAGACAGAATTCGACGGACTTTTTAGAACAAAGAAAGCTAAAAATTAAGCAAAATGATAATTAGTTTCTAAATTAGTTCGTTTCAAAATCATATTCGAGTTCACCTGCCGGATGTCCATCTGTTATACAAGAGGCGTTATTTAACCTTTTTCTACAGCAGAGCAATAGTCTCAGTTCTGAGAACCTCACTGCTTATAAACAATGCAATCGTATGCTTGGCCTTCTTTAGCACCTCATCCTGTAAGATCAGGAAAATCGCACACGCTTTCTTTGAAGGAATATCTTAGTACTTACTATAAACTACTTAATTTCAGCACAAATAACTAATATAATATTCAGGCTTCATGCATGCAATCTGTTTCCTGCGTCTTAGTTTCGTTACATCCTCATGAAAACACCTCTTTATTGTTATTTGAATTACAGCATACTCAATAAAATAACGAAAAATTCGGCAATCTTAAAAATATCAGTTTTCGTTCCGAAAAATTTTCCCGTACAACTGAAAAGCGTGTCTTTGCTACATTAAGAAAAAACAAACAAAAATTAAGGGTCAGCAAAAGGAATTTAAAACATGAATTAACTTCATAACTGCGACACCGTTTTTCAATATAACGTTGAAGTGTACTGGAGAAAAACTGAGTTTTTGTAATCCAATCAGTTCAGTTTTCAGAGTCACCAACAAAGCAAAAGAAGATCGAGGTGGTTCAAAAAAACTTGTGAAATTATTGTCCTGTTAATAGTCTTAGGCTGTGACTTGAGTCCTGCAGTTTCAAACTAACAGTTGGAACTCCCCGCTATTTCAAAATTGGCTTTGTCCACCCTTGGGTCAATTCAAATGGACCCTTTTTCAACAACCTCTAATAAAGACGTACAAGAAAATGCAGTAATATTAAATCATTTTAAAGATCTTTAAACTTTTTTGTTGAATATATTTTGGCTTCAATTTCCTCGGCATCCAATTTCAGCAGGAATTTCAAGTTAATCCAATTTTTGCTACACCGATGAGACTCGAAGTAATGCTATCGTCACGTTTACGATTGCCATTGATCTTAGAACACTGAATTTCACTTCCATTACGGATTAAGGATAGAAGTTTAAGCATTAAGCACTCGGTATTCAATGGCAACCAATTTTAGACCTTTCTAACTCTATACAGTAATTAAACATCTTGCAGGCCGTGATATTGTCAACGTATTTGCAAGACTGTGTCACAAGTTCACTTTGAATTCAAATTTGGATTCATGTCACACAATGTAGTTAAGTATCAACTAAACCATTAATGCGGCGAAGAAGCTCCTGGCATTAGAAAATTAGGTGGTTTTCTACTGATATCAAAAAAGTCCCTAACTCACTTTAGAGCAATATCTTTATCTCTTTAATGATCGATGGTGAACTGTCTCGACATACGCAATAAAACAAATAGATTAAATTAACTTAAAGTTTTTTAGCAAAGTAACTAAACCAGGGCACGTTTTATTATAATTACATAATGTCAGACATGATAGTTTCCTGGGTCAACTAGATGCATTTGTCAGATATGTATGATATAAATGATATACCAATGATGCCGTCCATTAGCAAAGGACTGAAAAATGAAAGTAATACCGTCCGGTTAGTTGCAAATCATTTCACAAAAACATTGCAATGTACGGATCCGAATGTATACCTCGGTAGCACGCCCATTACCTCAAACTAAAAAACGTTCTCCAAATTCATCTCACTCTGTCGCATCTCTTCGTAATTCCCCTTGTAATTTGATATCAACGTCTACTTGCCTAATATGACGGGCACGGAATTTTGTAAGTAAGCAAGGGATTCCTTATGTATTTTTCACAATGCACCTATAAAGTAGCAGTACCGGCACTGAGGTCTGATAAACAAATTCTTTCAAGGTGGTTCCGCATCCCTAGATCGGAAGCTTTTGAAGTTACATTCGCTTTAAACTGTCAGTAAAATTGTCAATAGCAGGTGGTATGATGGATTGAAGTACCACCTTGTATCGGAGAATCTTGCAAGAAGATTGCCTTTGTATTCAATCGTTTATACGATGACAATTAAAATGGTTCCAATGTTATTAAGAAAACGCAGCACGAACGTTCTACCGGCTCAGCTTTGTTCATGAATTTGTAATGAAACGCATCATTATTTTATGTTGGGTATTTCTAAGTTGAATTTCTGGTAAAACTGACCGTAACATAAGGTGCCACTGTTCTCGAGATTTTGCGACAGCATTAACATATCAACGTCTCCTTAATTGTTTTATACAAACTGATTGGTTTTCAATTTAATGTTACTGCATACAACTATATCTCAAGCAGGTGCTTCGAGGGTTGCAGTTTACTAGCAAAAATTAAAACAGAGCAAGAATTAAGGACTATAAGTCAGTTACATGAATTACAGGTTAGTAACAAAATCTTCTCTGTGATTTAAAGGAACACTCCTTTACTTTAGGCGGAATGTCGCGGATTTTAAATGAATTCGTTTCACCTTAATATTCACTTTTAACCCAGAAACAGTATACCTTATGTTAAAATAATTGTTACTTTCTTTATGAAAAACTGTACCGGTAAAAGTCAGTCGCCGTGGCTTTTTCGGATATTCTTGCTACCCAACGATCAGTATTATTAACCTTGAACTGAAACATCGCTATTAATGAGCCATGGCACCGCTGATACCAGAAAACTTCACAAAACACATCTTAGTCGGCTTTTTTAAAATATTTTTCCCCTGAGGTGTTTTTAAGGACAGAAGATGAACGTAATTTGAGAGATTGTGGAATACTGCACGTTTAACTAATAACTAACTCTTAATGCGTCTTATGTCACAACATAAAAATTCATTCATGAATGTGAATTTACTCCTTCTCCTATACAAATAAGGGTTTTTAAATTATTTTTACTACTGGCAGATGTGTTGTTGCGATTTTGTTCGTAAACTCTAGTGAAACTCTATATTGAAATACAATTTCGAAGTCGCTCCATAATCGAAGAGTGTCTGCTCCCAGCAACAAAAGAGAATGGATAAACATAAAAAGAAATGAGTGCATGGACGCATGTAATCAGAGACAAACTCAAATAGAGATAGATGTTGTGAAGATTATACTCCATAGCCATCATATTTCAAGACTATGCAAAAAAAGAGATCGTTTTCTGTTATTGCTTAGCAGGCTTCATTTTTTATAATAAACATAAATGGCATAACAGAAGTACCGTAAACTGAATCCCGGCGTTTCATAAACATATATTCATCAAAAACGTAAGACATTCGCCGTCAGTTTACTACAGGTGGATGTCAAAAGAAGAAATCATCAGGAAAACAGTATGATATAATACGTAAAAGCAATTCACCTCCTCCTTCCTGCAGGCTCATAAAGGCAACTTAGTGACCGCGCTCCTTGTCATTGTTTTCAGTTGAGTAATTGAACACCGGATTTTAAGCGATTCTCTGTCAAATAATCAATAAATTGACCAATAGCAAACCTGGGTTTCTTTTCAGCAAGTTCGTGTTTCTAAACTAAAAACGACAGGACCAGATGAAAAGTAAATTCAAGCTCACCTAATTATATATGTTTTTACCTTAGCCATTTTAATTGCATACATAAGGAGGGTTTTTTCACGGAACGATATTACGTTTGATATTCTGTCAAGCAGCTAAGAGTATTCATGCGCTTCTAGACAAAGGAAATTTCAGTTAATCCCTCTAAAAAAAATAAATGTTCTAAGAATAAGAATCGTTGTGAGCAATATTTCTGATGATTAATCACTACAATCAACCAGCCATTAAACTAACATTTGAAATGCTCTTAAAAAGCAGTATTAGAGAGCAAACATACACTAGCCGTCATGCATGGACTTGAAAGATCAATCCAGATAGATAAGTCTTTTACTCTAATTGCTTCCATTTATTGACTGCTGATAAGGCACCAAAGAGTTTCATACATTTGAAACACATTACATTATACATTTTTGACGCAAAATCACAATTTTCGCGTAAAGATGCGCCATTTTAATTTTTTTTAATTGCACAGCTTCTTCTATATTTAAATAAAATACAGAGGGCGAGAGGGGAGATTAGCTGCCGTGGAATAAAATTCATCTGACTTTCTGTTTTTCCTGCTTTTTTTAAAAAAAGGCAAATAACAGCTTTACCAGCATCATTTTTTGAATGTAAGTTTGGTTTTTCGTGGTTGAAGAAAAGCTCGAAAAAAGTTTTTATTTTTTATGTATTTATTTTTGTTTCTTCTTAGAAAAATGAACAATTGTACGGCAGCTAATGAAACGATGAAGCCAGCTACCCAGGAAATAACGTTCCCAATAATGGCTTGGAGCGTGGTATTCGGAATTTTAGCCGTTATGGCTATATTTGGAAACTCAACGGTTATTCTGGCGTTCATTCGAAATGTTCAACTGCACACTCGCACTAATTACATTATAGTGGGTTTGGCAACTGCTGACTTGCTGGTAGGTTTGATTGCGGTCCCACTTTACATGGCTATTACTCTTCTGTACAAACAGCAACTTGAAATCCCGGATGTTTTGAGTGTGATGTATCACGCAGTGGACGTGTTTGGAGGATTCGCTTCTATATTTCACTTAATGCTTATAAGCCTTGAACGTTTTTACGCTATTGCTTACCCAGTCAGCCACCGAAATTCATCAAAAGTGGTATACATTGCTGTCCTGATAATATGTTGGATAACAGCAGGTACACTATCCTTTATTCACTCAATAAGATACAGTAACTACAACATAACAAGAGCCTTCTTCATACTCTTCTGTGTTTCCTTCTCCGTGGCGTTTTTCGTGATCTGTGCTGCTTATCTTGGAATATGGCGGATGGCAAAGAAAAAAAAGCTTATTCGAAGAGGATCAAGACGAGCATTTAAGAGACATGACCATGAAGTCATGATTGCAAAGTCTCTTCTTATTGTGATCATTGTGTTTGCAGTCACGTGGCTTCCGTTCTTCTGTATTAACGCTGTGTACTTTTTTCAATCTCAGCTTAAACGCCAATCCATTTCGTTTGACGTTATTCAATTTACCAAGTTGTTACATTACTGCAACTCTGCTATAAATCCAGTCATTTACTCCCTGAAGATTCCAGGATTTAGAAAAACGTTTACTAGTCTCTTACGGAGGGAGTCTACGAGATCTTTCCGAAGTTCGCTTAGTTTTTCACGACGTGAGTCTTCAAGGAAACCTATGGCAGAATGTGACCACCAAGACAATGTTTAAAATAATTTGATTAACGGTGGAAACTCTCAAAAAAGTGCCTCAAGAAAGACTGAGAGATGCCATGCGTCGCCCCATGTAAGGCAATCCAGGACAGTCTTATATTCTGGATTCCACGCGGTGGATTCCAGTCTTCTTCTATGATACTTGGATTCTGGATTCCAATCTTCAGTGGGATTCCGGATTCCCTGAGATGTATTCCGGATTCCGGAATCCATATTGCCTTATATGGGGCGTGTGACATGCGGCAAGCAAGCTTCAATGACTTTTCTTCATCCCAGTCTTTCCCGGCTTGCTTGTGAACGTGACCTTTGCGTCTCTTGTGATTGCTTACAAACTACTTTGACGCTGCCTG